AAACCTGCGGACAAGGCCCTGTGAACTGGATGGTCAAGGGCTGGCTCACTAACTATATATTATAATATATATATATATATATACATATTAAATATATATATATTATATATAATATAATATATATTATATATATTAATATACTATTTTAATATATATATATAATATATATTATATTTATATAATATATATATATAACATAATATATAAATATTATATATTATCTTTATATAAAATAAATAAGAGAGATATTCTATACATATGACATATATATTATAAGCATAATAAGCATTCTCTGTGGTGAAGTGTCAGTTGGAAGCCTAGCTAAGCGATCTTTGTCTCAGGCGCCAAGTGAACATTGTTCTGAATTGCAAAGCCCAAGCTCGAACATAGATGTGACAAAAATGATCAAACATGTGTATTTTTTGGTTCTTGGATTATCCCAAAAACATTCTTGGGTGAGCATTGGACATTTAAACCATCATAAACACGAATTAGGCTGACCGGTTTCTCAGATTGCCTCCAAGGTGAGGCATGCAGCCAATAACATAGCTCCTATGCAAGTAGCATTCATGCTGTTTCCGGCCATTCTGGCACGTTGGGTTTTTGGGATCCCTTGCAAACATAAAGGCGGTGCGCCACACAAGCGACCCTGTTCAGCGGTCACTGGCAGGATGTGAGACGACAGCAGTTCCTCGGGCTCCAGAAATCGTTTGGCATCCTGAGGCCGGAGAAGGTTGACAAGTCCTAGTGGGTAAAATGAAGGTCACTTGTATCTACCTAGGAACTGATTTATGTGAAGTGAGATTTGTGTCAAATTGTTTCAAAACGAGACCCTTTGATCCCAAGATCCCAAGCCACTAACTGTCCTTGGAAAAAAGTTTTGTCGACGTGGTGATGGTACAAAGACTCTTGTCGGAGCATTCCCCTCTACCCCTGCCATTCCTAGGGTACTGGGAAAAGTCTGGGAAGCGCAAGTCGGGCATGTGCTCATCATAGTCCCCCAGAATCCTTTCCTAAGCGCATGAAAGATTGAAGGTATTGAAGCTCTGATTCAAATTCTGAACAGCTGACATCATTTGAGAATTATTGGATTAATTTCTATTTTGGTGTCAGGATACCTGGGCTGGAGAAAGCATACTGGGAAGGCATTTCATCCATAGGAACATGTCGGCAGAAGAAACATTCTGGGCAATCAAGGCCTCCAGGATATCGGCTAATGTCCTTGGGTGCAATTTTAAAATGTTTGCGTTCCAATGATATTGGAATAAAATTAAGTGATCGTGTTTCACAAAGTGGCCAGTGCTACCCAAAGACACACCCTCGACACGCCTCACCTTCCTCTTGTCGAAGGCAAGGATGAATCTCCGTGGACGAGATGCTGGAACTCCGAAGAGTCTCGGATCCAATACCACCGATTCCAAAGACCAGTGGGGCCCTAGTTCAGCAGAAGCTGTAGCACTTTGATACTCTGGGACATTCTCAATGACAAGTATGTCAGAAACTCGTTTGGTTTCCCGGTAATACTTTTTGTGGGTTACATATCTCTCATCATTGATTCCGTTCTGGTTGCCCATCTTGCTGAAGGGCTGGCAAATTGGGCCTCGAAGGAATTTGAAATGACGAGCTTTTTTGTTTGATTCACTGTTCAATCTTTTGGTTAGACTGCATTGGCCCTTGGCTGAGGAATGCACCAGCTCCGTTCACCCTCAATCCTTGGCGCGGTTGGAGTGGTTTGGGACCCGGATCAAAAACACAATGGGAAAGTCGTTCTGACATAATCCAAAATGGGAGTGAGTATTAGTACAACTTGAGACTGAAATCTTGAAATCGAGATTCGGTTTCCTCGACGATGTTTTTGTACTTGGCACATCCGCTTGTGTGTGCTGCACCACTGAAACTTTTTCTTTGTGTCCAAAGCTACGATGTCTGGGAAATTGCATGGTGCATTGTAAGTCTGCTGTAGCACCTTCCTACAGTGACCATCCAACTCACATGTGAACTCAAAGAGAACTTTGGCGTGCTTTGGTTTCTTGTGCCCAGCTGACTGAAGAAACTGGCCAGCAGCCTTCTCCAAGCTCATGGCAGCCTCAACATTCAAAAACTAAGTTGTGATGCTGTGAAACTTTTGGTGTGTAGGTAATGAAGAATCGATTGAGCGCTGCAACATGTTACAATGCGCTACAACTAGGATAGGGACAGATTCCGGTGCTCCGATGCCAGAAAAAGCGCTGGCAAAGGTCCACCGCCAAGCCTTCAGCCTCTTACACAACCATGATGTTCCAAAACGGGTCGCCACACGTTGAAAGAAGATCTTTGGCCACTGAAATGCAGCATCCAAGGTTTCAAACCCAACTGGGTGCTGCTCTGATGCCCCTAGGATGGTAGCTTTCGGATAACGCTTGCGCCTGGCAAGTCTGGTAGCAAGATCAAAAATAGGGTTGTACGAGTTGTATGCCGAAACGATTTGAAATCTGTTAGCTGTGTTTACCTGGTAGTAAAGGAGCCCATAAAAATTCAACTCAGTCTCGGCCTCGAAGAAGCCTTCTTCTCTTTGAGATTGGCCTTCATGACAGTCTTGATGGCTTTCCCACGCCTGGAATCAAAGCTATGTGGGTATATTATAGATTATACTTGTCTGAAAGCATATTGATGATGATTGAACTTCTCAATCCAGTGGTCCAGTGATTACATAATATTTATATGTCATACAACTACAGGGATTCCCAACCTTCCTCTTTTCTGTGGAGCGACATCTCCATGCAAACGGCTCCCTCTCCTGCACGCGTGTCCATACATTGCCTGAACCCGCTTTCCGTTTTCTTAAATCAATTAACTGACCAGTTCAGTGCATGTTGGCTCCTCAAAGATGTGTTGGCAACAGCAGCGCGCACCGCATGCCTAAGGTCCAAGGGCATCCCTGGACAAAGCCCGACTCGGTGCCAATCTGGGCTGAGCTGGGTGGAGCGGCGAAGGGTTGCAACAAAAATTCAATGAGAGAAATCTTGTTTTCAAACCATTTCATGTTTTGTCATATTTCAACTCTCGATGTAGCTCTGTGTTCTCTGCTTTCTTGGCTGTGGTGTGAAACAGTACGTCCCAATCATCATGTTTTCACACTCACCAGACGCTCAGAATAGAGCCAGCAATATTTTGAGACTTGCCCACTGCACGTTCCCATCAGGACTAGCGTCGAATCCTGAACCCCTGTGTTTGACAAATCTATTTTCAACCAAATTTCAAATCTAATTGGAACCACCGGAAGGCTCAGAGATCCTGGCTCTTTTAGCCAGCGGCCTGGCCACTGGCAATGCCTGGCACACAGCGGGGATGTCGGTCGTTGGTCATGGGGGAGGCTCAGATCAATACTTGAACCTTTTTCTCCTCACTTAGTAGCCAGTTTTTTCAATGGGGCTTCACATCTGAACCCTGCCTCACTGTCATCTCGCTCATGGCAGCCGAGCTGGAATTTCACGGTCTGATGAGAACAGTTCAATGTAGATGGTTGTCAAACAGTTTCAAAGTAGCATGGCTAATACTTGGCTGGTCCAAAGATTTTCAAAGTTCGACATTTGGAATCAGATCCTGCCTCCGGCAAGTGGTTCGACTCTTCACAGTTCTTCAAGAAAAAACTTTGTGGTCCTGAGGCACCTGGGTTTCCTCAGAATCACACGCGTAGTGTGAACCATCCAAGTTTGGGACCACAGCTGACCCCGCTGGTGATTTGCTGCTGTTAATGACCTGCCCATGAACATAGGCAAGGTTGGTTCTATAACTATTTGTTATTTGCATGGTTTACCAATTACCACCTAGATTCACAGCACTGTGCAAAATACATGCTGTTAGGCCTGTTCAGCCACTTCATGTTTCTTCCCCATCACCTGGCTTGAGAAAGAACCATTCTGAGATATAAAAACCTATGAAAGAGGGTGATTCACAGACATGCCTCTTCCAAGTACTGTCGTATCCTCCAAGGTTCGGCCTCCAAAGCTGAGAGGGGCCCCAGGGCTCAGTGACAGACTGGGCAAGGTTGAGTGATGAGTTGGCACCATCCAAATCTTGCCTGGGAATCTTCCAACAAGAAGGGATTGGGGATGTCCTGGGAGAAAATGCCAGTGAGTGATTTCGGCCCGTAAGAATACAACTTGGAGTAACATTGACATATAGGTTAGACCAAAATGAGCCATTTTTGACTTGAGAGTCTGACCTTTGGAATTTCAGGATAAGGTTCACCGTCCCAGTAGCGGTTAGTCCCATTGTTCTCCTCTGACTTGACCTGGTGAGGTTCACACATGTTGCAAGCCACATCAAATATATGAACTGGAAATCCTGAAAGTCAGCATGCTACTAAGAAAACGGTGGCCTCGGCATCAGAGTCAATGTAAGTTGGAGAAGGGGCCTGGCCCAGGCACTGATCTGAAACCACAATACTTAATCAACAATAAGCAAAACAAACTAGGGTCACCTCCTTGGCTTCAGGAAAATCACAGTCAAGCACTTGAGATTGGTAACTCTCGAAAGACTCCTCCAAAATACGATTCAGAGCAAGCTGCTAAGTATAGAGATCTTAATCAAACTGGCAGTATCTCCTGGATAGCCCGGGGCCTCAAAACATCATCATCCAACACCTGACAAGCTTCTAAAAGATTAAGATGTTCAACCTGCCCCTGTTTTAGGCAAGAACCGGATGCACCTTCGCATTCATACGCCTCAAGGCGCTCTGTGCTGGGATGATTATGGTTTTTTTGTTTGTCCAGGGGTGGTGACATGCAAGGTCTGATGGTTTTGGGCCTCAATAGTCGTAGTCGATCATCTCCATGGGGGTACAGCGACTTGGAAGAGGACATTTTGTTTGGGACACCGCTGCTATGACACCAAAAAGGCTTCAGAACACATTGTCATACAGGATTCAGGAGAAATAAGGCATTACCAAGTATTCCCATGCTATGCCATTCGGCATCCAATCTTGGCGTATGGTGGGGGCACGGATATTTTTTGCACCCTCACGGCCTGCGCTGCAACATGGCTTCAAACCTTATGGTTGGTGCCACCCTTGCAAGACCCGGATTGGCCGGTATCACAACCAAATCTTGTTGACCTGGTGTTGAATAAAAAGGTATGGGCGCCAATGGTCCTGGGTTTCTGTTTCGACAGAGATCCACTAAAAACTCAATGGAGCGTCCACTTGTGCTAGATGGGAATCGTCTAAGTAAAATGTCAGCCAATTCCAAATACTTCTTTCCTTTGCCTGGGTCGACCTTCTTCAAAGGTCTGGCAGAGTCCGGGGCGGAGTGAAGAATAGGCTGGACGAATTGAAACGGCATGGCGAGTATCGCTTCCTCAGAGAAAACGGGAACCCTCAAAGCTCACAATATTTTAATAGGCCTTACAGATCTTAAACAAGTGACTGAGACTAACTAAGATTCTTAAAGGAATTGGTTCCAGCAACAAACCAGGATTGGAACGGTGTCACTGCATGAATTGTATCGAGGTTCCTGTCCCAAGTGCGTGTCTGCGGCATTTTTCTTGACAAATGCGATGACGTCCATATCATGAGGAATCAAAGGTCCATGTCGGTCGTCATATTTGATCACAATATTCCGTGGAACATCTTGCAGGGTTGTCCCAAAACAAATGACGAATAACTATCAGGAACATTCAAACCGTGAGGGATCCAATAGTTTGTTTTCCGAAACCAGCCTACCCTCCGAAGAAATATGAAAGCATGGTGGCCAACGGAATCCTTCTTCAGTCCTCCTCGGAAGGTCACTGGGAGATGGCGGTCCAGCCTTGGCGCGCGGCGAAATCAAACATTGAGGGTGAAAAAGAAGGGTTGTGCTGACAGAAAGATTTCTGGAGGATCAAAACCCAGAGGATTTTTTGTGTTCCTTATTTCAATCTAGGAACCATCCCTTCCAATCACGACAGGCTGACAGGAATTCGACGTTGATTTTGGCTGATGGCCCAATCCACTTCCGGATCTGGATCCTATCCAAGATCGTTTTGATCTTCCTTAGTAGGGCAGTAACCGCAAGGTGATTAGAATATTCTACCCATAGGTTTGACACATTGTGATTGCTCTATATCATCCTGTTAATTCATGGTACACCTTCATTCAACCAGGGAGTGGTTAAACATTAGGCCCATTTCTCTTGAACTTGAAACCTGTTCCCCACCTTTCTGAAAGTAGCTGCAAGTATCTGAACCAAATCTGGCACGTCGCAAATCAGATCAACATAGCGGATAGCAGCAGCGATCAGACCAAATAGTTGATCTTGGCAGTGCATACAGCACAAAAACAGGGAAACATGAAATTTGGATGCCTTCACATTCTCAACTTGACAAAATCTCAAAATGCGAACTCCTGCAATCGAGTAACCTAACGGACCGTGTGTGTGCCCTGTGCGGGCAAAAAAAATGCCCGCACAGGACATGTGGTTTTTGGCAATCAAAGTTGTCATCATCTTCAAAACTCCATTATTCTTGTTCTCTCTGACGGTGTTGTCAGCCTTAACTTAAGGAACGATGTCACAATCTCAAATCAAACTAAAACACTCTGATGTCGAAACCGGGAATCCCTCTTGCAACTGGGAAACAAATACTAGGCATTCCTTCGGCATGGGTTTGCGTGCCCTTTGGAACGTGTCTTCACAGTCTTGGAGAGCCCGAGCGAAACATTCGCAGACAAGGCTAGAATCTGCTGGGACACCAGGATGACATATATAGAGATTTAAACTTACCCCATGCACCCATAGTCCATGAAGTTTCATCCTCGGGCGCACTATTGCCGCAGCTTCTTTCGAAGATTGTACTATTCTGTTTCTCGGGAGAGCCCACTTCGATTGATCCATGCCGTCCTGAGGTTCGGAACACAACAAATTGAAATGGAACAATGACACCAACAACACCTTGGAGGCCCCAAACCCCAACCACCAGCAAATCACATTTGAGACCCAGCGGCCCAGTGCATCGTGAGAGCACTGGGATCGGCAGAATCCAGCGGAGACTGAGCCTCTCAAAAGTGAAACGATCACACTAAACTTGAATTTTGTCATTCATGTGGAACTATACTACTGGTACAATCAACAGTCCGTGTGTCCAGTCCTGGAACCACTCCTCTAATTCTCGGTCGGCAGAAACAGTTCTGAGGTGGTCCTTGTAATATCTAGCCGTCTCAAATTTGCTTTGAGCATCCTTAGGCAAGTTCAACTACTCACGTACCAAGCATTGTCATACAGATTGAATGCTTTCCTGTGTAGCAAGGAAACTAAACCTCTAACAAGGCTCCACCGACGTTTTGAAACGTTCTTTGCAGTCCAGGCATGTATCGCAGGTACTGTGACTTGACTGAGGAGCAAATCTTAAGATGTTGCTCCAAACGGCTACGAATCTTCTCCAGAAGGTTGAGTACCTCATTCCCAGACACAACCACATGACAAAAAACTTGACTGACTAGGTTTTTTTGTCAAACAGTTCAACCTGGACCCAGAAAACTCTAGACCAACAAGCTACGAGATTGTGGAGCAACCAAGGGCAAATTCATGCCAAAGCATTTTAATTGACCCCGGTGGGAGGTATCTCGTGGGCAGTCCAGAGACATGCTGTGCAAAGGATGTTTCGATGTACCTTGAGAAGGCAAACAGAATGACACATGGTCATAATTTCAAACAAACCACGTTCACTGTAGAATATGTCAGCATATTGTTAACCAAACTAACTGAGAATCTTACTTTGAGAACAGGGAGTTGCATCCATGAATGTGCAACCTCAGCTCTTCATCATCCTCCAGTCTTTCCCCCTCGGCGCTGAAGAGTGCGTCCTCTCCATCAGAGTCACCTGATCCAAGTAGCGATGGACCAGAATAAAATCTAGAGAACCACCGGCACAGGAAAATTGAAAAACATTTCCTGGGACATAGATCGATCTGAAGAAAGACCACTTACAGCCATGGTACTCAGCTCATGTTCTGAATCACCTCCACAAGGGCCTATCACGAGTTGTAGGGTGTTGGGCTCCTCTGAATCTGTTTTCCGTCTGTGGCCCCCTCGCTGAAACCTTGGATAGTAGACTAGAGTGGGAAGTATATATGGTGAAAATTGGCACCTTTCGAAGTCGAAAGCATGTAGAAATCTACTGAGTGGTATGTCACAGTCCGTTTCTGTCACACTACATCTTATTTCAGATAAAGAACTTGGTTGGAAGCATGCCTGCAGCGTTGGTATACATCTTCAATAGGTGCATGTCAATTTTCCTCCGTTTCACACTGTTCCGATGCCTTGCCTGAGACGTCGTTGGACCCAGGAAATCAGCATAATGTTCCCCATTTAAAACTAAACTTGATATCAACAAAAATGTTAATTTGTGAACCAGCTATTTGATACAAACAATGGGTAAAACATTGCCGCTCGAAAATGACAAAATCAAGTTGCACCTCCGAAAGCCCGAAACCTCATATCCAGGTGCCCTGCTGAGGCTGATTTTAACCGATCCGCGCCGATTCCCAAAAGAACCGACAAGCATCTACTGCTCACATGCTTGTTCAACAGCATCCATCGTTTTGTCGTTGTCCCTGATGTAGATACCACCCGATGGATCTCAGTTGAACATAGCTCAAAACAACCACATGAAGTAATCCTGTCCTATTTGGTTTGAAAATAGGGAAAGTCGGAAGTTTTGAAGTGTTGGCTGAGCATGGCACATATGCATCTTGAAGGGTCTTCTTCATGGTCCAGAAAGGTTTTAGAAATTTCACCAACTCATCACTACTGAAACGCTGGTAGCAATGAGCTGAACGTTTGCAGCGGCAGTTCTTGGCTGCCAATAGCTTTGAGACCCTGCTGGCCGACGGACCATTGACACTTTGCCTAGGTCCGCCCCTGGCTCCGAACACAAAACTCACTCATAGAATTAATCGGGTCAAAAATAACCAGAACCCCCACCAACCAGAATCAAAAAACTGATTGAATCCCAAGTAAGTTACACTCTTCGCTCAGGCTTTTGCGCTGCTAAAAATCTCCGTTTTCGGTTATCGTAGTTTGGACGTTTCCGAACAGGCTCTGATGGTCCAGCTGCAAGTGCTTTGTGGATAAGGTGTTCGTTTTGGAACTGAAGGAGGGATTCCATAGAGAAATTCACAACATCTCCAGCACTTTGATTTTTTTCAACCTGCACCTCTCCTACAACATTCTGTGCCCCACGTTCCAAAGGTGCCACTTGACAGGAACTGCTGCTAGAAGCACCAGAATCACCACCACCAGCAACTGGATGTATATTGGCATCAGAAGCCAGAGATTGGAAAAACCTAAGAAAATCGCGATTAACCACTCCCTGGAAGAATTCACGACAACTTCATATTATATGGAAACACAAGTTGAACTATCACAACCTAGTGGCCGAAGTCTCCGAACATCCGGCATCCAGGCTTTTGAGCCATAGCAGCTTCAGACTGGTACAAGCATTACAAACCTGAATGTGATGAAATTGGACCTGAATGTGCCGAAATCCCCTTTATGTTAGTTTACCAGAGGGTAAATGTGGGTCCAATTTTATCCCTTTTTTGACCCATAGTAGCAGGTATCTCCGACCACAAAGGCGGAAAGATGGATGGCGGCCCGTGGACAATGGCCATGTCACGAAAGGTAGCGTCAGCTACCTGAGTTCTCCGTGCTTCAGCACAAGCATAGGGGGTATTGGGGGGCCAGCCCGTGCAAAACGTGGAATTCTAGCCGTTATGTATTAGATATCAATTATAAGGGGGGGGCCCCCCCCCTCTAAAATGGTCATGGGTTCAATTCCCACGGGTGACGCGGTCACGGTCCGCCACAGTAGAGGCACACTCTCCATGAGGGAGATGTCCCTGTAGTCCAGCATAATTGGTTTGCTTCAGCCTCAATAACAGTTGCTGCAAGGGGTCTTAAAAAGGGGTTTTTAATAAACCCCTTTTCGTGCATCATTTCACGCTGCACAAGACACCGTATCATGCAGTCATGCTCTGGATAAAATCATCTTAGACTGCGCAAAAACGTTTTTGGTGTAATCATCTTAGGGACGCAGCATTTTGACACCACTCCTCTCCCACTACATTACCTTTCGTCCGCCTCCGCCTGCTCTCAAGTAGGATCTTTAAGGAGATCAGTGGAGCCCTAAATGGATATTGAATCTCTCTGGACATTTGGCGATGAACAATCCTCGGAATTGCATGGTCACATTCTTTCGCACATTGCAGGAATCAAGAACTTGCTATGACTGGTGAGAGAATGATTGCTGTCCTGCTCATATGTGCCACGGCCAACACATGGATGAGTTAATCAAGACGGCATGGTCATCCCATCCTTGACCTTGATATAGCAATTCTAAGGACCATGTGACCATCACCATCCGCTGCGCATCGGCTCAGAAAGTGGTGCAAAAAGAGGCCGCTGAAAGACGGGTCCTGATCTCCATGAAGACATGGCGTGAACTGCGGCCATCTACGTGGATAACAGTCACATACACTCCTACACACACATACATATCTACTTATATGCAACAGACTCACGCATATGCATACGTATGTGTATATATATATATATATCATGCACACAGTGTATAGGCATACATGCATGCACAATGCATGTGTGTGTATGTATATATATAATTATATATATATACATATGTAGGTATGCACATGTAGAGGTATGCGTCATGATATCTTTTATGTATCCACCTTTTAGGTATACACATCTCAGATCTGCGACCCAAATTCAGGTCACCCCTTGCCGGGCGGTTTTCTCAAAAACCGCTGGCCGGCGGCCATGGCGGGCAGCAATGGCCCATGACGCCGCGGGCGCCAGGGGCGCACTGACGCGGCTGTGGCCATTGTGGCCATGGCTGCTGGTTTTTGTGGACGTCGTTGCACAGGACGTGGCGCCCGTGGTCATTCCGCGCCAAATTCCGCGGAGGGTGGGCATTACGAATCATGCACCCACGCCTGGCGCCTGGGTGGTGCATGAGGTGAAGATGTACTTCACAGAGACTTGGGGTGAATCTGTTGCGGGGGTTGGGGCGTGCTGTGATTGTTGTTTTTCTTCAGATTGGTATTATTAAGACAGGGAAAAAGGAGACTTCATGTGATCGATTAGATATGAAATCCGTGTCCCTTAGGTGTTGTTTGAAGATTCAACTTTGTCAAAGTGGCCAAAGTTTCTAACTAAGAGTGCTCTTGGGCATAATCATTGTACAACTATTTGGGTTTATCCAGAATGGGGGTAGGCCCTAAATCATCATTTTGATGGGTAGAATGCTGATAAATCATTGACTTGTTTTGGTACAATACACATTTTCAGACAAACATTTAGAAAGAATCGGAATTCACCATGAGGCGATTGCACACTGAAACTGGAAGTCGCAGATGCTCCCACTGACCCCCCAGCATCACTTAAGATTCGTGGAAAACGACTTGACCATCAGCATGACAAAAACATGAAACCGCCATGTGATACCTTTTGACTCTGGTCCTATTTTTTGAGAGGGGGGGTGTTGTGAGCGACATTTTTTTGCATTTTTTGAATTTCATTTCTGCAAAAGATGCAAAACCATGTTCTTTCCAAAACCAAACATTGTTGCTTCTGCAACAAAAGCAACCACTGTGCATTCCCAATATTTCTCCCAGGTCATACATAGATACAAAGCAAACATGATTAATTAATAGATCAACAAAACAAACAAGTGCAAATGCCTTTGCAAAGTGTGCAGCATTGCGTTAATAATGTATAGACTCTACATCTCCACAGGAGTTTCCCTCAACATATGCAATAGTTCTTTTAAACATGTGCATTCTAAACAGGCACCAATTCATGCAATATGTTCTCTACAAATCATGAAGGAAAAAAACAAACTTACAAACCCTACTTGTAAAATGACTTTGCACGAAGAACACTATTCCTCAATGTATGCAACAACCCTTTGCAACAATTGTTGCATTCTTTGAAAGATGTGTAGCATTACTTTCCAATTTCAGGGAGAACCCTCCTATATATGTACTGAATCATTTCAGAAATCATAGCATTCCTGTAGGAAAATGTAGTATGCTGTTTTGCAAGATTGAATTTCTTTTTTCATTACTGCAGCATTGTTTTGAAAAGAGTGCAATCTTACTGTCAAAGGGCCCTTGCAAAACCTTTGTCAATAAAGTGGCACATTCATTGAAACATGTGTTTTACAGCATTTGAACATGCAGATTCTTGTTTGCAAAGTGTGCAGCATTCCTGTCAGAAAGTGTGGCAAGAGCCTACTGTAGATTCCATTGATGGTGCAAAAGCCTTTTTAAAAGAGATGTGTTTTTTTTTTCTGTTTACAGCAAGTGCAGCACCAACTTTTGCAATATTTCCCAAAGAGTACAGCTGTTCTATGGAAATCTTGCTTTGTTTTGAACAGGGTGCTATGTGACTTGCAAAAGGTCTTCAGAATGTGCAATATCTTTGTACACGAAGTAGAGTGTGGCTTGAAACAACGCAAAGCAAACTTTTTACTGTAAACACGTGCTACATGCCTATGCAAAGAGTGCAGTAGCATAGTTACCTGCAATATCTCTTTCAAACTAGTGCAGCACTTGCGTGAACAGATTGCCATATTACTGCAAACTGTGCAAAATCAGTGTCAATCAAGGAAAGCCTTCTGTTGAAGATGCACGCATGTATATGTATGTACAGTAGTTTTAAAAAGTGAAGAGTGTCTTGGCAAATCTGTGTAGCATCCCTCCAAGAAAGTGTAACATGAGTCTACAGCAGATTCCATCGATGGTGCAACAGAGATGGTGGTATTACTTCAGCAAAGTGTACCAGGACCATCAATTTATGCAACATGTTTTTCAAAAAGTACAGCTATTCTGCAACAAAAGTGTTTTTGAGAGTGCAACATTGCTCTCAAGTGGTCCTTCAACATGTGCAAAAACCTCCGTGAATACAGCAGACAATTCTCTAGAACAATGCATTTGTTTGTCTGAGAAAATCAGGCACTGTGGACAAAAACCAATGGTGTTTTTATAGAACGTGTTACATTGCCATATCTTTGTGAGGATTCTGGATTAATCCTAAACAAAAAAAAACAGAAAAAACAAAGATTTGGCAACTAGTCCGGAGACCAGAGTAGTTGGGAAAACATTTTGTGTGTTTTTTTTTGGTTTTGTAACCATCGAAGCAGACAAAAGGCAGACACATGCCCATAGTGTAGGCAATTCTTGTCGAAGCAGACAAAAGCCCAAATTGTAGGCAATTCACAATCTTTAAACACCCCAGTGGTTCATCTTACTTAGAAAAGGTGTTGTGAACACCAAAAAAAACAGGAAACAATCCATAATATGAAGCTATAAATCCCCAAACATCCTGTTTTTTAGCGCTCACAACACCCCTTCTGGTATTTTTTAGAGCCTCAACTTCGAAACTTTGAATGGTGTCCAGTTATGTGTGGTCCTTTGTTAAACGAGCTGCCATTTTCTTTCGTACTCTGCTATTTAATACTTGGTTGGTTATGTCCCAACTCTTGTACTCACCTAATCCAATTTTCTTAGCTTGGAGGCTTGGATCCGGCTGGTTATTTCCCCGTCACCGGGAATCATCACATTGTGCGGTCAAGAGAACAACTTTTTGTCACAGCCGACAGCCCATCCCCACTTCAGGACACTTGCGACGAGGCCAGTTTGTTGGAACCTGGCGATGTCACCGACATTTACGATACAGGAACTCGATGCTTGGACTTCACTTCTGACTTCACCGGTTCTTCGGGATTTCTCCGGCACACCCTCTGGGGGTAACTGTTGAACCCCCAGAAAGGTAGACTGTCAAGGCATGGGGTATCGGCTCTCAGCATCCTGGCTTGACGAAGGATCCACAAAAAAAGGCCTGGCAAAAAACATCAAAAAACGAGGTCAGCATGAAATTGACGGATCAATCCAAAAAATCCATCAATTACCCTCTGGTAAACTAACATAACTATGGAAAATCACAATTTTTAATGGGAAAATCCACTATAAATGGCCATTTTCAATAGCTATGTTAGTTTACCAGAGGGTAACCGATGGAACTTTGGATAACATCCCAACATCGACGACATTTTTACGATTCCCAATCTCAGGTACCAGAGTTGACACCTGATTTTTTCTCAGCTAATCATCTAAAAATGGGGGATGTGGCCGATTTCCAGTGGCCTTGCTGTGGCCTGGTATACCACAAAAATCCCAGTCTTGGATTTTCCAAAAGGATCTAGTCATGAAAAAAGATCCCATTGGCTATTTCAAATTTGAGGGGGCAATCAAACATGGTTAATAATGATTAATAATGGTGAATCATTGATACTAGTGGATACTTTGTTACATTTTAGCAGGATTGTACTTTTTCTATCTCAGAGGAGGTTGCTGCAGGCGGTTTTCTAAAATCATTCCGGTGACTTGCTGCGCCGAGCTGTGTAGAACGAGGACTAGAAACTGCCCTGTACACCGCCGGGCCTTATGCCATGGACAATGCGCCTTAGATTTGCGCTCGGTGATTTGTTGCCTTTCCTTGGGGGTGTCTGAAAATCAGGGACCACAAAATAGCCTCTGAAAACATCTGGTAAACGTTTACATAGCTATTGAACATGGCCCATTTATAGTGAGTTTTCCCATTAAAAATGGTGATTTTCCATAGTTACGTTAGTTTACCAGAGGGTAATATCTCTGAACAGAGAACATATGCGAACATAAACTGATCGACTCAGTTGATTTTTGCTCATATTTTTGGCCAAAGCCAAACGGTAAATCCATCATCAATCGGAGATCCACATTTTTTCTGGGGCATCTTATAGCATCCCAAAAAAGATGCCAAAAAGAATTCATAGGGGAATCAACAAAGCATCCTGGTTGTTTGCTTTTGGGCACCTTTTTGGGAGTTACTCTATCTATATATACTATTATATACTGTATATCTGTAATATACATTGTAGTTGTTTTTTCCTTTTTTCCTAGTCCATTACAGTTCCCTGGAAAGCCAAAAACACAAAAAAAACTGGCCATCATGGGAACAAGCCGTAATGATCCTTTTTTTTTGGTAATATATTGGTTTTACCAGTAATGACCAAAAAAATGGTCAAATCAAAAGAACATTGCAGTCCTACCCGTAGCAAAACCGTATTTTTTCGACATGTTGTTGAAAAAAGCGGTAAAAAGACGTAGCAGCTCTCAAACAAGCCTACCCGTAGCAAAACCGTATTTTTTCAACATTTTGTTGAAAAAAGGCCGTAAAGAGCCGTAGCAACTCTCACACAAGTGGCTCCAGACGATCAAAGCCGTAATGACCAAAAAAAAATGGTCAAGGCCGTTTGACCAAAAAAAACATGGGATTATGGCTTTCCAGGTCACTTTCAATCTTTTGATATTCACATTCCTCAAATCGCTTCCCTATCGTTCGGAGCTATCATTGAATGGGCCAAGGAGCTACAGATCGAATTTACCACACGACAGTCGACTCCTAGTTAGATAATCTTAAATATAGTGTCCATTGATTTTCTGAAGCCCATATATATTTCTTGCAGTTCTATCAATCCCAAAAATATTTCTGAGACTTATATCATATATATATATATATCATATCATATTATATATATACATACTCATATATATATATACACACTATTATGTATATATATATATATTTGTATATATTATCCCCAAAGAATATTCACATGACCATGGTGACCAGACTCAACTTCTATCTGAGGTGCTATGGACCAACTGGACGGCTGATTGCATGGTCCAGCTGGGTGGCTGCGCAGCGAAGACCCAGGGGGTTGGCATCGACATCGCCTTCACCGAGGGCTATGCCAAGGCTGTGGCGGAGAAGGAGAACGTGTGGTCTGTGACGTGATGGGACAAAAACGGCGAAACATAGGGGAAAAGATGGGGAGAAGTGGGAAAAATATGTGGAGAAACTCTGAAAAAGATGGAAGCCGTGGAATCTATAGCCATGGAAAAATGGTGATTGAAGCAGCAAAGGATGCGGATTTTTGTCCGACAAAGATTGGGGGTGAAAAACAGCCGCTACACTGCTACACGCGACGCGTTCACCACGAAGGATTCGCCAGCAGATGGGGATTTCACTCCTCAAATCTATGGATACCCCTCCAGTAAACGTTTACATAGCTAGGTAAAATCACCATTTCCTAATAGGTAAATCAACTATTTCTATGGCCATTTTCGATAGCAAACTCTTCGTTTACCAGAGAGCTCAACGATAGGTGAGGATTGGCCCTGCAACCAACGGTTTTTCTCAAGGTACAGATGCGACCTCCAGGGTGCATCTGAAAACGCTGTGTGCCCCCTGAAAAATGGTACCATTTTGATGGGGGGATATGATGATATTCCAATAACCATTCCATGAAGACGCTGTTTTAACATGTTTTTAACATCGGATATCATTATATGATTTGATGGAATATGATGGAAAGAGATATCCGATGTTAAAATATGTTAAAACACACCTGCATCATTAGGTTTATCTGCCGTTTGTATGGATGGGGTGACGTGTCCACGTCTTGCTTGGTATGCGGCCCCCTCATTGTGATGTGTCGGTAAGTGTTGTTTTTTTCCAATCTAACTTTTGCATCAGCCAGCTATTGACTGCCATTGCGAAGCGACGCCCATGGGAGGGGTCGATTTTCAAAGGTTCATAGAGTTTTGATGAATTTTGCCGGTTTTTTAATACTGAAATTTATGAAGTTTGCAGGTTTTCTACGACTGTTTGGAGGTTACCTATATGTAGGGATCTTGCCTTGCATCCAACTGCTTGTTTCAATTTGTCAACGAAGCCTGGACCATGGGGTTATCAAAGACGACTTTTCCATACTTTTCCACAATTGGGGCAGTTTTCAGGGTCTGGTGGTCTGGTACCAATGAAACATGGCAGGACCATTCCCAGCAACCTTCGTCACCTGGGTCGCCTTGGAAGAAACATTTTTTTACTCAGGTGCTGGGCCCCTTGCTGGAGGCCATTACCGTGAAGTGCATTCAGTTCCTTGACCATTGGGGTGTTGCGAACATCTCCCATAGATTTTGATTTAGATCATATGCACGTATGAATATGCACATATACCACCTGTGTCAATATGTCATGGATGGATGGATAGGTAGATAGGTAGATAGGTAGATAGGTATACACTGCATTGCATGGCATTGCATGGCATTGCATGGCATTGCATGGCATTGCATGGCATTGCACACCTATATAGATACACATATGTATGTATATATATATATACATAGTACACGTATATATGTGTATAGGTGGAACATATATCCATAAAGATATTATACACCTGTTCACTGATGCTTTTCCTATCTAACCAGCGTCAGTTTCCACAGGGCAACTCACCGTCAGACATCCCGAGTGGTGATGCCATGGCATGGGATGACCACAACCCACAAAAACCATATTTTGACCATGGCACAGAAAACCATGCGCGAAACAAATGGTTGGTGAATTAATTATGGTTATAAATTTTCAGAACATTATGATATTGACCCAACATATGGTTAATATTATGGTTAATTGAGAAGAAAAAACAACGAAACTGGGTGTAGCGCAACAACCGCGGAATGGCGTCTCGAGGATTTGGCAGAGCGATGACGTCTATGAGAAATGTGATGACATTTCCATCGTGAATGGATTTCTTCAAGAGGGCACTGAAACCGAGGAAACTGGCCACAGATTGGGTCAGGCTGCAGTGGTGTTTCTATGACGCTGGAAGTCTAGCCAGCAGTGAATTTGGGTTCAACTTCTAGGTCCATGTTTTTTTGAAAAGCACAAGTAGCCTCTGGTAAATAAACAGTTCGACCCTGAAAATCACCAATTCTTAATGGAAACTAGTCTTCCAACACCTATCTGCCAGGTATTTGATGTTGTGTATCATCGGTGACCAGGTCAGTGGCTGACAGTGGACTGTGTATATCAATCCAAAGCCACAGCCAATTTCCCCAGAAGTCACTAATCTTCAGGCAGATCTTGTTGAGCAGGAGCTACTCCAGATTCCCAGACCATATGCTTCCCCGCTAAACGTGAAGATTAAGATCAAGTGCTGTTTCTTTTTGGGTATTCCAGGTCCAAAATGATACCCATTGTTCGGGGGTGCCTACAGTTGCCCCGTATTGTAGATTTCCGTTAAATACTGGTTGTGTACTCAACATGGCTGTTTCTTTCCAAGCATAAAAACAATGATTAACACATGTTTGTATACAATATGTATATGTACATAGGCTATAGCTATATATATATATATACACAGTATATATATATATATGTATACGCATGCAGCTGGTATTTTGATGTATTTTGGAGCCTTTTTTGAACCGCTGGCGTTTGTGTTTCCCAGGAGTGGAGGTATGAAGAGGTCATGACCTTCTACGCAGTGAGTGGTGGCGCCTGGTCGCGCCGTCCTGCGGCCATCGATACCTTGTGGCGGCTGCAGAATGTGCAGGAGACCTTGGGCCCTTGGAGCCTGAAGGAGGTGGAGTTCTATGTCACTTGGCGATGGGAGATTTCTCATTACTATAATTATAGATATATGGGAATTATATGGGAAATATAGGGTTAATAGTGGTTAATCATGGTTAATAGTGGTTAATAGTGGTTAATAATGGATAATAGTGGTTAAACATTAGTATATAAAAGTGGTTAATAATGATTAATCATGGTTAATGGCTGGATTACCTCTGGTAAACTAACAGTTAATGGGATTATTAATGGGATATCCTCTGGTAAACGTGTACATAGCTATTGAAAATGGCCATAGAAATAGTTGATTTACCCATTAACAATGGTGGATCTTTCCATAGTTATGTAAACATTTACCAGAGGGTATATGATTAGATAGATGGATTAGATAAGATCCGATAAGATACGATTGGATTCGGATTGGATTGGATAGGATTGGACAGATGAGATGAAATTGGATTAGAAAAGGATAGATTGATTGCTTGATAGGTAGATAGATGGGGTAAATGTGGACAAAGAAGCAACAACACAACTCTTGGAGTCCGACCTGAACCTTGATGGATATTTTTACCAGGGGATGGGATTGATCAAATCAATCCCCAGCAAATTCCCAAGTTCTTTTGGGATAAATTCAGAATTGGGGAGACCATCTACCCTCTAGTTATTTAACATAGCCATGGGACATGGCCCATAGAAATAGATGGTTTACCTATTAATAGCATGGTGATTTTCCATGGCGAAGTATTAGTCATAACCAGATGGTAAACAAATCTCCTTTTTCCGTGGACATCCAGATATGTCTCAAAATCCTGTTTCTGGTGGGCTGAGAATAACTAGATCCGCAAATCCTTGGGCACTGGGGAAGCGGACCTTAGCAAATGGTTGGCAAGGTAAGGGATTTCAAGCATTTTGATGGAGCATCCTACAGGATGGTGCCCCCCAGTTATAAGTGGGTTTATAAACCCCAGTAACTATAGTTTTACATACCATAAACCATAGTTATTGGAGTTATAAACCAACTTAGCTAACTATGGGGCACCACCTTGTATCCAAAGACATGCACTGGCTGATGATGTTTTGGGCTTCAACTTGCTCAGCTATCTTCTGGAAAAACATGAGTCCGGAAGTGGAACATGTCAGTGTCCAAGGCTGCAACGTTGCGCAGTTTGGTATTTTTTTCGCCGATGATTTCCTGTCTTGAAAAATGGTGATGGTAACCATGGTAAACTGTTCGTCATTACTCTGCAGAAATCCTGGTTGTGTGATGGAACTGTTCATTTTTTTGGGGGGTTACCTGTATGGGGGTTACTGTTGTGGGCGGTTTGAAACATCTGTTGATGGGATGATAAATCCTGGCGGCATCACAGGAAGATTACCTCTGTACATTCAAGCTGCGCGGCGCCACCTTTTCCATCGGAAGCGATAAGACCTCCGGGGTGAACCCAGGGATCTACGCAGAACGTGGCTGGGCCAATGGGATTTTGCAAGGTGGAAAGATGGGAATGTCAACCCAGGATGAGAACGCCAGTGATTTTGGGGGGGCTCCCCATTTCCAAGAACACGATATTCTATGGTAGTTTCAAGTGATTCAAGAGTCTGCACTGGACAAATCATCATGTTTCAAAACGGTAAATCGTGGAACTAAGTGGCCCATATGGCCCATGTTTCCAATAATCAGATACTGCAGGGGTGGAGCCCTCGAGAAAATTCGCCACTTCAGAATGGCTCCCACACAACATCTACATGATGCGAACGTTGCTTTACAAACCCATGGACCACAACCACCAACCTTAACCAAGTCACAAGTCAACGACTTAGCTATCATAAATCACATATCCCATTCGAATGTTGGGTAAATCCCCATCTCCAGCATTTATCACAATTTTGATGCCAGCCGTTTTTGGCACGTTCTCATAAATCAGCTCTAAATCCCCCATTTTTCTGAGTTGAGCCTCCATTTTCACCATGTATCATTGATTTTGCCAGCTATAAACCATTCAAGAATTTCGGATGTGGCTTCAACTTCCCATCCATCCCCCATTTTTTTCATCCAAAATGTCTCGGAGGCAATGCCTTTGACGGCAACGTGTCGACCTATTGGATCTCCAAGTGCGATCCCATCCCTGGATCCCTGGCACCCATCATCTGGGGCGATGGCCTGCGCTTCGATGGCTGCGAGCCGGAACAGGTGGGGGTTTGGAACATCCCGGTGGATTGGCTGAAGAAAATTCTGAAAAATGGGAAAAAAATGCCAAAGAAAAAATTTGGATGATTTCGGAGAGGCGCCCTAAAAATATAGGACACCTGCGATTTCTATGGATTGAAAAACCATGATTCACTTCACAAATTATCATGAATTTTACCATGGAAAATAGGAAATAGCTATGGCAGAAGTTGCTGTGTACTGAATAGCACTTTACGATTTGCTGGAGTTCCTAAAAACGGGCGGGAGTAAGCTCCACAGTTGGAGGGTAGCCAACATTTTTGGCCGTTGTTATTTCATGGCAAAGGTTGAGGATTTCCCACCCAATCTACTAACAGTAACAAACTCAGGGTTTCCAATGGAATTCAATCTATATTTCTATTCAGAACAAAACATCCCGCACTCATAGACAGGTGATTTCCACGATTTTTGTAAATCTTTTTAAAGTAGATAAAAGCCGATCCTGCAGCAAATGAAAGTTTTCAACAAGATTGAACATGATTCAAGCCATAGTGTCTCTATCTCTGTACCCCGTTAACATGCGTTAACTATAGAAATAGCCATTCCGAACCATTCTGAACCCCTGTTTCCTTATAGTCTACCTACTGAGCTAATCTACTTTTTTCAAAGAGCAGACACTTGAATGCAATTCAAGCCATACTTTATCCTATTTTACCCACTAACCACTGGAACTCCCATCGTTTTCCCATTTAACCAGAGAGAAACAGTCTGGTTTTTCATGATTGGATACCTAGGCAAATAGACCAACTTAGTTGACATAAACTCCACATGTTTTTTCCATCTTTTTCCTATAGGTGTTTCATCATTTCTCGTCAATTTCTCACATTTTTTACCGGTGAAGCCCACCATTTCCCCCGTCCCAGGGCTTCATCGGCATGGAGTTCGAGGTGGCCACGAGCGTGCGCTGCGTGCGGCTCTTCCAGACCGAGCCCAGGGACGAGTTCGAGCGCGACCTGAAGCGCTCCTGGTCTGCGGGCTTTGCCTTGCAGAAATGGACAGGTGGGACACTGTGGGAATATGTGGGATCGGTGGAGTCTTGACATGGATTCGATTCATTAGATGGGGTGGAGATGATAATAGGTTATATATATATATGGTTAATTATATATAAAATTGATCTGAGATGATATGAGTTGGTTGAAGTATCAGGTGTCTAAAGCGAGATAACGATAGTTATAAACCGACTTAGAGAAGTCGGGACACGTGGATGATTAAGAAATGGATTTTCAATAATTTTCAGACATTACAGTACTTAACCGATGGGTGCCCAAGTGAGTTGGGGGGGGTGGATGAACCTGGAAATTTTGTTGGAAATGCCATACTTAGGCCATAGGCTACATCGGGGTTCTACCAAATCTAAGGTGCGTTGGAAGTGGGAGTTGGGAAAAGGACCCCGAAGGGCCGAACGGTCTCTTCTTGAAGCAGTTAGAAAGTGGTTTTGTTTCAGCCTGGTTGGTGCCCTAAAAGTGGCTTGTTCCACTTATAAATGGGGTATCACCACGATATAACCCCATAAAATCCCGCCTACGATCTGTGGCTGTTGGTTTACTGGTGAGACATTCGAGTCTCCAGTCTCTGGTGCTCTGGTCACTTTCCAAAGCATGTTACCAAGCCTCTGCCTGACAGCACCGTAAATTCAAAAATCCCATCCATTCGACTCCCGATTTTGGCTGCTTAGGTGTCGAGTGGAAGATGGAGGAGCAATTCTGGGACTCCAAGGCGGGAAAGTCCAGCTGGATTCTATACCAATGACATATTGATATATAGCTGTTTAAACAAACACATGGATATATATATATATAGATTATATTTTTTTAATTATATATATATATATAGATAGATAGATAGCATGTTGTACATCACAACCATACTATAGATATCTTTTAATACTGTATATGTTATATAGCCGGTGAGTAGTAAATGATCCCTATTTTTTTTTTCTCTCTCTCTCTCTCGATATATATATATATAATATGTAAGTTTATACTATAGTTACTATAGCAATCATGGTGAGTAGTAGATGATTCCTGTAATTAGATCATTAACCAATGGATTTTGGAGGTATGCATCCCCATTAAACTGGACAAACCAATGGATGACACACGTTTTTTTTTGCCCAGCTATGTATGGGGTATCCCCAGCTAGATAAATGGCTCATTCATAATTGGTATGCACATCCAAGTAGGGCTTCGAGTTGTGTGGGCTTGTGACTAAAAATGAAGGGTGTCTCCGCTTTTTTGGGACGAGAGATTTGAATTTTGAGCTTTCTCAGGTTGGGAAAGCTGCCTTCATTCTTCATCACACCATACCTGCCTTGATAAAATGGGCGAATTCTCAGGGTGGTAGTTGGAATGGTAAATCACCCCATCAACATCTCAAAATCCCATGGACATGGAAATTCAACCACATCCCCAGTAGATTTCCATAGATTTCCACTATATCCCAATATGCCATAGATTTCTCCCATGGCATGGCTATCCCCAAGACCGAATACGGGCCTCGGATTTTGTCGGATTTTGCCACCCTTGACCTGGGCAGAATGGTTCCTGGGCCTCACCCCAGGTGCCGTATGGCGCGTACATCCCCACGCTGGTGACGCCGTTCATTGGAAATGCCCCAGGGGTTTGGGAAGATATGCGACCTCCAAACAGGTCCTGCTGGCGTCTCTCCAATGATGATTACACCTCAGGAGCGGAACCCGTTAAAAATGCCACTTAGAAATTTCCCGGTGTGAAATTTCTTCTGGTTCACATGAGTCGAGGGATCAAAAGATCAGAATCCCGCCATTGAAGTTGATAGCCATGCGAAGCCTTTGAACTTCATACTCTTTGAAGGCTTTCAAAAAGGGGAACCAAAGGGAAACACCTACTCAAAAAGGTCAAACATACCGCCAAAAGCCCATTTCTCTTCAGCACTTTTTCTGCCTTTTCAAAGGGTCCAATCACTCAGTCAGGCCCCTCGAAGCAATAAAATTAGATATCTATTTCTGACCCCCAAAAAATGTGTAGGGCCACTTCGAATCGTTCCCGAAAGAATCGGATGGTGCCCTAGAGAGTCGAGGCACCATGACTGGCACACCCAGGCATCAAGTTTTATGGGTCAAATGGTGGTTTTTACCCAACGCCATGGTAACCAATTCCGGGGGATGGTTTTCATAACCCATCCATTTCCGGTGAAGCTTCCGTGGCGGCGTCGCGTGAGGACAGTGGGTGGTGCAGGAGTTGGAGTTCTTCACCAGTGAGTTCTGTGTTCAGGACCCGCAACTGACTGATGCTCGCATCTATGGGATCCCTCTGGCCATGCAAGGCGATGGGACCGATGGGATCGGAGCCGAGGTTGGCTTAATCCAATGGCTTTTGGAGTTGGTGAACCAAGGTTGGTTCAATAGCAAAAGTGCTTCGTTGGAAAAGCTTGCTTCAGCGCTTGGAAACTTAGGTAGGCAAAATATATGTCAAAATGATATCTCCCTTCAAAATGGAGGCTTTAATATGGTTTAATACGAAATATATAGACCTGACCACTTTGTCCCACCACTTGCCGCATTTTCGCATCCGCTGACAGGTCCTAAAAGCACCCGCATTCAGCACGTCTACGACCAGGACCTGCGTGTCGACCTGACCTGGGAATCCAGTTGTAGCCTGGGCCGTGGGGGCGCGTGCATCCCTGGCGAAGCATGGCTGGGGATGTACACCCGCGGACTGCAGCCTGACGTGAAGTGCTTCAAGATCTACCAGCCGCTTGAAACATGGTGGAAGTTGTTTGGGAAAGCCGCTCCATGTGAGGATGGCCCAGGATGGCTACTTTTTTTGGAAGGGTCGAAAGTCGGAAGAATTTCATTCATTTTCAACAATGGGAGTTGATTGGAATCATTTGGAATACCTCCTTTCGAGAGGTTTAAAAATGGGCCGTAGCCCCATTAATTTCCTCGTGAGTTATAAAACTTCCGACCAAAAACTGATTCAAATTTACATGAAATTGCTGGTCCAGCATGTCATTTTGGCGCTAACAAAATCCCCGTGTTTGAAGCTTCACCCTTTTCGCTCACAACTCTACAGTAACTCTAAATTTCGTGGTGGCTTCACCTCAGCATCTGTCGTTTGTCATGTAATAAAGGCGTCGCCATCTCCAGGTCATGGGAATATCGATGGGAATATCGACTTTTGGAGCTGACTTTTGGATGTTTCTGCGTTTCTGAATTTCATGAAAATCAGCGACTTCCCAAAAATAAAATGCTGGCTTTCAAGTTTTTCTTCCTGACATTCAATTTCCCTTTCACATGTTTCTTTCGACCGGAGAAATCCACAGAAATCCAGAATGTACCATCCAGGTCGAAGGACTGTTCACACTTTTCAGACTCTTTCCCCATCATTTCGCCAAATCTCTAGCATATTTTCCATAACTTGGATACATAAAAACAATCACCAAACATCTTCACAAAACTCCAGAAGATCATAATTTATATAGGCTCTCTGAGGATCAAATCCCATTCAGTTCCAGTATGATTGGGGGGTAAATCCTCATCGTAGTATTGGCCGAACAAGAAAAAACCATCCTCAAAAGGAGATGATTAGATCCTCAGGGGCACTTTTTCATCTTTTTCCCAAGCCTTTTGTAGTCGAAAGGATCACTTCCAACATCTGGTTTTCATCTCAGCCTTTTGCAAAATTGTTGCAACATGTTCCTAACATGTTTATCCAATGTTCAACAAAATGTTCCCACCATTTCCCGAAGGTGCGACTTGGAGTCGGAATCATCAACCAAGATCTACAGAAAAGAACTCCGAAGATCTCCATTTTTTGGCACAGGGACCTTTTCAATCCTTTTCACTTTTCACACTTCCAATTTTCAGCAATCGATCCAAGGTCAAAGGATTTAGAATCCAGGAAACTCCAGAGGATCCTCATTTTATTCCATAAATTGGGCATTTTTTCTTTCCGCATTTTGAATATCATTGGGCAGCAACTTTCTTCTAATCCAAGGGTTTCGAGAAGTCGAAATAGGAAAAAAACACTTCTTTCCCCGTCATTTCAGCCATCTTTCCAGGGTCCAGCCTGGCAAGTAAGTCCCCGATTCGTGGGTTATCCCGTATACAACTCACTCACAAGTGTCGCTAAGTAGCCAAAAAAAATATGAGGGTACCTGAGACGGATCCAATTTTATGAAGTGAATTAGCGTCACGTATATTTTGTGGGCGCTGGTTTAAAACATGTTACTATAACTCTGGTTATTAACTGAGTAACACAATTAAATATAACTATATATATATAACACTTATATATTTATATATTATATATAGAATATTGTATAACTACAACTATGGTTATTAACCACCAACAAGATCTGTGGGATCCTGATCATCCTCCAAGTGCATCTCCCATCAAACTATCTGGTGCGATCCGGTGCGATCCGGAGCGATCCAGGTATCCCATTCTCCCCATTAAAACGGGGGAGCTCAACAGCTACGAAAAGAGTTTCCCAACGATGATCATGATTTCTGGGAGTTTCTCATATCTGGTTGGTGCTATATAGTGGTTTAACGAGGGTTTAACCCAACCAGATCTATTTTCCAACATTGTTTATTTTCCATTTCATATATGGAAAATAATCCTTCCCATTGACTCCATCATTTTTCAAGATGGTTAATAAAAACCACCAACCAGATAGGTTAATCACTATTAATCACCATTTTCATACACTATTAATCACTATTAGTGGTTTAACCATGAGGGTTTAGCCTGATGGTTATTGCACCACCAGATGTTCTAATTTTCCCCTCGCTTTTCCAAGGTCCAAAGATTTGGATCAGCAAAGTTCCTTCGTCTCCTTGCACGTCTACCTGGACGGCCTCTGGACGACCCACTCGCAGCACCCGGAGATCGGCGGCGGCACCTGGAACCGGCGCCCGGCGCCGGCCTGGACGCTGTGGCGGATACGGAACAACCAGGAAATCCAGGTCGGGGACGTCGGGGATGGCGAAAGTTTCTGGGATTTTTTCTGGGAATTTCCGTGGGAAAACATAGGAAAAATGGAGGTTTTTGATGGGAAACCATAGTAAAATGATGTAAAATGTGGGTGATCTGTGAGAATGGGCGAAGATCAGGTCAATGCAATGTGGGTTGTCCACCGAATGTACGGGAGGAGTCGGGTGTCAAGATTGTGACATCCAAACATGGATGGTTTACTGTAACTCCTAAAATAGCAGAACTTCGTGCATTTCGTTTTTCCCTTTTTGACTCATATCTCCAGTATACTAAGATAGCTATGGAACATGACCGATTGATTTTACCTTACCCATAGGATCCATGTATGCTATATATTATATATGGTAACATTTGCCATCAATATACCCCCAATGTTAGTATATATACCAGCACCATGGATCCTATGGGTTATATTAACAATGGTGATTTTCCATAGCTACGTCTACGTGAAATCTGAAGGGTATCAACCCCTGCAGGGCCAGTGGCAAATCCATGAGCTGCGGGCATATCGCGTGACTTGGCAAGTTTCTGTTTGTTCCGTTGGGCTCTTGCCGGGTCAACACACGGTGCGAGCACCGGGTCAGGATGCTCTAAGTGATTGCCCAAAGAGGGGAAATCTACTGTAGGTGATTTTACCCATATCTTACACATATTTAAACCTCTATACTTAGCCAATTTTCTGATTCCAAAAACGCATCAAGATAGTTGATCACGTCCTAATGCCCATGTTGTGACCCGGACGGGGCGTCCTAATGTCCGTGTGGGAAGCTTTGGTGAAAAACTGTGTCGCAGGTCCCAGTGGGTGGTGGTGACTGGAACATGAGTGGATTATAGTGGTTTAATGGATTTTAATGGATTTTTCCATATATTGGGAATAGTGGTTTAATGGTTTTTAATGGATTTTATAGTGGATTTTAATGGATTTTAATATTACTGCTTGGTGACTATTACATATTACTATCATCCCATATTGTGGTAAACATTTGTATCTAGTTGGTGGTTTGGAACATGAATTTTATGACTTTCCATATACTCGGAATGTCATAATCCCAACTGACGAACTCCATCATTTTTCAGAGGGGTTGGTAGGTAAACCACCAAGCAGATTATATCGACTGGATCCACATCCCCATATCATCCCATATCTACCACCATGCCAAGTCTCCTGCAGAATCCACTCCAAGAAAAGCCCGGCTGATTTCAGCCCTGTTCATATCTACTCCCTAACTCCATCCTGGGCTCCACCCTCATTCCAAGTCCCAATTTTCATCCCCTCCAAAACCTTTCGCCTGTGACCACGCAGGATCCGCTTTGTTTGGTGGAGACAACCCCTGGACTTGGCGTGTCCAGCGGTTACTTTGCAGTGGATGGCCCTGAGAACGCCTTCGACGGCGACTCGGTGACAGGCTGGGTGGCCAACTGCGACGTCAGCTGCAACGAAACCAGGTGCGCGGGGGCCGACAGGGGGCATCGGGGTGGAAAATACGGGAGGGGTATCAAATGTATCAAACACCAGCAAAACTGGGGGTATCCTGTATGTTTTTTTTTGAACTGGGTGCCGATGTTATTTAGGCATTTTTTCGTGGGGATTTAATCCCATGGAAATGGGGATTTTGACCAAACATAGGCATATTCACGAGGAAGAATGAGGTTAGAACCAGCAACAGTGGGATCTTTTGCGTTTGCTGATCTGGGCCTGTCCAGGAATGGCAGTGGTGAGTGGTGTTTTTGGCCGGTGCAAACGTGTTTTTTCTCGCGTTTGATGGGTTTTGGGGCAACTCACAAACAGGGATTCGTTACCCAAACATGGGCGTTGTGATCCACCGAAAATGGTGGTTACAAACCATCCACACAATGGTGATATGACTAGAAAAAATCACGTGGAACCTCCATATTTTTAGGTCTTTATGGTTTTAGAAGCTGAACATATCCAGCAATCTCAGCTGACAATTGGACATCCGTATTTTCATGTGGGACTTTGCAGCCAGAGGTGAAAAACATTCCTGGCTCAAGCTTCCATCACAAGCCTAGTAAAATTATAAACCCAGTGGAACTTGTGGTTTCTGATGAACCTTGAGTTTCACTGAAATTCCTCCATTAATTCCCATTTCCGGTCAGTCCAATTTGCACATTTCGTTCAAGGCCAAAAATCATCAAACATCCTTTCTTATTTACCACAAATTTCCCAGATACATATATATATATATATATATATATGGGGGTTTCCTGAAATGGGGGTACCCCCAGTCATCATCCATGTTATTCTCGGATTTTCCATGAAATAAATCATCCAGCTATTGGGTTTCCACCATGACTATGGAAACCACCATTTATAGTTGGTTTATAAGCCCCAGTAAGAGTAGTTGTAAATACCATAAACCATAGTTATTGGAGTTTTTTTTGGTCAACTCTGCCAGTGTCAACTTGGCCCAGTCGTAGGCGCTATTGGATCGGCATGGAGCTGCCGTCGGACGCGGTGGAGGCCTCCGCTGGGGAGCAGATGCTGCGCTGCTTCCGGGTCTGGCAGAGCGAACGCCTGGAGAGACAGATGGTGCCGTGGAAAATTCTGAGAAGATGGGGATGAGATGGGGATGAATTACACATATATATATATATATATCATATATAATATTATATATGATATTATATATATATATATATTGATATGTACATTATGTATTGTTCTCATTATTAGTGTTCTTGTTCTTTTTCTGTTCTTTTTGAATATATTACTTAATTATATATCATTATTTACTTATTTAATTATTATCATTATCATGATTATCATTTTTGACATTGTTATTGTTTTTTTGATAGTATCACGATTTCGTTTCTAATTATTATTCTTATATACTTATATAATATAACTTTGTATATATAGGCATAGCGACATCCCAAAAGATAGAAAAGTAAAACCCCACTGAGTGGTGAACCGCTTTTCTCACATTTGGGGGGGGTACTACAGTAATTACATAGACTTTTTTGTTTCCCGTATGAGGAACGAAGTTGAGAGACTGGGGGCCTGGGTCAAGACTCATAGACCAATCTGGTAGTCCCATTTATCCAATTTTGACCCCTACCCTGCTTTCGTGCAGATGGGTTTTGTTGTTGTTGTCGTCGTCGTCGTGCTTTTTCCATGATAAAACATGAGAAACCATGATAAAACCATCAGTTTTGGGGGATTCCGGGAATTTATATGAGATGGAGGATGGAGATTTTTGGGTTGCAAGGCGCTTTCTCCAGTACGCGGGGTCAAAATTTTGGCTGGGCCAACATGGGAGCAGGTCCAAACCACAAAACATGGGGAGGTCGCAATAGGGACAACACACACTTTCAGTAGCTGAAAATGGACAAAGTAAAGGAAAACCACATCAATCAAACATGATACATGAATATTGAGTAGCTGGTTTTGCATATTCCCATCATCAAATGGATATAACCAAATGGATCAAACATGATCAAAGATGGGGATGATGATGGGAACTAGATGAGAACGGTGACATGGCGTCATCCCGGGAAAGGGGGTCACTGGAGGTGGGAATCAACGATAGGTAAATCTGCAAAGATGATTGAAGAATCAACTTGAATTGATGTTTGTTAGGGATTATAGATCCCTGAATGAGGCATCTAGGTATATTTATATGTAGTTTTATTTATAATATGTAGATAATTGTAGATAGATTTTTCACTATGTTTGCTGTTTGCGCGTGCAGTTTGAGAGCCAGTAAGGCCAGTGATGTTCACAACCCGTAGCCAAAACATCAGGGCTCCTCTTGACGCTCTTGTTGTGGAGCTGGCCTTGTAGGCCAGCTTGATTGACTTGGTGTAGCAGTAGTGCAGTTATAGCATTGGTGATGCTATGTTTTTTTTTTAAGTACTAGTTCTAGCAGTTGCTGCCAACAGGAACCAATCCTAGCAGGTGGTACAGCATCGGTCCTGTACTTGTGGGTTATATCCGTTATATCTCCCAACTTATAGAGCTTACGCTAGCACAATTGGCACCAGGCAGCATTTTTTCAACCCCAGGTGCACCACTCATAGAAACCGGAAACCCCGATCAATTTCATGGTAAAAACCATGGTAAAAACCCAATGGGTTTCCGGTGAAGATTTTCCCAACAAAACCAATCCAATAATCTACTGGTTGGTGGTTTCAACCTACCCCTCTGAAAAATATATTCGTTCGTCAGTTGGGATGAATATTCCATTCCCAACTGAATGGAAAAATCCGTTAAAATCCATTAAAATCCATTAAAATCCATTAAACCACTATAATCCATTATTCCAAACTGTTTCTGGAAAGTCATAATCCACTCATGTTCCAGTCACCGTTCTTGTACGCCACTGAGGTGAGTGTACAGGTCCAAATCTGGAATGGTGAGATCTACAGCATGTCTCCTGTGACGGACACGGGGTCGCTTCAGGAGATCGGATAGATCGGTTTTGTGGCATCCAAGGATGGGAAAAGATGAGCAGTACATATCTTGGGGAGATATTATATTGGGAATAGAATATATATATATAATATAATATAATATAATATATAATATAATATAATATATAATATAATATAATATAATATATAATATAATATAATATAATATGTAATATAATATAATAATATGTAATATAATATAATATAATATATAATATAATATAATATAATATATAATATAATATGATATAATATAATATAATATAACATAATTCCATGACGGCTCCAACTAGCCCAAACCCCCCAATTTGAAGTTGAAAGGTGAAAATCCAAACCACAAGACAACTATATATATAATATTTATACATAAATATATATATATATATTATATACATGTAATATATCATATAGATAATACATATATATATATATATATGATTTTCACCCTCCAACTCTCTGTCACAGTTGGAAGATGTTCACCTTCCGATTTTCGTTGTCGACAAAGATCAGGAGCTGGGTGGGGGCACCTGGTCTCGACCCATGGCGAGTTTTATGACGAAGTGGCGGCTGATTCCCAACGTGACCACGGATCGCTTGTGGCGGCTACTGGAGTTGGAACTTTTTGTGTCTTGGTGCTAAAACGGTGAGATTGAAAGAATCATGGATGGATTTCATGAATGGATTCCAATCATGATGGAAATCCCCATGGAAATCCTCATGAATCATCCATTCATGGAGATGTTTCACTGAATGGAAGATTATGGATGGATTTCCCCTTGGGATTTCCGTCATGATTTCACGGTGAATTTTTGGGAGAGACATTTCATCCAGGGTTGCTCCAAGCGGTGAATCATGGCCCAATTTTTTTGGGGGGAAACTGGTGGTTTTACCAAGGTTTCTGGGAGTGGTTCTGGGTAATTCTGGAAACTGGATTTATGTGAGTAACTTGTAACTCCGCGGATATCCACATGGCCATTGGGTAGCGAGTCTTCTGGGTACCCTCTAGTAAACTAACATAGCTATTGAAAATGGCCATTTATAGTGGATTTACCCATTCAAAATGGTGATTTTCCATAGTTATGTTAGTTTACCAGAGGGTAAAATCATGGTCAATGGGTACTGGAATTTTGAGCACCGGAATTGGGGGTAGATTGTAGCATAGATGATGGTCTGCAACAAGCATCATCCCTGGTTGGTATCGCCGAGGAAAAACAGCATGGCGAGTACGGAATAACCGGGGAACTGGTGTTGAAAGTGGTCCTTTTCTCTGCAAAACCTAATCGATATGGGGATTCCGTGATGATGCCTTCTGATCTGTATCTCCTTTGATGTGCGTTGCCAATGAATCCCTTCCCAAATATGAAATACCCCGCAAACGACATCTAAAATTTGGTATCGAATCTAATATCGTTTGGAGACTTGGCTTTGATATGGGAATTTTTCAAGTCATGGGGGATCCCCAGTCGTCACCATGGTTTGCCCTCCATCTGCTTCTTCCGCGCGAGGCGGATTCGGCCTGCAAATACCGGCTGCCCAAATCTGGGGACACAGGGGGTGGCACCTCCGTTCTAGCGTCGCTTGGGCGGTAGTGGTAAGGACCCGTCGAAAAGATGTCAGGGGTACCAGGACCCATAGCATGGAAACTCTGGCGCCTGTTATTTACGGAGATTTTTCAGCATGATTCCAGTGGGGATTGTGTTTTTACTTCAAGCAACAAATTGTTATATGAATCTGAAATGATCTGAAGACGGGGTTCCCATTGGGTAAAATGGGAATTGCAATAGGAACATCTACGCATTTTACCCGTGTGGGTTTTGAGGTATCCGATTTTCAGAGCTACAAAATTGGTTGATCATTTCGAGACATGTAGATACATATGACATATGCCATACATAGATATTCTGGGATATGTTTGGAAGAGGTCTTGTTGCGGGGGTTGAAGAAGTTTCAACCACAGCCAAGATCTATTCTTTGGCAGCCTTATCGGACCTACCAGCGGTTCAGGAAGGTGTAGAGTAGCAACATACAACTGGACCCCGTTTAGCGATTGCAACTGGCCAACAGAGGTGAAAAAGCTGAAGCAAAAGGTCAGTTACAACCCAAGTTACCAGGTTATTATTTTTTCCTTCAGGATTGTTTTGCTTCAGCTTCCCAGTATCCAAGTTGTCCCAAGGTCGGGCTATGTGCCCTTTGTGCCCTATTTTGATCGCATTGAATTGGGCGCCATGTGGTCGGAAGCTGAACATATGCAAGACGAGGAGCGGAGCCGGTGCCGCTGGTCTTTGGCAAGGGGATGGGCTGAGGAAGCTGAGGAAATCAGCAGATGTCCGACTGTATCTTCCCTTCCCAAGACTTTTCGCAAATTTTTGGCTGAGGATTTCTCAACGAAGCTTTTGAAGATCATATGGACGACTTCAGGTTTTCTAACAGATCTTGCGTTGCACTTCCAGCGCCACTTAATTGCTGCACAACACAGCCACTCTGTGGGGATCATCTGGAACAACCTGAACCCGAAAAAAACATCCCCCACATCATGCCAGAAATCCATCTGGGTAAATTATAACGACCTCACTGTTCTCCCGAACCCTGGAATCATGGTATATCCTATAGGGAAATCATCCCCTTTTCTGGCCGAACTATTCAGGTTAGTGAATTATTGTTCCATATTGTTCCATTTACCCATTTCCATCCATTTTTTTGAAGAATCCATCCCTCCGTGTGCAGGATCTGAAGACAGGGGTCCTATTGGAGCACATGCCGGGGCGCCAGCGCAATGCCTTCGTGGGGGTGGATTTTCTGTCCGCTGGGAGCTGGGTGAAGTGTGTGAAGATGGTGCAAGGTCCGACACCTCAGGCGGGGTCAGGAGAATCGGGAAAGGTGTAAGTGGAAATAATCTATCCAATGATTATTAGCGGTTGAAAATGGTTGATAATTGTGAATCCTATTATAATCCTATATACTTGTGGATTTTCCATAGCTCTGTTAGTTTACTGGAAAGGCTTTTGAGATGGTTTTGAGAAGTTTTGTCCGCACATTCTTGGGAGATGCTGGATTTTCTTTTTGGGTAAAACACCCGAAACCTGGAAAAAAGTAGGACTTGAAATTCCCAGGGGAGTCTGGAATCTGGAGGGTTTCAACGATTTTTCTTTGGGCACTTGTCCAAGGGATGATCAGATGATTTTGATGGCTTTTCTTCTAGCACCGGAGCAAGGGGGGACCTCCTTGAGGTGAACCATGAAAAAAACCGACCTCTGCCGTGAGGGAATTTTTCATATGGAATTTCATATGGGGGTACCAGCAAATCACCCAGTTGAATAAGATCTTCCATTATAAACTAGCCATATCTAGCCATAATTTAGCCATATCTAGCCATAATTTAGCCATAATTTAGCCATATCTAGCCATAATTTAGCCATATCTAGCCATAATTTAGCCATATCTAGCCATATCTAGCCATAATTTGGGGTATCACCCTTCTTAAGAAACCCCCCATTTCCTGTGCGTCGCCACAGGAATACATCCCATCTGCCAGATTGGAAGTCTGGGACGGACGAGAGTGGCGCAGCGAGGTGACCAGGGGGGAAAAGTAGCGAGTTGCCATGGATTTTGTTGGCGAAATTCATCGAAAGTCCTGTTTTTTTTTAAAGTGGGGTTTCATATATATATATATATAGGTATATATATCTGGTTAGTGGTTTCAAACATGTTTTATTTTCCATTTCATATATGGGATAATCCTTCCCATTGACTAACCATATATATATATATAATATACACACATAGTCTATACCCCCATTCTTGGTGAAACCTCCAGCTTTGTCTGTTTTATATGTTTACCGCTTCATGTTTGATGGCTTGGAAACGTTCGCCGCCGTCATTTGATTGGTAAAATTTGTTTTTTTTCTCAGGAACCTCCACGGTTGGCTGGTTTAACCATCATTTTTTGGGTTTGTCATTGCTGAAACATGACAATCATTATGGTGTCAATTTGATTATTGTTGGTAACCAAATTACCATAATCATGATTTTTGATTATCATATGATTAACAATAATCACATTTTAACCATCATTTTTCTTGTGACAGTTTGATTATTGTTGGTTCAATCTCCATTCTTGTTGGTGAAAATCCCATGATTGCAGGCTGAAAAAGGTGAAACACTGTTTTTCATTCTTCAAGCACCCAATGTTGGGTTTGTTAAAACTCAAGTTCTGCCGCTCAATAGTCTATGCTTGTTGCTTTGAATCCAATGTTTGGTTGGTCAAACATTACCCCCTGGTTATTTAACAGTGGACAATTCCCCATCTGATGATTTCTGATGATTATGAAGCATAGTGATTTTCCACAGCTACGTCAAAATACCAGTGGCTAGGAGTTTCTTAGTGAAAGTCCAAGTAAATCGCTGCTTCAAATCCCAGGAATTGTGGTTTCTAACTAAAATGTATGACCCATCTATTGACATTTCCCATTTACTTAATTTTCCCAATTACCCATCTAGTTTGACAAGTTATCATCATTTTCCCTAGTTTGATGGTTTAAAGTTTAAAGCCTCATTTTCCCATGAATTTGCCCTTTACTTTCATGGCTAATCTCCAAAAAAGTCATGAAAAATGCCAATGATTTAAGCCATTCTATCCATTAGTTCACTCATACCTTCCCCATTTTTTTCGTGAAATCCGTCCTTAATTCCCCAAATCTCATCCCTCTGTGGTACAATTTCCCCTTGTTCGATGGTTTAAAGTTTCATTTTCCGATTTTTACCACGACTTCCCCATTTTTCCAATGTTGTTCAATGTTTTCCCCATATTTCCCATATTTTCCCATGACTTCCCCCAGTTTTCCCCATATTTTCCCATGTGTTTTCCGATTTTTCCCATATTTTCCCATGACTTTCCCCAGTTTTCCCCATATTTTCCCATGTTTTTTCCGATTTTTCCCATATTTTCCCATGACTTTCCCGTGGTGCATCCCCAAATGGGTCGCCGCAGGACCCGGAGATTGCGCCGGTGGAGGTCTACCTCGACGGCCTGGGGGGCGGCGGCTGGCAGCGGCGCCCCGCCGAGCCGGGCTCGTTGTGGCGGGTGGAGAATGCCGTGGAGGTGCCCGAAGGCAGGGCCTGGCGCCTTCCTTCGGGATGGGAAGAATGGGGGGAGTTTGTGATGGAAGTGGAGGCGAAAAAATGTAACTGTATGCTGTATGTATATGTGTGTGAAAAGTACTATATATATATTATATATATATATAGTTTTTTGTAGAGGTTTTAGAGATGTTTAAAAAGATGTTGAGAGATCTTGAAGGCTGTTTGAAGAGTTGTTGGAGGGGTTGGGGAACAGGGGAAAGTGGGATAGAGGTTGGGGCGAACGGGCGAACCGTGCCAGAAAATTATGGTGAAAACCACAACTTGCCTCAACGAGTTGACCTTTCTGTTGTATTTATGTCTATTGTAACTGGGGAAATCGTTGGAGGAAAACGATCTCAGTGGGGCATTTTCTAGAAGGCATGCAAGATTACCAGAGGGAAGGCATGCCCCAAAAGCCTAGCGACCCTTCCGTTCTTTTGAGACCCCTACAAAGGTGTTCGTCTCAAACTATGGGACAAGGTCGGATTCTGCCGTGATCATGGCAGAATTCTTCTCTTTCCCAAACAGAAAAAAACAGACAAAAGATAGAGTATAGAAGAATAAGATCCTACCAAAATACCCTCTGGTAAACTAACATAGCTATGGAAAATCACCATTTTTAATGGGAAAATCAACTATTAATGGCCATTTTCAATAGGATCATAGTGGTGAATTCGAGCTTTTCGATTCTTTTTTTGGGATGTGGAAGCTCACCTTGCCAGGCTGGGCTGTGTACGAAGTGGAAATGTTCACCAGCAGCGACTGCTCCAGTGGCCGGTTGTCAGGGGAGATTATCGCCAGTGGCTATGCCCCACCCATTGAGGACGGGGCGAAAACTCCTGCATTGGACGGGTTTCACCATGGGGGGATCTAAGTCACCATGGGTCTGAATAGCAAAAATGGTCATCCATGACTTGGATGATTTGGGGTACCCCCCATTTTAGGAAACCTCCAGATGGGAATCTGGTTGCTTTGCTCGTTCATCTTGACAGGAGATGATGATGATGCTGACTATGGGTGTACGACCAATAGTAATGCCATCACCAATAATAATAGTGACACTAATAATATTTGTCATAGCAATAATAGTAACAATAGTAAGAATAGTACTACTAGTAATAGTATGTAATAGTAGTAGTATTAGTGATACTAGAAATAATAGTAAGAAGAGTATCAATAGTACGATAGTAATGATGAAAACAATAACGATGACAACACCAGTAATTAATCAAAATTACAATAACAGTCATTGCCTGCCAATGATGCTAGTCACTGTTTTCTTTTCAGGACATCATTGAGACCAGAACATCATGATGATTGTATAGTAGATTCTGATCACAAATCGCCATCCCAATTGACTATAAGAGGTAAACATTGCGATGAGAAGAGTACTTCAGACTTGCTACATTCAATTCATCATAGACCTTTCGTATACATATATATATATATACATGTACTAATATGTATATATGCCTGATTTTTCTCATATCATTCATGATATTTTAGCATTTTTTTTAAACATCTGAACTATGAACAAGTCAGATTTTCTGCAGGAGCATGGGCCTATCAACTCCATGGATGGGACACTTGGCGCTTAATGGTGGCACCAGTTGCCACTGACTGGCCACTGATTCTTTCAATGGCACATGACATCTCTAATTTGACCAAGACATCAGAAAAGGCTAATGATCAAGTAGAGATTTTCCAGGGGTGGCAGCAGGTTTTTGGTGGTTTTCGGTGCGAGAGTTGGCCGACGGACCATTCGTTTTTCCCCGAGAAACCGGCTGAAGGCTCACTGAAGACTTGGCATTTTTCACGAAGGATGGTCATCATCCAACTTCCCAACAGCCATGCGGAACAATGTGGGTAAAACATTGCTGGGAAGTTGGGAAGTTGGATGATGACCATCCTATTTGGGAAGGGACGTACCACCTATTAGCATTGCTTTATAATAGGTGGTATCAACATAATAGGTGAAAACAATGCCATTTTTACCACCCATGACTGGGAATGGTAAACATACCACCTATATATTTATGGTGATGACTTTCGGGATGGTTTATGGCATTGTTTTACCCACAGATTTCAAACGTTTCAATCTCTGGATCTGGAAGTGCATCACGGATAGGCACTCAAAACCAGAATGCAAGCCTGGAAGAATTATTACAGCTGTTGTGTTGCATTTTTTATTTGGGGGGTTTCCCTCTAGCAACCTACAAATGGATGTGGGATTTTCATACAACAAATACATTTGGGGGGTTCCCTCAGGCAATCTAATCTGTCAAATGGATGTAAATGTGGGATTTTCAATTGACAGATTCTTACAGGTGCTAAAAGTAGGGAATGGATGGGTTGCTGGGGGTTGCTGGGATGATTATTAATAGTTACTATGGATCATTCCCGAAAATTCCCTGCGTAAAACGCACCAGTAAGGATTAGATTGCCTGAGAAATACCCTCTGGTAAACTAACATAGCTATGGAAAATCACAATTTTTATCCATTTTTAATGGGAAAATCCACTATTAATGGCCATTTTCAATAGCTATTTTGACATAACCAGAGGGTAAAAAACATGCCCTAAGTCTCGATCTTCACAGGCACTCTGGGCTCAGGAACACTTCAACGATTTGGATGTCCCAATGCTGTCCAATCGACGAGTTCCAGCGACCTTTAGGCGGGTGGTCGGGAACTTTTTGGGCAATGGGGATTGGAGCAAATTGATCTATTTTTGGAGCGAGAATATAGGACCATCATCCATTTACCCTCTGATTATGACTGTTACATAGCCATGGTTAAGCCATGGCCCCTAGAAATAGATGGTTTACCGAACTTAAAAATGGTGTTTTTTCCATGGCTATGTTAGTCATAACCAGATGATAAATGGATGATTTTGACCAACAAGTGTAATGATGTGTAATGGTTCTAAAGGATGCACTCAAAATGGGAACCAAGCTGACTCAAAATGATTAGCTGTTCACATCCAATTTATTCAACCGTCACGTGGCAACACGTTTTTCAGCCACGAGAGGGCGATTTTGATCAAACTTGAGGGGTTCCAAAGCCCCAGGGGTAAAAAAAGGGGATCAATAGCTATAAATACCAGCCATTTAGGGAGAGAAACTCATAAATCCAAGCATATCCAGTCTATTTTGATGTGAAAACCATGGCCATCCATGGCCTTCTCCCCCGTGAAGTGACACCCCATATGGCAGGCTTCGAGCTCTTCGAGTTCCACGTGGGCTGCAACATTGGCGACGCCTGGGTGGGTGTCGATTTGGGCGCGGGAAACACCGTGAACAACGTGAAGTGCGTGCGCATTTTTCAGGCGGCTATTAGAAGTGTTAGGATGTTGGTGAGAGTCAATGAAGTCAATGAAGTCAAGATAGCAATCCGGCAATCCAACTCTGGGATTTTGAATCAGAATCTTCTCGAAATTTCCGGGGAAGGTCCCCTGGGTCCATGGCTCCCTTACTGCTCCGAGTTGGGAGCCAGGTGGGCTATGAGAAGATGCAAAGCCAGATGGCCTATGTTTCCAAGTGCTTCGGCCTGTCTCAAGCCAGATGGTGAAGTGGTGAGGCTATGGTGGAGGCCCTTGTTTTTAGCCGTTGTGAATAAAACCTATTGTAAGTACCCTCTGGTAAACGTTTACATAACTATGGAAAGATCCACCATTTTTAATGGGAAAATCAACTATTTCTATGGCCATGGCTTCAATAGCTATGTGAAATTACCAGAGGGTAAATGATTGCTGCTCACTTAGGGGAACATGGATCATTTATGATCATTTTGCTTCGTGATCTACCCAGAATCTACCAATTTCCTGTCTCAAACATATCTGGGGTGGCTAGGGAGCAACCTTTATATCCGGGATCCGTCTCTTTGGTGGGTGGAGCAGCTAGAGGGAGACAAGACATGGTATCATAGATGGAATACCACCATCTAGAATATAGACTAAGATCACTTATCAGAAACTAGGACCTAGGATATTTATCATGGCCTTTGATAGGCTTTGAACTAACTATTTTAACACCATCTTTATATGTGGGCTTTGAATGACTCATCAAGTAACCAGTTGGTCAGGGATCCCGAATGGGTGGGTTTTTAGCAATCAGCCTAAGCTAACTTGGAATTCCAGGGTTATATCATTTATAGGATTTATATGGATTTATAGTATTATTCTATAACTTATATAACTTATATAACTTATATAACTATGATATAATAGTAGGATTTATATGGATTTATAGGATTATTATATATATATATAACTTATATAGCTGTTAACCATTATTTTTTATAGGATCCTCACATATATAGATTTATTTTCAACAGCCAGCTTTGATCCCATGGTTTGAGGTGGAATGGCACTGCCTGGAGTCCGCAGTGGGTCCTGGATGGCCTGGGAGGAAGCGAATGGAACCGCCGTCCGGCGTCGCCCAACACCATGTGGCGCCTCTTTTATTTGTCGCGCAAGGATAACGTGCCTCAAGCTTAGAGGTTTTTTTTTTGGCTGGGGCTGGGCATGACCCCCAAAGAATCAACCCCAACACGAACCATGGTGAATGTGGATGATGGTCTTATGGTTGATGGTTGATGGTTGGCCTTAATAAATCACTAACATCCACTAACCACTTGTTATTCCGGGGGGTCACCCAAGCGACACAGCGAATCACGCAGATAACTGGGCATGATTTTGGTGATCCCACCATTTTGCTGATATATCTCCCCATTTTGTTTGGTTCTCTATCCGAGCTTCCTGCTCACCCATATCATCCCAGGTTCTATTTCTAGGTTCTATTATTCATTTTTGTTGGTTTAAACCCCTTTTCATCGCAGATTCTATCACCATTTCCGTTGCGAACATTTTTTTTTCAGTTTTTGTTGCAAAACCTCCCATTTGTGCAGCTCTTGATCTTTGGTTATGGCCAATTCTACCGGCACATCCCTGCAGCACAAGGCATGTCCTACGCAGCTAACGCGCATTACACACCGGCCCTGGGGGGTGTCTGACGTGAAGTTCTTCACGGACGACGACTGCACACAGCGCATCGAAGGAGGCGCGTTTATGGTCGCGGGACATTGACAGCTTTACTACGTCATTGAACCATGTATTGAAGGATGTTTGGGACATTGTGGGACCATATATTGAGGTATATTGAAGCATGTATTGGACCATGGAAGATGTTTATCTTGGATCTTCCAGTGTCTGACACTCAGATCATCTCAGATCCAAGATCCTTGGCCTGGACGCTGACGAACAGCCCCATATCTCCCCTGTGATTGCTGGTCAATCCGTATTATTGGTGATTTCCGCATGCTTGATACGTGGATTTCCAAGATTCTAAGTCTTACTGGTCAGATCCCAGAACCCCAGAGTCATCAAAAAGACCCACAGTAATCGCATCCCCGAAATTTCCACGATGGTTTCTGGGGTGTTTTATATGAACAAGGGAAGGAGTCAATCAGATTAATCATTCATCATTTATGCGCTAATCATCCAATATTGTCCGGTATAGTCATACCTCCCCTTATATAACCATCAAATTACTCTTACTATAAGTATACCATCATAAGTACTGTTATAATCTATGAATATCTATGATCTATTTATAGATTTTGTGACAATTATCCTCATGTTTGGCCAGGCATTCCGATCACCTCAGGGAGCTTCGACTTCTTCACGCCCTCGGTGACGCGGACGATGGGTTTTTCGAAGGGGGGGAAGTCATTTTTCCGGTTCTCATGGAATGGATACATTTTGGGGTATATATATATATATACACCATGTTAAGGGAAACTATACTCTGATTGGTGGTGACTGGAACATGAATGGATTATGACTTTCCATTCAGTTGGGAATGTCATCATCCCAACTGACGAACGAATATTTTTCAGAGGGGTAGGTATACCACCAACCAGATACTATGCTAAGGGAATATAGGGGGATCATGAATGGGAAATATGGCAATGATAAGGGAATCATATGGCAAACTATATGGCAGTGATAAGGGAATATAAGGGAATATATAAGGGGATATAGAACTAACATTAACCAACAATATGATTCGGGTGTGTCTAAAAATTGTGTTTTCTGGGAAAAAATACTGTATGTAACCCCAGGGGTTGAAATGGGGGGATATCCTATCAGAAAAGCACGGTAGTTCAATACTTCATAGGAACGCCCAAAAGATTGAACCGTAGTTTACTGTGTCACTATTTTAGAAAGATGTTACTTTTCTATCGATTTTTTAGGGTGCCATTTTATCTTTGCCATTTATGCGGGGAGACACATGCTACTGTAGCCAGAGAAGTGATGGAGGATATCGAGGAAATTGCCAGAACCTTTCCAGATCTCAAAGGCAGGGATACTTTTTGCTGGAATCTCTGATCCCTCCATCTTCTGTTGGGATATTGGGATATTAATGTTTTCAAGTTGATGTATTAATGTTTTCAAGTTGATATTCCCATCAGGAGAATACTCAACAGAACACAGGGTCATGACTTGTTGGCTTCAGATATTCTTTACTTATCAATCCCACTTTGAAAATACCCTCTGGTAAACGGTTACAAAGCTATTGAAAATTGCCCAGTCGAAATAGTGAGTTTTCCCATGAAGAATGTTGGATCTTTCCATAGAATTTGTTAACGTTTACCAGATACTAAGACAAATCCTAACTGACTTTCAGATTTTGGGGGTCGGTGCCTCAAGGTCTCCCGTTTTTTTTTGTCTCCAACTGCGTCGCCGAGACGTCCAGGTCGTTTTGTTTGTTCTTTAGGCCTAGGCATGTGCTTAGAGGAAACCGTGTTTTCTTTCAGCCATCATATATCACTTACGACTTACTGGTGCTAAACGTAGGGAATGGATGGTAATGGGGGTTGCTGTGATGATTATTACTAGTGATTATGGATCTTTCCCTCATTCCCTGCTAAGCACCAGTAAGTATAAGGGCAAAAAACGTCATGCTTTCCCTAAAATCCGTGAATCCCATTTCTTGTGAATCAAACTCAACCCTTCTTGCCAGATTTTTCTTCGGTTCAACACATGCGTTTGTCCAAAAAAACACACCCTTTTATTGGCCGATGGTTTTTCAATCATCATCTTGCCTTCTAAGATCAAACGTGGGGAGACTCATGAAAAATATCCTCCTGAAATCCCCATCTTTCCATGGTAATGTCAACCCTGGATTAATAAACCCCGTTTACAGTTGTTGAATTGGGGGATACCATTTCAAGTATCAGATGAAATGACTATTGGAGGAGTATCCCCTAATTAATAAACCATGATAAACCATGGTTTAGCAAAATCTGGGGTTGACATTACCATGGAAAGATGCAGCGTTTCCACAAGGTGGGGCCCCCTAGATAGCTAACTTGGTTTATAACTTCAATAACTATGGTTCATGGTACTTAAGACTTATAACTATAGTTAATGGGGTTTATAAACCAACTTATAACTGGGGGGGCCCCACATTGCAGGTGGTGGACCAGCCCTCCTACGAGAGCGCGCGCCTGGTGGACGTCAACGATGGACACCTCTTGACCACCTGGGCAGCCAACTGCCGGACGGGCTTCCGGCAGATCGCGGCCGAGAACACGGACTGCGGCGCGGTCGAAAGCTTGGGCCATCGGGGGTACCCTCTGGTAAACTAACATAGCTATTGAAAATGGTCAATGATAGTGGATTTACCCATTAAAAATGGTGATTTTCCATAGTTATGTTAGTTTACCAGAGGGTAGAGGGTATACAAGGTGGTGCCCCAGTTCGGAATCGCTAAGTTGGTGAACATAACTCCAATTTCACTATGGTTTATAGGTGTTATATCTATAGTTAATGGGATTATAACCCATTTATAACTGGGGAGGGCACCACCTTGATAGAAACCCCTGGGGAAGATGGTCACTTACCCAAGTGATGTTCGGTCAGTGGGGGAATATGGATGGTTCAATCCTGAGGGGATGGGTCAAACCTTATGATGCCATCTTGAAAGTGTGACGAACATCCAGAAGTATCGCAAAAACCATAATTTTAAGGTGAAACTGATGGAATTCTGCTTGGTTTTCACCCGCCAACTTGACCAAACGGGGGACAGTGTGGTCTGTGCCCATTTGATCCCGGGTTGAACAGCCTCCTCCAGGAAGGATTGGGAGCCCAGATTCAAGAAAGCTCAGACCTCCAAGAGACCAAGAGAATGCACTTCTAGACATGTTCTTGTTTTTCCTGAAGAAAAACACATCTCGAAGATTTCCTCTAGATCGCAGAAGCTCAGAGCGGATGTGTTTGCTAGTTAAGTCTACTTAGAGAACTCAGTGCCCTAACTTCTGGTGATGATTGGGACTCTTGTTATTTCTATGTTGCCCTTTTTTCCCAGTGTTTTTATGGGGATTGTAACAAGAATGCTATGCCTTGCCCAGGTACTGGCGCATGGGTGGGCATGCAATGGCCTTCTGCCCATGAGGCTAGGTAGGTTTTCGATGCTCCTCCAAGCACTGGAAGTTGCTGTTGGAAACCTGAAAATTCACATAGGTTTCCAACAGCATCTGGTGGATTTATCATGATTTATCCTATTTTTCTTCCATAACTTCCAAAGATTCCTTCCCGTGAATCCTGCCACTTGGAGGGCAACATGGGCAACATGTCCGGAATTCTAGCTGGAACCTTTTTTCTTGAAGTGGTGGAACATAAGCCACTTACAATGGGATCATTTTGTAAACCCAACAATCTCTAGAATTTTGGACGCTTTTGCCTGGTGCGTCATTGTCGAGCATGGAGGATGTGGGGGTACACAGGGTACCCCCACCATCCCCCAGCACCGAAAAGGGTAATTCCTCAATCAGACATATCCTACAATGTGAGGCCCCTGTTCGATAGCTAAGTTGGGGTTCACATAACTCCAATTTCACTATGGTTTATGGTGTTTACAACGAACTAGTTACTGGGGCGAATCTAAACCAACAAACATATCAAACGGGGGCCTCACATTGTAGGATATAGGATATATAGGTTATATTATATTGAATATATATATATATATTTATATCTATATAGGATATAGATGGATATGGAATATGTATATGATATAGGATATATAGGTTATACTAAATATATCTGGATAATATTGTTCGCCATCAACGATCAATGTTCACCATCAACTGCGCCATCAATTCACCATGAACAATTCGTCATCGTGGCCCTGGTCATAGTCCACTGAGGATTCCCCGCAACGGTGTCATTAGCTCCATGGCTTGCCACAAAATTCCCCAGCCAGCCATGTTTGGTGAAGCCTGGTTAGTAAAGTAAGGGACTGGGTCATCCCGTTCATGGATCTTTATGGATCTTTGTGGGTTATAACTAAGTTATAACCCCCTTACCAACTAGTTATTAAGTGGTTTGCCTTTGATAAGTGAATACATCCCTTTCTTTATCTCCATGAAGTATGATGATGTGGTCTTACAGACCCACTGTTAAACCCTGTGAACCATATAGTAGTCTGCAGGATCAAACACGGATAAACAAGTAATTCATCACTATATTGGAGAAGAAAAACAGATAATAAGCCTAGAATGTGGGGATGGTTTCTACGATGGTTTCTACCATTAAATTTCCATATTTATGATCATTTATGATCATTTATGATTTACCATTGGCTTTCGAAACGCCACGCTTTCGCCAGGTGCGTTGTGTGCAGCTCGTGCAGTCGCGCTGGGAGTCGGGGCGCTGCTGCGATCCGGCGGACGAGTTGGGCTTGCAGAGATGGAATGGATCCAGGCGACCAAAAGATGAAGACATGGGGAGATTATCATTGATATCTATATATATATTTTTTTTCTCATTATATATATATATTCTAAATATTTTATATCAAGTAATGATAATATATATTATATATCTATATATAATTCATATACAATGTGAGGCCCCCGTTCGATATGTTTGTTGGTTTAGATTCGCCCCAGTAACTATAGTTATAAGTACCATAAACCATAGTCATTGAAGTTATAAACTGGGAGATTACGCTCTGGTTTTGTCAAAATAGCTATTGAAAATGGCCATAGAAATAGTGGATTTTCCCATTGAAAATGGTGGATCTTTCCATAGCTATGTTAAATTCCCAGAGGGTATCATTGATATCTATATATAATTCATATATGGGGATGGGTCAAAACCCTGGTACCCCTGGTGAACATCAAAATAGCTGGTAAATGGATGTTCATCCCACTAAAAATGTATCTATAGGTATTGACCCATACCCATATATATATATATATATCAAGTTTATGAGTTATATGAATATTCATCAATATTTATCATTGATAAATCAATTGAATCTATTGTATTTTCTTATCAACTATGTATCAATTGTCTAGAGACAATGCTATCTATGATTATACTATGGATATCAACTTTATATATATATAGATAGATAGATAGATAGATAGATAGATAGTGGCTATAGAAACAATGGAACCCACTATATATATATATAATATAATATATATATATATATCGAGTTGATAAATATTGATAAATGATATATATATATATATACACATAATATATTTAACTAATCAACTTTTGGGGAGATGAACACGGTGTTTTTGGGAGAGATTTCCATGGATGTTCCATTGGGAATGAACCCATTTGAGAGCCCATGAAAAATCCCCCATAGGTAAACCACAACAATACCGGGTATACCTTTGTTAATATCATTTAAATAGCAATGTTTCATTGGAATAAACCGGGAATATGATGATAAATCATCATCTTTTGGGGACATGGAATTATTGATATGCCATGGATTTTCTTTGAGATGTGATGCATATTTTGATAATTTGATGGATATCACTTATACTGCTGTAGTAGCTATTTGATGGCAATGTTACTGTGTTTTTTGGTGTTTTACATATAAATGTTGAGCTGAATTGAGCTATAAAGATTGGTGAAGGATGGATATTTGGATCGTTTTAATCTGATGATCTGGTATTTGACCCAATGTTTCTTGTAGTTAGAATTTTGAACATGTACTGTACTTATGAACCAAAATTATATACTGTATGTGGATCACATACTTATTAGTCATATAGTTTTTTATCCCTATTACTTGATCATCTTTGTACTCCATTTGTGCGGCAGGTGGGTCGAGGCCTCCTGGTTTCGGGAACCGCCCACACCGGCCAATCCCACAGAGAACAACGTGGCTCAGCTTGGTGGTGAAGGTCGTTTTTTGAAGGTCGTCAAGAATCCAATGTGGTGAAGAGAATGAAATATGGATATGGTTGATGGCGAATCATGATTAATGGCTAGTAATGTTTATATATATATATATATATAATTTATATAATGATATATAATGATATATAGTGATTTATAATGATACATACATATATATATAATTAGTGGATATGGAACTCCAAGACTTGGGTTTGGACATGTCTGGAAGATGCTTCTTGCGCATTTGGAAGTGAAACACAAATCTGGGTTCCATGTAAAGCTCTGGGCGATCCAATAAGTTTTGGGGTGATGTCACACCAAAGTCCATCAAGGAAAGGCATTCTGGTTGGATTGCTGGCCAGTGGGGCGCGGAGTGACTTTAAAACTTCATAGATCATATGATGATCCAAATGATCCAAAGGTTCCTTAAGTTCCGGGACAGCCATTTCTTTTGGTCATAGCCAATAGGTCCAATAGGTCGTGAATTGCCAGACTCAGCAAATCCCCAATAGAAAAACAACTCAGGAAGACTGAGCAAATGGGATCTAGAGCTAATCTTTCACATCAACTGGATTGGAGACATTCTCTTTGACCGTTAGTTTTCATCGGAATTCAAGACTGCCATGGAACATCCAATTTGCAATAGGTCAATTGTCTTGTTTTTCTCGGAAATTCATGATCTATGGGAATTATATCATGTTTTTCCCTTGGCAGTGTTGCATAGCTACCAGAGGCATTGAGTTTGTAAGGCAACTTCACGGTAAACACGTGGAACCATGTATGTTTACCCTGCCCTACAGCTCCAAACACCGACTCGACTCTTGGAGTTGTTTCTTGGGGTCATTTCCTTACACCTTCTCAGAGGGAATTTGGAGCAGTCCTGGATTGATCATTTCGGAATGGAAATTTTCCATGGTTTTTCCACCTCGTTTTCCGGTGGAAATTCCACATGGGAACCCCAGCGTCAGCACCTGAAGGTGCGCGCCCCCGTCCACCTGGGTGCAGTCTTTAAGAACGTGGGCGAATGTCCTTCGAGGTCGGGACGAGGGTATGACGGCTATGTTTGACTATTGGATATAGCTATGGTTTCCTATAGTTATAAATTACACTAGCCATAAACCATCATAAACCATCATAGAACCATAGCTACCCGCAATATCATAGAAAAATGGTTGTTAATTAACTATGGTTGACTATGGTTAACTACAATATATATATAGTTCTAATGCCCATAAATTATGTAGTTACCCGCAACGGTATCATGATCATTGCCGTGGGAAATCTCCGAACTGGCCATATGTATGGATATGGATGGATACATGAGGATTTTTGTCGACACTATTGTCACTTGAGGTTTGTCTACAGATGGGTTACCCACCATAAAAAAAGCTTAATTTCAATAGGGAACATGATAAGTTGAGCAACGGTTTAGGGATAAAAAAACTGCATAGCCTATTTTCAGACATGCAGTTTTTGCCGTGTTTTTTCGACGAACCAAAGTAGCGTGAGCTCGGAGGATGGTTGTGGGCTGTTGGTTTTACTCAGCAATGGATCTACTAAGGTTCTGGGGTAGCCATGAATGATCTAATGATGGGTAAAACAATAACAAACCATCCCCAAATCACCATTTTTATAGGTGTGATGTTTGCCATTCCCAGTCATGGGTGGTAAAAATGGCATGGTTTTATCCACATGAGATCTTATTGGGACAGAACCGGTGCTTGTAACTTGACTCAAAAAAAGCTCCTCCGTGCTAACACCTTCGTCCTAGCTCCGGTTTCCCAGATGGATTATATCCATTCATTACCACCATAGTGGGATGATCCTCCCCAAAAATCGATCCTCCAGGAATCCAGGGCTCCGATGAACTCAGAGGCCCCCTATCCTTTTTCTATCCTGGGGATTAGAATCCCATAGTTCTACCCAGAAAATCACAATTGATACCCATGAAGCACCTTTTTTAACCATCATGAAGTCATGAACCATCGATTTACCATGAATTCAACACCGTTCCATCCCAGAAAAATCAGCGTCCAGTCCTTCCCAGGCTGTCGGACAAACGCATCTTTGAGGAAACCATCGTGGAGCAACGCACGCGGCGCGACAGTGACAAGTGCATTGTGAAGCTCACGGGCGCGGTGCCCTTGCTGGCGGAGCCCAACTGCATCAAACATCCGCGATGTGCCTTGGATTTGGATGGGTCGTTCTGGGTGGTTTTAAGGGTTAGTCACTGGTTGGGTGTTGTATAATGGTTATATGATGGTTATATAATGGTTATATGATGGTTACATATTGATGAATGAAAGTACAACGGCTAGTGATTAATGGTTCGTGGTTTATGGTTGATTGTTGATGGTGAATGTTCGTAAAGTCATACTTACATAATCCAACCAATTTCTGATGGTGGTTTATTACCACCAATTTATGGTAAAATTGGGGATGGTTTACTATTGCTTTATTGCCAATATATATAATTATAATGGTTAGTGATTCATTGCTGATGGTTAATGGGTGATTGTTAATGGTTATATACTGCCTATATATGTGTATATAAATGTAGTGATTAATGGTCAATGGTTGGGTGTTGGCCGATGACCCGAGGGAATAGCCCACCAAACGGGTTTTTCACTCTTCACCAAATCCAACGATTCGGGGTTTCCATAGCCCATGGAGGTACCCCAATAGCTGGATCTGGGTAAATTATAACGACCTCACGTTGCGACCGAACCCTGGAATCATGGTTAGTAAGGGGAATCATCCCAAAATAGCCTTATTTCAGGACATGTTTCAAGGACATGTTTCACAGCTTCAAGGACAAGCACCTTAGAGGAAGACAGTCCTCCCTTCGCGCAGCTTGGGGGAGGGCTGATGAAAGTTCGTGGAGCCTTATTTCAGGTTAGTGAAATATTCTAATTTGCCCAGATTTGTAGATGCATGTTCCATTGTGTATATATATATACACCATCCAGCTATGGCTAGCCCCATGACTTAGGAAACCAACTGAATGGCGCCCAGGTGTTGATGTCTTTGGCACCAGTGGCACGTGTTGCCCTATTGGCAACCTTGTGGAATCCGCCAATCGATGCTGTTGCTCCGCAAGGGATGGCTTGGAGTGTGGTGATTCAAAACCTGGTGGTGCCCCAGTGAGGCAAATCGCTAAGTTGGGGTTCACATAACTCCCATTTCACGGGGGTTTATAAACCAACTTATAACTTGGGGGCACTATCCTGTACCTGGTGATTTGTTTTTCCACGTGATTCCGGGTATATTAATGTTGATGCTGGCTTAGAATGGTTTACAATTGGTTGTAATGATTATAACGGATTTAAATCGATATTAGTGGACTGGTCATTTTCCATTTTTTTTTTTGGTAGCACAGTGATACTATGGCCAAATATATAGGTCAGACATGTTTTTTTTTTTTCCAGGGGCCAAAAAGCTCAGAGGAAGGTCCGGGGCGTTTCTTTGTCGCCCACAACGGTGCATCGATTCATCAATGGGTTTGGAACTGCGCATATATATATATAACTCTAGCCATGCTGAGTTCACCTCCATAATTTTTGCGGATACAGGGCACCCATAGTTATGGGATGTTATGGGTGTGCAACCACTTACAACTGGAACCGCACCCCCAAGTATTTGAGATAGAGGATTTACTGTAATTAGTTGAGTCGACTTGCTTTGTATTTCCGGTGTTTGGGCAACCTGGGCAGTCCCCTATAGTTCATTGATATCACTAGTTCGAAGGGATTCCCAGCTCAATCAACAGGATTCAAAGGCGATCCTTGTGCGGCACCGAAAATTGGGATACCCCGAAGGTTCCAGGGTTTTCCTTAAAATTTACTCGTGCCTTTCGAAGAAATGAGAAGGATGACACTTTTCCATACTTTTCCCACGGATGATAAAGTGATCCCACAGTAAGGATGGGGTTGAACAGCAGCCACTGCACTTTGTTCCCAACCCTCATCCCATTTTTGTAGGTTGCAGCTTCATGAGTGGCGAGCCCATTTTTGTGGATGAGTTTACCTACACGGACATGAGAGACAAGCTGAGCTTCGAATATGCCACCATTTGGAGCTTCGGATTTTCTGCTGGGGGACCCCAATGGGATTTGTGGGATCAACTGATACGATGGGGATAGCGTGGTGGGAGCTGCTTTCACCAGCCTATTGCTAAGGGGTGAGCCATAGGTAGCTAGGAGCGAAAAAGAATGTCCGCAAGAGTTGGGTAGGCTAACGTGCTAAGATGCGTTGTGTAGGAGTTTTCGGATTATAATCCACTATAAGTCCATTATCATCCCATAAAAATAACCATTATTATCATTATCCCATATATCATTAGGATTTGTTCAGCATTGTGCCAAGAACCATGTAGAAACGTGTTTCTACATGAACAATAGCGGAATCCTACAGAAGAAATGATGGGGTTTCCTTAGCTTCAAAAGACATAATTAAGGCCATTGTTTTTGGGTGACTTAGTGAATGCTATGGGCTCGACATCCCAAGATTGGCAGCAACATTGTGAAAAACTGCAGGCAACATTAGGCTATGGATCAATGCCTATATACACTACTTTTAGGAGATGAAGATCTATAAATCTCAGTAATTTTGGTGTGAAAACCTGGGGATTCCATAGTTGATGAGACACTGAGAAGACACGGAAACAGCTTCCCCTCATGATTTTTTGATCTTCTCGGCAGGCGTCAACATCGCATATCCGCATATCAAGAAAATCAAGAAAATCCATCTCCAAGACACACATATCATCATCATATATCATTCCTAAAGTTCTGCTACTATAATTCCATATATATATATATCTACTGTATATAATATAATATAATATAATATAATTTAATATAATATACTATACTATACTATAATATAATATAATATACTATACTATAATATAATATAATATAATTTAATATAATATAATATACTATACTATACTATAATATAATATAATATAATATAATATAATATAAAATAATATAATATAATATAATATAATATATATAGATATCATATATCATTTTCAAAGTTCCTAGATGTTACTTTTTTCCTGGACTTCCATGCCTTCCCCATCCCATCCTTATCCACGGCGGAGGATGTCCAACGTGCTGCCGTGGATCGGTCTGGGGGTGACCATCGTGCTGTACTTGGCCGTGGTCTTCTTCCCCGCGGACGTGGAAGCCAAGGCGAAGGCCTGGATCCGCAAGGCCGGGGTCAATGGCTGGGGATGGGGATGCTGATGCTGGGGGCGGGCGTTTGTTGCATCTGAAAGATGTGTATATGTAATGGAATATGAATATGAGATGATATTATGGATTATTAATGGATATTAATGGATTATCAATTCCATTCCCACAGATTAATATGGCTAAAAAAAAACATTAAAAAAGGAATACTGGCTTATTAACCACTTCTTGACTGAGATGTGCATCGACGTATGATGTGGCTGGATATGAGGACTGGGACTGTGAAATGGACTGAAGGAATTCCATTCCCACAGATTAATACTGGTTGGTGGTTTGGAACATTTTTTCCCATTAATATTGGGAATTTCATCATCCCAACTGATGAACTCCATGATTTTTCAGAGGGGTAGGTCAACCACCAACCAGAATAGAATATGAATATGAGATGATATTATGTATGATATATGATATTATGTATATATATATAGATGTATGTATAAGTCAGATGATTTCTACAGACATATTAGATGGAATATGATATATGGAATATGATATGTGGAATATGATATGTGGAATATGATGTGTGGATATATATATATATAATTATAAAATATGTATGTGTGTAGGATATTTTCACATGATAGAATGTCTGGGTGAACTTTGGATGGATAGTTCAGTAGTGTAAGTTCTTTGGCATAACTCGGGATACATGTAAATCCAACCAGCTAAATCAACTTGCAGTTTTTGCAGAGCGTCCAAGATTGGCCATGATAGGCTATGATGTAATATGATCTTATATTATACGGATACAAGGGATGCTTTTGTGAGGCATCAAGTAGAACATTTGGTATATCAACAGGGGTGGGGGATATGGGATTGTAATGCAAACTGTAATCCTCACACATGGAGCCGTATGAAGTAGAACAATATGTGAATGGCCATTACCCTCTGGTAAACGTTTACATAATTATGGAAAGATCCACCATTTTCTAGCTGGGAAAATCCACTATTTCTATGGTCATTTTCAATAGCTATGTAAACGTTTACCAGAGGGTCATGACCATATAGATCCACATAAAATATGACAATCATATACTATTGACATTTCCAATATTGGTCATATTACCCTCTAGTATCAATGGGAATTTCAGGATCCTAAATTGGAGTTACCTACCATATATAAGGCCTATGTTTTAGGCCTATTTTTAAGGGAATATCCCCACAAAATATGGCCAAAAATATGGTACTAACGTACCTCCAATTTAGGATCCTGGAGATCTCCCATTGATTTTATCCCAGTTATGATCCATATAAAATATGACAATCATATACTATTGACATTTCCAATATTGGTCATATTACCCTCTAGTAAACCTTTGCCATGTTTTTTTTTTTTGCCATGTTTTTTTTTTTTCTGGGATCTGATGGTTATAAGGACCTCTACTCCGATGAGCCACCGCGCTGTCGCATCTTCCTGAAGCGCGTGGTGCTCATTACGGCCTGGCCACTGCTGGCTTGGAGGAATCCCAATGGGACCCGACCCTGCCTGGGTAGCGATGGGGCTAGTCAGATGATTAGCCTCTGGTTATGTCAAACATAAGTATGGAAAGATCCACCATGCATTTTTAATGGGTAAATCAATGTAAATCAACTATTTCGACTGGGCCATTTTCAATCGCTATTTCAATAATGATTGATGATGAATGTTGATGTTGATGTGGTAATGGAATGGGTATAGCGCGTAATGATATATAATGAATGTGTTGGTTCTTGACTGTTGATAAGGGCTAGTTAGTCTAATAGCAACATATTCTGAGATATATATCTTTCGCCTATCAGAGACGCATAAGGTGTTCTTATTTTACCGTTTTTTTTTTGGCGGATTTTGGATGTTGAACTCCGCTGAACTACGCTCCACATCCGGCAGGACCTATGTGCAGATCAGCAAATCCGAGTTTTCCAAGATCATCCGATGGTTCGTGTTGCCACATGGGCGGACACCCAGACCACTGGAGCTCTACCGTGCCTTGGTGAAATGATGGGAAAAAAAATGGCGGGTGTGAAACCCACGGATGGATGATGGTGAAACATGGTGTTTCGCCATGGTGAAACATGGTGTTGTTTGGGATTTGTGTCCTCTGAAGAATCGCAAGTTTTCTTCCAAAACAAAAGGTGGGAAAACGAATGGGATTTCAGCAGCACCCGTCATTTTCACTACCCGAGGTTCGTGTGATGGGCGGTGGAGTGAGACGCACCGTTTTACAATCCATTTTTCCCAACTTGGAGTATCACCAGGAAAGATGTTCATAAAGTGTACCCTCTGGTTATGTCAAAATAGCTATTGAAAATGGCCATAGAAATAGTGGATTTTCCCATGAAAAATGGTGGATCTTTCCAGTTCGCTATGTTAATTTACCAGAGGGTAAGAGCTCTCAGACCAACTTGAAATCGGGCCAGTTGGGAAAGTCGGGGATGATTTCTCACCAACCTTGACCAGTTGGGCTTACGAACATTTACTACAATCAGATCAGAACATGGATTTAATTGCAGGAATGGGCTGAGATGAAGTCCCATTCATTAACCCTTAAGTCTATGTCCCACATGTCCCATTCATATCCATGAAGTTCACATGGCCATTTTTTTTTCAGCATTTTCATATCCCATATATCCCACCTTTCGTTTCACCTACCGCAGCCTTCGTTCGTTTCAGGTTCCCTGCTGTTCCTGGTCTTCGGCTCCGTGCTCAGTGGAATGGCACCCTGGCTGATGCTCGGCGCCATCTTGGGAGAGATGATGATCGGCCTCGCCCTGCAGCTCTGTCAAGTCATCAGGCCACCGGTGAAACCGAAACGGAAACGGGGCGACCGGTGTTTGACGGAAGGAGTTGGTTTGGTCACTTGGGTTGGTTGATGTTGATGTTGGTTGGTTGGTTGGGGTGAAGCATTTGTTGATTCACAAAAAAGGCCTGAATGATTTGATATTACAGTAAATATGTTGATGTTTTTTCTATTTAAAATAATATATATCTAGTATATATATAATATAATTATATATATTATATATATATATATTTCACCGTAGTTTAACAAAAACACAGTGGAAAATGTCAAGTCTTAGCAGGTTTTTATCATTTGTAAAGGGGTAATTTTCAATACCTACAAGCATCGAAAAACATGAAAAAAGGAATACTGGCTTATTAACCACTTCCTGACTGAGATGTGCATCGAAGTATGATGTGACTGGATATGAGGACTGGGACTGTGAAATGGACTGAAGGAATTCCATTCCCACAGATTAATACTGGTTGGTGGTTTGGAACATGTTTGTTTCTCCATATATTGGGAATGTCATCATCCCAACTGACGAACTCCATGATTTTTCAGAGGGGTTAGCAGCAACCACCAACCAGAACAGTCTGCACCTTGGGTTACTTCAGATGGGAAGATGAACCTGGTGAGATGACAGTCTTGTGTTGATGCCAACGGGGTGACATCCAGTGGTTCTTTTTAGTGGCAGGTACTTCAAGTCACCTTTCGACCCCTTGGATTTGCGTGACATGCTGCTCCGGCAAGAGGCAAAGCTACACCGGTCGCCCCAGTTCAGGTTGTTGAAGTATCATGATTCAGCTGGATTCTGTATCACTATCATTCACTATCATTTATATATCAATATCCATATGGGACCCCAAAACCATGGGTTTCGGTTTCAATACCAAATGGTCTAATTTTGGATAATTTGGGGTTACTATATATCCCTATTTTTGAACACCTCCATATTATAGATATAGCAGATAGGTAATATTACCTCCATATTTATTATAGCAATTATGATTTGGGGGTACTATATCCTAGTTATCAATTTTTGGATATTTGATATGTATAAATATCGATTTTGCAACGGGTCGAGTGTGTTGACAATCTGATTAAATATCGAATTTTTGTCTGTTTCGAATTTTTGCAAACATCTAGTTACCTATTAATAGCATGGTGATTTTCCAGTTCGCTATGTTAAACTCCCAGAGGGTATGAGTTGCCTATCAATTTGTCAGGTCTCATCCCCCGTTTTAAGCGTCCAGGTCTCCAGGGTGAAAGTGAAACACGACGACGGCATGGCCTCGGCCTTGGACGTGGCATCCAGCGTGGCGACGACCTTCGTCTTTGGCCTGGCGTACTTTGGGAAGTTTATCTTCGATCTGCTGAGCCTCGGAAAAGATTGGAAGATTGGAAGATGATACAATGTGAGGCCCCAGCTCGATAGCTAAGTCAGCTAAGTTGGTGAACATAACTCCAATAACTATGGTTTATGGTATTTATAACTATAGTTACTGGGGCTTATAAACCAACTTATATCTCGGGGGCCTCACATTGTAGGGAAATTATGGGAAATTTATGATCGGATTTCCAGACACAACCATATACAAATTGTTATCTTGGGTGATTTTTTCATATATTGGAAGATGGAAGATGGGATGAATATGACAAGAAATTAAACCCTGAGGTCATCCTCAGGGTCTTCTGATGGTCTGTGAATTTTCTGCTGGCTATACCATGGGGATATAGAACCAATATGATATGTCACAGTTTGACCCTGAAAATTAGCCTCTGGTTTCATGGAAACTTCCAAGCCCCGTCGAACTTTGATTTTTTACTGGGTAATATTATTGGTTTGAAAGATGATGACTATGACCAATATTGATGAAATGCTTTCACCCATATGAATATGACCATCTTAGACCTGGATAATCATAACTTGTCATATTATGTCACATTCAATTGAAATATGATTAGTCATGACCTTTTTTTAATATGACAATCATATGCTATTGACATTTCCAATATTGGTCATATTACCCTCTAGTAAAAGTTTACATAACTATGGACAATCACCATTTTTAATGGGTAAATCCACTATTTCTATGGGCATTTTCAATAGCAAACTGTTCAATTACCAGAGGGTAATTCATAGATATTTATACATATCTGGTTGGTGGTTTCAACCTTCTTGAAAAATATCCCATATAATTCCATTATATATATCTATTAATGCTATTTCATATTATTTCCAAAGGGATAATTGCCATATGATCATATCTGATCATCATATCCCATATGGAACAATATTGTAGTATTAGTTCCATATGGTATTATTCATATTAGCAATATTAAATTCCATATTCCAATGGGATAATTACCATATTAGTATTAATTATCCCATATTAATATTTGAAATTACCATATTTTTTCCATATTGGTTTGGTAAATATGATCTATGAATAATCCCATGGGATAACCTTGGAAGATGGCACATGATTTTCCTATTCAAGTCATCTAAATCACCATGAAAATAGATGAAAAGTAGATGATATACCTATGAAAAGTGGATGAATTATATGTGATAAACCATCTAAATCGTCTAAATCACCTAAAACACCAAGAATACTAGATAAAGAGTAGATAGATTTACAAAAAAGAGAAATGGTGATGTTCAATATCTTTGACCTCTTTGTTGTGCTAAATGGTTATACATGCTGAACCAGGTGATCAGTCATACCCAGCAAACCATGGGCCTATGAACCAGGAACGATGGGGATATGATATGCTTGGAGATAGGGATGTACATCCGAAAATGGGAGTAGAACTCTGGGACGCAAATCATCAACCAAACAAGGATGAGGGATAGGAAACCAACACGAATGCGGACAAACATGAGGATATCATCGGGGATATGTATTTATATATACAGTATGTACATAAACAATACGATACGGCTTATATATATCTAAAGATGGACTGAAGTGCTTCATGGTTGGTAAACGGATGTAAAAGGTATATCAACCTATTGGTTGGGCTGGAAGAGAGCTTTCTTGTTGTGAACTTAAAGGCCGTTGAAACTGGCAGCTGCAGAGCCAACAGTTACCGAGAATTTCCAAGCCGATATTCAGAACTGGAACAGAACATGTGGTAAAAAGATGTTACCCTCTTGTAATTTTTACATGGTTTGCTGGAAATTTCCCTCCATCCATAGATGGAGATGTCTTAAAATAGGGGTACCGCCAAATCATCTATTGTCAGGGGCAATGGATCAAGGGGGGGGTATCCTAGAGATTTTCGGCAAGAATTCTGGGTAAATGGATGTAGATGAGGGATGTAGATGATGGATGTAGATGATGGATGTAGATGCTGGATGTAGATGAGGGATGTAGATGGATGTAATTTTGATGTAATCATTAAATGGTATACTTCAAACCATCGGTATATTTCTTTGCTGATCGTCTGCAGGATTGTGCGGGCGCAGATGCTGTCCTTTGAGGCCATTGAGAATATTGAGGCGGATAAGGCGTGCCGCCGGGTCAGTTTATCTCAGACCGCGGGGACTGGGGGGAGCGGTTTTGGGCTATCAGATGTGAAATGATGTGAATATATACTGTTTCTATCAACAGTACATATTATAAACTATGTATATATATATATATATATACGTATATGATGTATGAATATATGTACATTTTTTTTCGCATGTACATATCCATACAAAACAGACATAGAGTACCACACATGGTCTGGGATTTCTAGCATGACCAGATTTCCCAAAAACATCTGGTGAAGATTGGCAGTGCCGCCGTTGGTTTGATGGTCCAGTGCTCCAAACAAATATGGCCTCGGAGAAATCCCCTGTGAATGTGTGCTTTACATGGGAAAACCATCAAAGTAAATGGGACATTCTATTGCCAGCTTAGATTGCGAGATTTCTATCTGGTTTGTGGACTCATTGATGTTTGGCAAATTCTAGGAAACTACCCGCAACGGTCTCATCAAATGTGTCTGGCGGGGGAAATCCCCAAAGTACATGAAGGTTGCTGGGAAAATCATCGGTCACTAAATGAAGATCTTCCAGCATCACGTTTGATGACATCCATAAGGTAGATCAATTTCTAGTGATCGGCATTACTCGCCGTGATTTTCAGCACATATTTGTAGAGCATTTTAGGAAAAGCCATGGGATTTTTCCAATCTGGATTCATCGGAGGGAGCTGTTCGGCGCGGTATCCATTCTCCCAATGTTAGGGGAGTTTTTCGGAGCTACGAAAAGAGCTTCAGCACATGAAAGGTATGAAAGTTGGGTCTATTGATGTTCCATGAAATATCCCTATGACTAACCATGAAAATCATGAAGTTGATCACTATGAACCATTAACCACCAGGTTAACCATCATAAACATCATAAACATGGATGTGTCTGAAAATAGTGTACCCCTAAACCCAATGGTTTTGCTGATCATGATCCCTATTAAATGGCTATTTGTTTGGGAATATACCCTATTTTCAGACAAACCCACATCATAAAGAATCTTCCGGTGATCTTTGGAGCTGGGCCGGTTGGGCTTTTTTTGGCTTCAGGTGGTGGAGCTCTTCCCAGGTCTCTTAGAGACCCTGAGGGAACCCGCCATGTTGCTGTACGACATGATGTACTTCACCAGCCAAGCCATTTCTTGGAGCTTGGGCCGTACCTGGGTCGAGGTTTAAACAGTGACCGAGCTGGTGACTGTTCATAGGGAAAATGATGATTAAATGATGATTAAACCATAAGGTGACTATTTAGTCTTAGCTTTACTTCGGCAAGATTGAGGAGTTTCTGGAATTCTGAGTATTTTTGTTCCAGGGTATGGTTTCGGGGTAGAATGCTACAAGCCGGCTGTTTTCGGGGTATGGTTTTTGAGACGTCCGAAGCTCTCGCAACACCAAGAGGTAGCAAAAAACTGCACACCTCCGCCACTTGCGAGGTAAACATCTTGATCATTTAGCAAACATCAAATTTTCCGGGGACCCAACAGTGAATGTATAAGATTTACAATGTGAGGCCCCAGCTCGATAGCTAAGTTGGGGTTCACATAACTCCAATTTCACTATGGTTTATGGTATTTATAACGAACTAGTTATTGGGGCTTTTGCTAAACCAACGTTCACATATCGAACGGGGGCCTCACATTGTAGGGATGGGTCAAAACCTATTATGACATATTACCGTATGACCGGGGGAAGAACCATCCAGCTATACCAGCTATGACGACGACCCAGGATTGGTGGGCATTCCGCTCTGCGAAGGATCCTGTGCGTTGGCAGGCTCTGTGGCGCTGGTCATGATCTTATACGGTGCCGTGGCGGTTCGGCGGAACTTGACCAACCACTTGGATGATAACAGCTACGGGATCCGGGATGCAGAAGCTGAGAAGCCCGATCTTCCGAAAACACGTGTATACATACACTTAGATATTCTAATGGAAATATATTGGACATATTTAATGGACATATTTAATGGACATATTTAATGGACCCATGTAAAATGGACATACTGGACATATAGAATGGACATCCGTTGTATCCCAGCCCTATATTGATCCATATTTCCATTTTACATCCCAATGATATCCCAATGATATGAATGAAATATGAAATCCCATGAAACCCAATCTTTCAATGGGAATTCCAGGATCCTAAAACGGCTTTGTACTGTGCCATATTTTAGGCCATATTTTGGGTGTATATCCCCTTAGGCCTAAAAAATAGGCCTAAAAAATATGGTACCTGCAATGGCGAAGATTCATCCCATTGAAAGATTTTTGTTCTCGCTATTCCATGATGGATCCATGTTAGCCTCACTAAAAACAGCTGAGGAAAATCAGCATGTTTAATACGGCCTCTAATAACATATAATAACATCTAACATGGCTTCCAAATTATTTTTCACATTAAATTACTGGAGAGTCCCATCATGAATCCCCCTAACATCATCTAAGTCCCATATTGCTGATACCTCCAAAACATCTCCCAGAAACATATCCGATCCAGTGTCAATCCACATATTATCTCCAAATGCATTATGTCCCATGTTAGTTTATTTCCCACAAGTTTTAATCACATATTTTGATCACATAGTTTAAATCACATATTACAATCACCTATTATCAACATCTCATATATCCCCAAATCTGATGTTCATTCAGTTTCCAAATCCCATGTTCTGAAATATCATCTTTGTTAATACCCTCTGGTAATTTAACATAGCTATGGAAAATCACTATTTGAATAGGTAAATCACCTATTTATATGGTCCATTTTCTATAGCCATGTAAACGTTTACCAGAGGGTATCATGTTGCGTCCCCATGATATTTCCTTTAGGTGCCTCGCAGTGGCTGAACTACGACCTCTTCGGCCTCTTCGTGGCAGCCCGCCAGGTAGGGAACAACGGATTCGAATGGGAGGAATGGATGGATGGTATACATAGGGGATTAAAATTAAATATCTCATGATATTCCCATGAAATATCACATTCTATTGGATGATATTCCCACATTATATTGGATGAAAGATCTCATGGGAAGATCATGGATATACAATCATATGATTTTTCATGGGATATACAACCAATATAATCCCATGGATAGTATATTATAAAAACTGGAACATCATATCAATTAATCCAACTATTATTTTATTATCATCATGGATAATACCAATATTCAATAAATATTTAATAATTATTTATATTATAAATATTATATATATATACATATATCTCAACTATTATGTATTACTACAACCAATATTATCCCATGGACTGATTAATAAATACCAACTGAGATGTAATTGGAAAGTCCAGTTACGGTAAAAGCCAACTGAGACATACCGAAAAGGTACGAGCCCCCCGAAGGCCCGGCCGGCCCGGGCCGGTGAAAAGTCTGGAGCATTTCGATCAAATCTTAGGTTGCACACTTGTAAGCATGCTGTTATACATGTATATATATATATACATATACATACACATGCATACATATTTTTACATATATATATATATACACATACATACACGTATGTACATCTATGTTTACATTATCTATGTATATTTTAGCTGCCCATATGCACGCATTGTACCCCTAAATAGACCTTAATAAAAACCTTAGGCCTACCCTAAACCAGCGACAAATCGATGAAAAGCATCGAACAACGCGCTGCACAGCATGGACACCTGTGAAAAATCATGGGAAATAACAAACATGCAAACAATCGATGAACACCATGGAAAACGGTTTAAAAACAATCGGAAAAAACATGGAACGATTGATGAAAACCATCGAGATTTATCGATGCAATTCATGGAAAAAAACGATGAACACCCATTGAAAAATCAATGAACACCAGCGAGAAACCGATGAACGTTATTATACATATTTTTGGCTTCAAAATGCAGCAAATAGCAAGGACAAGTCCCCCAGGTTCTTGAAATTATGCTCCAAAATGCAGCAAGTAACATCTTGTGTTTTTTTTTGGATCCAGCGTTCGCATGGCACAACCTCTGCTCCCTTAGGTTATTTTTGTTGAATCTTCTCCCGATATCCTCACCCTGCAGAATGATGGATAGATATCAGCATCATGGGGATGAGTCAAAACAAAATCTTTGATTTTTCAGGTGATGAATTTCAAAAGTGGTCAACCAAACCAAGCTTTGGGGCGATTCACACATCGTTTTTTGGCATTTTATAGGGCCCCCCAAAAAGGTGGATTAGGATTAGTGTTTCCACAGGCTCTATTTTGAGATTTTTCTTCATAGTGTCCGTCCGATAGTTCGATCTGTTTAGGGCTTGGTATGGGTCAAAATTGGGATACTCTTGGACTCTTTAGATGTAGAATTTCACCAAGCACTAGCCACAGAATTGTTGACCAGAAATATACACACATCTTCAGATATATATCTTCAGAGATAGCACTTTATCAGGGGGACCGGACCTGAACTATCCATTTCGAGGTATTGACTTCGGAGTACACAATCACTTGACCCATGCCCCGATAGAGCTGTTTTCTATAATTTACTATCTGCAACTGAGGATGAACCACAGATTTCAGCTTTAGGAATTCAATGAAATTCAAGATTTCAACTTCTGCCACTTCTGCCCAAATAACACTGGTTAATTTAAGGGTAATCAACTATTAATCAACCATTAATTAACAATGAATCAACCATTAATCAACCATTAACAACTCACATGTTAACTTCGAAGTAGACTAATTAGATCCAAAAGGACATGGTTTATAGATCCATTTAACTTTCCATTAACTTTTAACAATTCAAAGTAGATCCATGTCCTTTTGGATAATTTTTTTCGAGCCGCCAGGTGGTGAGAGCCACACGTCCTGAGTGCCAGAGGGTGTTGGCCCAGTCGTTGATCTTGTTTTGCTTCTGAGACGAAACTTATGGGTGACATGCTGCTTATTCTGCTGCTGAAATGGCCTATGAAAAATGGTGAAACATTTGGGACTTTACCATGAAGAATAGGGATTTCAACAGTGGATAATGATCATCAAATTGATATTTTTTTTGTGTGCCTGACAATGGGGGATTAACTGGAGTAACCCATCTGGCAACTTTAGATGGGGGAAAATGATGGACAATGATGATCAACCATTGAATTTTGGGGGTACCCTCTGGTAAACTAACATAGCGAACTGGAAATCACCATCTTTAATAGGTAAATCAACTATAAATGGTCCATTTTCAATAGCTATTTTGACATAACCAGAGGGTACTTGATTTTTCAGATAAACCCAATGAAAAAGGTGATGGGCAAGGTGCATTATCATCCAATAAACATTGCTGTGGGGGCACATACCCTCTTTTCAGACGAGAGATCTACTGGTCATCAGTCACATGGCTGGAATGACCTCCACAGATGTATATGATAATCATACATAAACATACTTCAACAATAATATGTGTATAAATATGTTTTTTTGGTGAACAACTGGGATATTTTTCATTTTTTATTTCTAGGTTTCTGACACTTTTCCCACTTTCCCGTACAGGTTTGAGCGCCTCCTTCGCCGCGGTGCAGATGACCATGGTTTTGTTCACCCGAGCTCTGGCCTTCGCCAATCCCTTCGTGGTCTCCACCTGGGTGGCTCGGAGAGATACCAAAAGGATGGTGAAATTTCACCAGAGGGGTAGGAAAAAAACACCAACCACATAAGTTACCCTCTGGTAATGACTAACATAGCTATGGAAAATCACATTTTTTAATGGGAAAATCCACTATAAATGGTGATTTTCCATAGTTATGTTAGTTTACCAGAGGGTAATCACCATTAATCACCATTAATCACGATTAATACACTATGAAAATCACTATTTTTCTACACCATTAAACAAACTACAATGTGAGGCCCCCGTTCGATATGTGAACGTTGGTTTAGATTCGCCCCGGTGACTAGTTCGTTATAAATACCATAAACCATAGTGAAATTGGAGTTATGTTCACCAACTTAGCTATCCCTACTGGTATCCTCTGGTTATGACTAACATAGCTATGGAAAATTGCCCATAGAAATAGATGGTTTACCTATAAAAAATGGTGAGTTTCCATGGCGAACTGTTAAATAACCAGATGGTAAATAATGGGATAAACCTACCACCGTTTTCAATGGGTGATTTGGATTTCGCTGGCCCATCCACCGAAAAAATCATGGGTTTAGCATGGTGAGTAATAAGTCACATCCATTTATATCCTCATTTCGCAATCATAAGTTCTTGTTTGATCCCTTTGGACAATATTTTCTGCTTGGGATTTTCTGCAATGACTGGATATTGGTGGAGAGATACTATTACTATTGTACTATTGTACTATTTTACAATTATATACAATTATACTCTATACTATTAACCAATATACTATTATACAATTATACTATTTTAATATGGTACTATTTTACAATCATACTATTATGCTATTATGCTATTATTCTATTATTCTATTATACTATTATACCATTATCCTATTAGAATATTATGCTGTAATGCTATTGTACGATTGTACTATTATACTATTATACAGTTATGCTATTATACATTTATATTATTGTACCATTACATTTTCTCACCCCAAAAGATAGGGATAGCGAGTCAAATCAGCTAAAGCCTCACTTGGGCTGGTTAATTCCCCACTTATTATTGACTAAGCTCATCCCAATAATATTGAACACATCCTATTGCTGGGTCCCGGTATGTAATTTCATCCCCTACTAAACAATGTTTTCTGGTTTATGGGATTACTACTACTATTACTATTGCTACCTTCTGGTAATTGCTCACATAGCAATGGAACATAATCATTTTCAACAGCTACATCATCTATATTAATTACTATTATACTATTGACTACCATGATGTTTCTGTTTACTGTTACTTTCATTATTATGATTGTTCTTATGATCATGACGATTGGCTATTAGAGTATGCCGACTAGACTATTGGCTGTTGTTACTATTGACTATAATCAGCATTATATGTACGATTGCTATTGACTGTTGACATTTACAGTAACATTGACATTTACTATAATATTAGCTATTGACTATTGACGATTGACATTTACTGTAAATGTAAAGGACATATTCACTGTAGACTAGTGACAATTCCTACTACCCTCTGGTAATGTACCAGATTGCGGCGGAAAATCCTCCATTTTCAAGGGCTAAATATATCGAACCAAACGAGCTTTTTGTACCGTAGCTATGTTAAATTACCGGAGGGTATTGACTATGTTTATAGTTGTAGTTGTTTGCCATTAACTAATAGTGGTACCACTATAGTTGACCACTATATGTAGCCACCATGGATATGCAATTCCTCTAATGGTTGACTATTGTTATTATTGTTATGACTGTTATGGTTGCCGCTATGTTCAGTAATTATCATTGTTTTGTTGAACAAATAATAACTGTATATCATACTATTGACTATATTAATGTTTTTCATTGCTGTTGGATATTGACTGTTGACTATACTGACTATTCCTATTGACTATTGCTATTACTATGACTATTATGATTATCATTATTATTGTTGTTGCTATTATTCGTGTTGATATTTTTAGTTTTGTTTGGGGGAAACTTGCGTGTGCATGTTGACAGATTCCCCAAACTGGGGATGCCAATTGCCATCCCCAGCCTATTGGAATGTGCGACAACCTGACTGATGTCCAACCCACCTGAGGCTTCCTGAAAACTCACTGCGACGCCACTGGAAGGATGATTTATATATGGGTAACCTCAGAACCCTTGAACATCATATTCAGCTGATCTTCCAAGACGCTGTCAATGTTGGAACAGCCGTTTTTTTTTATTTCGGATGTTTGAAGAACTTTGTTGTGACCCGGCTGACATCGCGAGCCTCAAAAGGTCTGCGAATATGACGACACCTTAGCCATCTTTGTGGGGCGTTTATTGCTCACGGGCTCTTCACTTGTGGGCCTGGTCTTCGTCTTTCTGTGCGTGAATGGCCACTTCATGGGTCAGGAGGGGTTTTTTCCCCGGTTTCCGCAACTTGGTGGAGGTCATAGGACAGGATGAAACAAATTGAGCAGATGATATTCAGAAAGGGGTAGCCTCTGGTTATTTACCCTCTGGTAAACTAACATAGCTATTGAAAATGGCCATTTATAGTGGATTTACCCATTAAAAATTGTGATTTTCCATAGTTATGTTAGTTTACCAGAGGGTAAGGCTTTGCGAACTGGAACATCATCATTTTTCGTAAATCCTCATAAATCACCTATTTCTATGGGCCATCGGCGGCTTTAGCGATGTTTTTACATCACCAGAGGGTACCACTTCAGCCATTGAGCCCACTGAAAAATCGGGCCAAGCCCCGAATGTTTCACGGTTTCGGATCTCTGAAGCCGGATCGGTGCCTCCAAACAAAAAACCACGGCGATTCTCTGTGAAATTGGAGGCAGCTGTGATGATCCATGGAAATGGAGGCTATCCCTAGTGGTATCCCTATAGCTAGTGAGGCTCCCGTTCGATATGTGAACGTTGGTTTAGCAAAAGCCCCAGTAACTAGTTCGTTATAAATACCATAAACCATAGTGAAATTGGAGTTATGTTCACCAACTTAGCTATCGAGCGGGGGCCTCACATTGTACTTGTTTTGGACTTCAGTTTTTGTTGTCAAACATGCCAAGAGATCTAAAGCCTCTCAAAAAAAATTCACTGTCTTTCTGCCCAGATTCCCCGTGGCCACAGAATGATCTTTGAAAGATCTCAATCAATTAGAAAGTGGCCTCAGAGAATGGTTGAAAACCATGAATTACACCGTTCTTGTTGGTTATATGGGTCCGTTTGAACATCGGGGAACCCCAATGAACCAAAGATTATCAGTGTGGGGTATACACTTCATTTTTGGATAAGCCATATCCATCATTCTGTCAACTTTCGCAATTTCCTGTACATAAGGAATTCCTTTGTACCTAAGGTTGCCCAATATGTTCACTTCCTTTTTCAAAATCTAAAACTCAATTGACATGCTTGTGATCATTCATTCATATCTTGGATCCCTTAATCTATATGATTCTACATATTATGTATACATATATATATATATGTGATATATATAATATATTATATATATATACACACGCATCACTATCTGGATTTAGTAAGAATAATAAATAAAAAATAAATAAATACATAAATACATAAATAAATAAATAAACAAATACATAAATAAATACATAAATAAATAAATCAATAAATAAAATATAATATCTCGAGCATGGTCTCCGGCCTGCAGGACTACATCACCGCACGCGTGGCGAATTTTTTGGGCATCGATTTGACGGCCCTGGACCCCGACGGCATCGGCGAGGAGGGTGGCATGTTTCGGCTGAATGTCTTCGGCGCAGCGCTGCCCACGCTCTTTGGGGTCTGGTGGGATACTTGGAATGTCTATGGGGTGAACATACCCTCTGGTTTATCTATGGATAATCTATGGATAATCTATGGTTAATATGGTGTTAATATGGTTTTATAGGGATGATAATGGGATAATGATGGGATAATACTGGGAAATTTACCCTCTGGTAAACGTTTACATAGCTATTGAAAATGGCCATAGAAATAGTGGATTTACCCATTAAAAAATAGTTATGTTAGTTTACCAGAGGGTAATCCAAAACATACAAGGTGGTGCCCCAGTTCGGAATCGCTAAGTTGGTGAACATACCTCCCATTTCACTATGGTTTATGGCAGATATAAGGAACTTGTTAATGGGGTGAACATAAACCAACAAACATCACTGGGGGGCACCATCCTGTAATCCAACACACACTGGTGATGAGGTGCTCCATACAGATGGGTCAAAACCTACAATAACAAACTTTGGGGGATGAACATCCATTTAAGATCTATTTTGGGGGATCACCAGGGTGCCAGGGTCTTGAACCATACCGATATATGTATAACAATGTAGAACCACACGTATGTAAATGTATACATATATAAAAACATATATATATATATATGTATGATTGAAGATGCATATATATATATATATATTGTCAAGATGGGGGTACTGGCCCACGAAGTCCAACCCGCAAGAACGCGCCTAAGCGCAGCAGCGCCTTTTCAAGAGGTGCCGCTAGGCGTATGCCATGCGATGGCGTCAAATCGCCCACCACTGTTAAGTTGGGAAAACAGCGGCGGATACAAAAGGTGAAAAGTCACATGTTGCACAGGTTGCAGCTGTAAACTTCACACAGGGGAAAGAAGGTAAAGAATTGAAATTGAAAAGAGTGCTCCTTTGGCATCTCTGGAAAATGGCGGTCACACGCCAGCACTGCTCGAAGAACCAAGTGCACTCATTCGTGCCTCTTCATCCAGTATCGCTGACGCTTCAGCCAAGACCTCAGGGTCCTCATCGCTGATGCCATTTGCCATGAAGGCGTCCATGTCCTGGGCCAACGTTCGCTGGTTCAGGTCGTGAATGTAGGTTGTCACATAGTATGACGCGCAGTTGTCGCACGCATACCTTTCTATCACTTGGCTGTTGTGAAGCTGATAGCATTGATCATCCAAGTGCCAGACACGTCCTCGAGGAGCATGGTACGTAGGCCTTCCAACTGTGCATCGATTGTGAGCATGGTTGTGGGCTTCTGAACGTGCACGTCCAATCACGTCCTTGGCCTCTATGAAGAGTGCCCTCAACCTTCCTATTTGGCGTATGTAGCCCATCTTGTGTCTCTGCATGCGCGCACACTGTTGGTCTTTCTGCCAGAAGCTATCTTCCAAACATCGAAGCTGTTGCTGCAAGCGCTTGACCTCACGGTCGGCCAGAATCGGTCCACCAGGCAAGCTCAGGCATTGAACTTGTCTCACAAGTTCTTCCACCTCACGCTTCAGTGCCAAGTTTTCAATGGTCTTCTCTTCCAGGCGAGCTTCCAAACGGTCGCTTCGGATATGCCTCAACCTCAAAACGTGGTTGTGGCCAATCCACCATCCATGCATCCAACCCATGATATACGTGCCAGCCACGAAGATCAGCAACGCTAGGAGCACAGCTGTGTCCCAGACGTAGTCCCAGAAGTAGGACTTCTCTTCGGGAATGATCTCGACGTGGGGGCACATCTCGGTTGAGATGGGATCGCCCAGATGTTGAGCCATAGCACCAGGTGGCAGCCATAAGGCAAGCAACGCAAGCTTGAGGGCAAAGCGCAGCAGTGCATGAACCATCCAAATCATCCAGTCATCCACATTCTGTGTCTCCTGGTCGTAGGGGACGAGGTCAACCTGCGTGTCCGTGATCGGCACAAGGTCGTTGATGTTCACGTCATGGTCACGACGCAGCTCTGCTGGGGCTGTAACAGCCATGTCGTGGTCTTCCAAGATCTCGTCATAGGTGATGGCCTCATAGATGATTCGTTCATGGTGCTCAGCAAAGGTTTCGATGGGAGTTGTTTCATTGAGCTCAGTCTCTTCTGGGACAGTCTCCAGAGGTTTGGAGAACTCATCTCGGCTTGCAATTCTGTCTGCAAGCTTCTTCTTCTTGGCAGCGATGTAGTTGGGATCCCAGGACAGCTTGATGCGTCCATACCTCAGGCGGTCAGCAAGGAGCTGTCTGGTTGCCTCCTTGGTGAGGGAGTCGGCGTACTGCCGTTCGCTCGAAATCCATTTGAGCTTGCCGCCAAGAGCTTCAAGTCCTTCTCGAAGAACCTTGATCTCCAGCCCTGTCCTCTTGTCGGTGAGGCCACTGCTGAGGCTTTCACGGTGATAGCTGTCATACAGCGCTTTGGCATCCGTGATGAGCGTGGGCTCCAGAGGGCTTGGCTTGTTCAGGATGTTCGCCAATGGCTCGTTGGGCTCCAGGAGGTGCTGGTAGTAGCGGCAAGCAAAGTCCATGTTGTCGCACGCTTGACTGGCTGATTGGGCTTCTGCTCCAAGACTGGATCTGGCCACCCTTGGTAGTTTGGATGAGCGCCAGTCAATCACATGGTACGGCCCTTCAACTCCATCAAACGTAGTTTTGGGAACCAGCATCATGAGGTATCCTCCTTGGGATGAGCCATCTCGTCTGATGCCAAATGCAGCATCCACCATTGTCACCAGACGTAGATCTTCAATGCCACATAGGTGCTCGTAGCACAAGGAGACATCGGAGTTGAGCTTGGCGAACTTCAAGAGGCGGTTGGCATCTTGTATGGACTTCACAAGTCCGGCAGAGAGTTGTCCAGCAAGAAGAGATGTAGAGCATTGCAAATGCGGTTGGGACTGCACTGATGGCCACTGAAGTGATCCCAGTAGACCTCGAAGTTGAGTGGTCTCAGCAGGAGTCATGTAGTCCTCGGGACCTCGGCCACGATGCAGTGCAATTGGTTTGACCTTCTTGAGGTACTCGGAGTGATTCAACTTCCATCCACCGCTGGGAGTCTTCTGAAGAGAGGCTCCGCAGTACTCAAGCTCATCCTGGTCCTTCCACTCTCGGAAGTTGAAGATGTTGCGAAGCTGCTTGACAACGTGCTGGTACACCAGCGATTCTTCAAGGCCACCTCCAAGCATGTCATCAACATGTATGCAAACCATGCCAACAATGCGCTCAGCGCCAAGGCATTTGGAGGGGTCCGTGGCCGCGATATCAGGAAAGTCAGTCTCGCAAATCAAGAAGGCACAGGGATCCAGGATGTGAGGTCGTAGTCCAATTGAAGTCAAACGTCGTGTGGCTTCCAGGAACCATCGCCTTGGGGCGTCAATCTGCCCATAGCAAGGTTTACGCAGCAGCATGCGTGTAGAATCATCAGCGCCAAGGATGGTCAGCACCTCGCGTGGCAACTTCACCCAGAGTTGTCGTTCTTGAGGAAGTCCTTGTAGAAAGGCTGTGGCCACATCGGCTGTCCATCCGCACCACTTCAAAATGGCGGACAAGGAAAGGAACATGGATCGTGACAATCGGCTGGTTGTTGGCGCCGTTGTCTCAACCTTCCCCTCAAGAGCGTCCTGGTCGTTGTACCCTCGGACCACAAGTCGAGCTTTGGCTCGCGGACTTCCGTCCGGGTTCTTGCTCCATTTGAGCAGCATTCTTGAGGTAAGAGTTCGTTGTGGGTCCGTGTCTTTGACATGGGCAAACTCCCAGACTCCATTCTCAAAGAAGCTCTTGAGTTCCTTGATCTTGGCCTGCATGAACTGCTCTCGTTCCATCATCGTCAGGCCTCGCTCACTGAGCTCTGAAGTGGGCTTCTTCTTGATGATCGCATGCTTGGCCTGTCGTGCCACTTTCTTTGCAGGGGCTGTAGAAAACATGGCAAGCTCCTTCCTGGTTGCTCCATTGATCTGATAGATCGTCATGCCAGTCCAAGAGGACTTGGAAGCAGGAACCACGGTGTCATAGCGGTCAGTGGTGATCTGCCTGATGCCATTGGGAAGTCGCATCAGAGTGACCCGCACAGGGTCCAGCTGCTTCAGCTCCATAGGGCAATCCTTGGTCTTGGTGATGTCGTGAGGTCGATGCCGAGGTTGTAGATGGTGTCTGATGAGGCATCCAGCGCGGATCTCCCAATAGTCATGGTAGTTCTTGGTGTCAAGCTGGAAGTAGCCTTCTTCATCGACACTCCAACCAGTTGGCAAGAAGTCACCACCAATGTCAGAGACCGTGAAGGCTTGGCCAATGAGCTCAGAAGCAGGGTCACGTTGACCTGGGTGTTGTTCACCTTCGGGTGGATCCTGATCATATGGAGCATGTCTTTGGGCAGCTCGACGTCGCATCGGTCCAAATGGGCCAAACTGCATGGTTTCTTGTCGATCCATTTGTCGTCGACGCTGCAGGAAGTCAGGAGCTGTTGTAGGCTCGTAGAGGTTCATGTCTGTGGAAGTCACAGTGAGAGGTTGTACTGAAAGAGGATCTGCAGAATTCATCGGTGTGTTTGGGGCTGTTGCCATAATCGATGGTTCTCGGCTGGGCTCAGGCTCGTCGACATTGATCGGTGCAGGTGGTTGTGGAACTGGATCAGGAGCCAGTAGAGCAGGATCAGCTGGTGCAGGTAGAACAGGAGGTCGTGCTTGGCCAGGGAACTCAGGGTGTTCCGCAGGAGTGTTCGCTGGAGAAGTTGGTGCCAAGCTGGGCTCATAGAGCTCTTCATCCTGGTTCTGCTGTTGTTCTCGGTCCAGCTGTTGCTGCATCTGATCCATGGCTTCTTCAAAGGAAAGTTCATCCTGCGGGATCATGTCGTAGGTGGTTCGCTGTCGTCGTGAAGGAGGTTGTAGATCATCTCCACCACCCTCATCATCATCTGGCTCTGAACCAGAAGCCATTTCATCATCGTTGAGTTCATCAGGGTGGTGCCGCTTGTTGACCTTGTCGAGGTCCAAGAAGCGTGTCACGCCTCGAGAGCGAAGAGTAGCCACCTCTCGTCGAGCTTCCTGAGCATCAGCCAGTTGGGTATCGGCTGCAGTGAAATCAGCACGCACGTGGTGCGGCGAGCATCTGATGAGCTGGGTCTTGTAGGAGAGCCAGTAGAGCTCGGGTCTGTCATCTTTGGAGTGCTCGACCATCACAATCCGTGCAGGGCCATGCCAGCGGATCTTGACCAGCTTGTCCTGGCGTTGGTCTCTCCAGAAGAAACACTTCTGGCCAATCTGCAGGGGCAAGTCAGCTCCCTGATATTGGCGCAGCAGGGCCCGTCTGAGCTTGGCGTCCAAGTCAGCTGAGATCAGTGCTTTCTTTGCTGCAGCTCGTTGTCGAAGTAGTTGTTCGAATTGGTCATGGTCTCCAAGTTGTGCAGGACTGAGTTCATCATGTGAAAGTCCACCAGGCAAGCGTGGGATCTTTCCAAGCAGCCACTGTGAAGGCGTATAGCCAGCAACGCTCAAGGTGTCATTGAGCTGGGGCACCACATAGGTCAGTGCCTGCCGGATGCCTTTGCTTCCGGAGACCTTCATGTCGTCCATGTAGATCTCGATGGCTTTGCGCAAGGTGGTGTGCCGGCGCTCCACAAGTGACAAACGATGAGACTCAGCAGGTGCAACGATGTGCTCCACAGAGTGTTGGGTTGTCCAGGCATTCATCTCCTCACCAACCCATCCACGTCCTTCATCTGAGCACAAGCACTGAGGAAGTCCAAAGTGCCTGATCCAGGCTCGTTCAAGTCCATGGATCAGGTGTTCACCACGTTCTCCATGAAGCAACGTCGCCACGGTGTATTTTGTGGCCTGGTCGATGATGCTCAAAACGGGGAACTTCTTGGCACTGACGTTGCACTTGATCCACAGCACATCGGCCTGCAAACGTTCTCCAACCTCATGGGCTTGGTTTCGCAGTGTCGAAGGTGCCACCTGGTTGGGTCGCTTGTAGCGCAGGCATGCAGTGCATTGGAAGTGGCGAGCTGCCTCAATCACTTGATCGCTAGCTCCTCGGCTTTGAAGAAGTTCAACCAAAGCCTCAGGTTTGGGATGCCCAAGGTTCCTGTGCAGACGCTGCACGGTGCGCACTGCTTCGGTCTTCAGGGCTGTCTGGAGCTTCACAAGGCACCCAGTGACCTCTTTCTGCTCAGCGACTGCAAGTCCATAGTCCCAAAGCTGAGCTGGGTCTGGGGCGTTGATGGCAGCTGCAATTGTGGCTGCAAGGCCAGGTTGATAATCCTCTAAATAGGAGGTGCGTCGGCCAAGTCCAGGTGCCGATCCCTCCAAAGGACAGTGCAAGTGTTGCCCATCGCACTGCTTTGCCAGTGCGGCCTGCATGGAGACCTTGCTCGACAGGATGCCTGTCGGTTTCTTCACAAGCTTCCAGAGTCCATCCTGGTCCAAACAAGCACAGCCAAACATGCACTGGTGCAGGAGGATCCAATAGCCAGGTAGATCCTTCAAGGCTGCTGTGTGCCAGCTCAGAGCTCGTTCGGGCTGCTCGATGTGCGCGTGCCGCGCGTTGTCAACTTGCTCTTTGTAGACCCGGGCCACAAACATCAAGTGGCATGAATGGTGCTCCTTCCTCTTGAGGTAGAGCTGATGCTGCTGGGCTTCTGTTCGAGCGGCCAGGTTCTGCATCTGGCTCCATAAGTGACAAGAAGGTGCCAGATAGACCTCATCCGGCATTTCTGTTCGAAGCCTCTGCATGAAGAGGTCCTGGTGCTCCTGTAAGTCGAAGTCCCAGCCAGTCTCATAGCTGAAGATCTCCACATCCATGCCCATCGCCTCTGCAAGAGCTGAGACGCGTGCTCCACCGCAGTAGACTTCCCAGAGCACTCTTTTGCGCTCAGGCTGATGCAGCTCTTTGGTGATGTAGGCGTGGAGCTCGTTCTCAAGGGCAGTGAGCTTGGTGTCGCAGGTCTGAAGCAAGTGGCGTCGCGTCGGACGCAGATCATCCTGGGCTGCAGCTTGAACAGCATCTTGGGAGTTGAAGAGCTTGACCTCAGCGTTGAAGGTCTGAAAGTCCATGAGCTCTTCGGCATGTCCTCCATCAGCAGGCACAACAAGTTCAAAGGCAGGTGGAAATTGCCACATGCTGGAGTCAAACTCGTCCAGCAAGGAGATGAGATACTCTCCATGGGCACCCACCACAGCATGTTGCCAGGGCATGTCGTCGAGCTTGATCATGCGGCTGCGGCAGTCCAGGACCAATCCAAGGGATTCCATGATCGGTCTTCCAAGCAGCATGGGTGTTTCACCAGGCAGCAGGTACATCTGCACATAGCCGTACTTGCCACCGATGCATAAGGGCAGGCGAACAGTCCAGGTGCACTCCAAGCTGGCGTCACCACCAAAGTAGAAGGTGCGTTTGCAACGCATGAACTTGATCTTGGTGATGTCGTAGTCGGTCTCCTTGAGCTTCAGCATGTAGCGATAGAAGGGACCGTACCCTGACAAGAAGGCACTTGCGCCAGGGTCCAACATTGCGCAGTCATGGCGCTCGCACCCATGGTCGTCCGTGAAGATCACATGGCCGTGCTCCACGTCGCCAACGGTGCTTTCTGTCGGTGCCGTCTTGCGCTTGGATGCACCACCACCAGCTTTGGGCACAGGGCAGTTGTAGGTCATGTGTCCCACTTGGCCACACCTCAAACAGGTAGGCGTGTTGCCGCTGGCTTTCGCTCTCCCTTTTGGATCGGGCTCTTTCCCCTTGCCCCTGGCCGGGTATTTCACCAGGGTGGAGCTACCTTTGCCCTTTCCTTTCTTTGTTTTGGTCTTGCCCTTGCCGCGTCCCGGAGAGACCGGTGACAAGGAGGAAGATGGTGAGGCCGGGTTGCCTCCATCCGTCAATGCCACAATTGGCAGGTATCCTCTGCTGAGCTTGATCTCATTGAAGCGTCGGCGGGCATCGATGTACGATGCATAGGCTGAGTCATACTCTTCAGCCTGCTCAGAGGGATCTGCATCTTCCAAGGTCTGGTAGTACGCGGCATCAGTGTCGAAGTCCTCAAAGGTCTCATCATAGTAGCTGTCAGCAGCTGTGGGCGATGGATCTTGGGAGTAGTCCTCATCTTCGTAGTACCCTCCCTCATAGTCATGGTCATAGTCGTTGTCATCAGCCCAATCGTCAGCTTCATGCTGGTTGTCGTCCTCATAGTAGACCGCATAGCCACGTCCCTTACCGCGAAAACCACGGTGTTGGGCATGGTGATGTCCTCCGCCAGCTACACTCTTGTGGTCTTGACCCAAGATGAGAAAGAGGGCTTCCTGAACTTTGTTCCGCTCCATGTTGGGCGCCTGGGTGGTCACCAGTTGCTTCTGCTCTTTGCTAAGGCCAGCTCTTCGGAGCAGATGCCATCCTTGGACCTTTGATGGAAGTGTCACATCATGGTCAGCCAGCTTGCTGTAAAGGTGGTCGTGCTTGGTCGTGTACTCCAAGAGGGTCTGACCTGGTCGCCGTTGAAGTTGGCTGAAGTACCTATCGAAGTCATTCGGAAGCTGGACCGTCCGGTCATACTCAAAGGCTTTGTCCAGCGTCTTCAACATCTTCTCAAAGGCTCCCGCCTTCTCGATCTCGTCGATGGGGAAGTTCTCAAGAAGCTTCCATGCTGTGCCAGTGAGGCTTCCGATGATGCTCAGGAGTCCTTCAGGTTCTCGTTTGGCGACCCTCATCTTCATCACATAGATGTTGATCCTCTTCCTCCATTCCTTGTAGTCGGAGGGTGCACCGCTGAACAGCGGGATGTAGGAGTCCTTCGTGGTGTTGTAGTCTCCGGCGGTACTCGCCGATCCGGTTCCAGCCGACATTGCCTCTGGCAGTGAAGGGGATGTAGACCAGGTAGTACGCCGGGCAGTCAATCACCAGGCACGTAGTTGCCACCACACCAGAGCTTGTCCAGGTAGAACAGCAAGAGGCCAGCACAGGGCCTAGAACAGCAATGCAGAGAGTCAAGGCCTGCTCAGGACCTGTATGCAGCGTGGCCTGCCCAGGGCCAGATCAGAAGCGCAAAGAAGCAAGGCCAGCACAAGGCCAGATCCAGAAACCAGAGCAAGGCCTGCACAGGGCCAGTGAGCAGAAGCGAGAGGTCGATGTCCACCAAGGGCCAGCACAAGGCCAAAAGGTGCAAGACAAGGTAGGGCCAGGCTGGCTCCGCTACCAATGTCAAGATGGGGGTACTGGCCCACGAAGTCCAACCCGCAAGAACGCGCCTAAGCGCAGCAGCGCCTTTTCAAGAGGTGCCGCTAGGCGTATGCCATGCGATGGCGTCAAATCGCCCACCACTGTTAAGTTGGGAAAACAGCGGCGGATACAAAAGGTGAAAAGTCACATGTTGCACAGGTTGCAGCTGCAAACTTCACATATATGATTATAGATGTATGTATATATACATATATTTTTTTTTATATATTAGAAAATGTATATCTCCGGTTATCAGGGCTCTCTTTCATAACCATCCCATGATTGCCGAGGACCCATGGAATATCGATGCCTATTTGGTGCACGAACGCGCTCACGTATATTCCATGGAGTTACGTGACCCTCAGGTGGGGTGTCCAGACCTGCGACACCATGGATAGATTGGATAGGTGAGTGATGGTCATGGGTGGTTTCCAGTCATGGGTGGTTTATGATTGTTTTACCCACATGAATTGGATATTTATGGGAATGTTATGGATAATTCTGGATGAATTACCCTCTGGCCAACGTTTACATAGCGAACTGGAAAGATCCACCATGCTATTAATGGGAAAATCAACGATTTCAATGGCCATTTTCAATAGCAAACTGTTAAATTACCAGAGGGTAGTGATGTTCTACTGGTTGCAGGGGTTGCATTGTTATGCGTTTTTGGAGATTAGATTGCCAGTGATGAGTTGAAAAAGGGCGCCCTAAAATGACATTTATGATTATTGAAATGGTCCCAATAACGAACAGTAGGATGTCATTTGTGATTACCATTTCGAAGGGCCTCGAATCTTTTCATTACTTCTTCCCTCTACAGCTTTAGCCCAGCTAACAGTTATCTGGTTGGTGGTTTGGAACATGTTTTATTTTCCCCAATAGTTGGGATGATGATCCAATCTGACTTTCATATTTTTCAGAGGGGTGGGTCAACCACCAACCAGTTATAAATGGGATTATGATGATATTTTTCCTTAGTTTTTAGAAGTTCTTTCATCCCAACGTATAACTGGCTTTTTGGGGCCTTAATACTGTACTTATGGGACATGCCAGAGTCATGGTTTCCTTTCCATGCCAGGGTGACCTTCCAATGACCTGGGGGAGAGGTATGCCAGGTATGCACTATGACGCTACATCACGCTACATCCTAGTTGTGGCGAAAAATGACTAACCCATTAAATCCTGATTCATAGAGAAACATATAGATAAATCTATATATGATATTCTATGATCATCTATACAATGTGAGGGCCCAAGATATGTTTGTTGGTTTATGTTCACCCCAGTAACTATAGTTATGAGTACCATAAACCGTAGTTATTGGAGTTATAAACCAACTTAGCTATCTTGGGGGCCTCACATTGTAACCATAATGTGATTTTTGTGACATATAATAACAGTCAGACATGACAATTTATGACAACAATCATGAATATTAACCATATAATCACATATATATATATGGTATCATATATATATATATTAATCATGTATATGTGTAATCCATATGAATATTATGTAACCATGAATATATGAACCACACATACACACATACATATAATCATGAATATTAACCATATATATAATATCCATATATGAACATGTACAACGTACACGTCCCAAAAAACAGTCCCAGTCACGAGGCCTGCAAGCGCTGCGACAAGATCCACGTGGAGTACGGATTGATGATGACCGCCACGGGCCGCACCGTGAGCGCCGCGGTGCAGATCGTGCCCTATGGTGCGGTGGTGGCTAAGGTGCGATCCCGGCTGCGAAAAAAGGAATTTGCCATCACAGCCATGGATTGGAAACCATAGATTTTCCCATTATTTATATGGGGTTTTCCTATGGTTTAAGGGAAAATTTACAGGAAAACCCCATTAATTTAATGGGAAAATCGATGGTTTCCGGTGAAGATTTTCCCAGCAAAACCAATCCAGTGAATGACAGCCATGGGGAAGAAAAAGGAGAAACGGTGAAAACCATGGCATGTTTTTTCGAAAATGGCCACAAACATGGTGATTTAAGCATGAAAAATGATGAAAGGTCTGGGATTGGACCATCACCGCTGTCAAAACCAGCTTGATATCAGGAATGATGGGGCATTAACTCACTACAAATACGGATTTATCCATGAAACAACCTGGAATTTTTACGGGCCGGGATTTTCATGGTTATTTTTTTTGGGATTCGTACAAGCAACTATGACCAAAAGTTGGATTACATAATTATTTAACCATTTACAACCCATATTGGCGGATGGTCATTCCGAAAAATCCATAGTGGTAAAAATGCTGGTTCTACAACGAATTCCCCATACCCCATGTGACATACCATGTTTTGACCATGGCACAGATACCTGTATGTGTATGTGTATGTATATATATATAAAGACATACAGTACATATCTATGCTAGGGGAAAAAACACCGTTTGGCTAGAACTACATGTATTTATTGGAAAAGTACCAGAATCAGAGCTGCTTCTCCGATATAAATGTGCTCTTCCCGAGTGACAGAGAAACACCCCTGCAGAATTTGAGGGGTGAAGGGCTCCGCACTTCTGCTGTCTGCGGTTTGCAGGCGTGTGAGTATCTGAATGACCCTCCTTTGATCTACATTGGCAACAAGATGAGCTGCCTGAAAATGAAAAAGCTGGAAAGGCCTGAGCCGCCACGAAAGAAAAATGTCACCTGGTGAAGGGAGCTGATTTTTACTGGGTTCCGGGAAATGGCGATGTTTTGATGTTTTGAGAGTCCGCTGATCAAAGATAGCAAACAACTGGATTTTCGGATTACCCTCTAGTTATGACTAACATAGCCATGGTATAGATGGCCCATAGAAATAGATGGTGTTTACCTATTAATAACATGGTGGGTATCTTTCGATGGCGAACTGTGAATGTCATAACCAGAGGGTAGAAATAGAGGTGGATCGTTCGGGATTTCATCATCGATCCACAGATATCCACAGGTTTTAGTTCGGATGATCCAAGGGCTGTGCCACCGTTAGGACCATGTCCAGATGGTCGTGAGATCAACGAGGAATGCTGGTCATCAGGATCCCGATTTTTTCGTAAGGAACCAGGGACTTGACTATGGCCGCATGGATTTTTTTCCGTAAGAAACCATGGCATGAATTTCGGGCAGAACTTTGACTCCCTTCATGACACAACAAGATACTCAAAAGGTTGCTCTAGTGCCTTTCAATGGATTGGGGTAGCTATATATATATATGGATCTGTGTATGTATATATAGATAATCATATATATATATATGCACACACTCACAATGGATATATAAATGAATATACAAATTATAAATATATGAATATAAATATAGATAAACACATATAGATAATATAAGTGATATACATAATATAAATAATATAATTAATATAAATAATATAGATAATGTAAATAGATATATAAATATATAAACATATAAATATAAATAAATGTGTAAATATGTAAATAAATGTGTAAATATGTAAATACATAAAAACATAAATCAATATGTGTGTATATATATATGGTAAACAATACACACGTACTTTTCTTGGCCTTCTTCAATCACTATGAAAGTTTAGTGGATGAAGTCTCAGCGTTTTCGTTGGTCAAGTGAGTCGTGAGTCACCATTTCCATCCATTTCGTCAGCATTTCCCAGGTACTCTTGAGGCTCTACTACCTCATTGCCGAGATTTTAGCCTATTCCGTGGAATACCTGGTGCCCTTCCTGCGCCGTCTCACCAGCGTCGGGATTTTGTCGCTTGGAGGATCAGTGGTCTGCCTTTTGGGATGGACCTGGGATGGAGACCTGAGACCTGAGACATGAGGGATTTGAGGGGTAGGTATACCACCAACCAGATACCCTCTGGTTATGTCAAAATAGCTATTGAAAATGACCATTTATAGTGGATTTTCCCGTTGAAAATGGTGATTTTCCATAGTTATGTTAGTTTACCAGATAAGTTAATCACTATTAATCACCATTAATCACCATTAATACACTATTAATCACTATTTTTCTACACCATTAATCACTACAATGTGAGGCCCCCGTTAGATATGTGAACGTTGGTTTAGATTCGCCCCAGTAACTAGTTCGTTATTTGCGTACCATAAACCATAGTGAAATTGGACTTATAAATGAACTTAGCTATCGAACGGGGGCCTCACATTGTAGAATTAACCCATCCATCCATCCATCCCCTATAAATGAAGGTTTTACAGTAATTACTGGGAAAATCTTCGAACTAAATAACTAAATGATGGATTTTCCCGAAAGTCACCTTTGCAAAACCTGGACAACCTGGACCCATTTGATCAGCGATTGCCGTGCCGCATGGAGCCGCTATGGGTCGTGAAGGATGGACGACCTGCCGGGTCCCAAGGGTCCCTGTCCCAGGTTTTACTTGGCACTGGGCACCTTCACGTTGACGGAAAATAATTTGGCAGCGCAAGGCGGAGATTGGGGATTCCACCCATTGCCGAACTTTTCACGGCCAAAAATGTCCTGGAGATAATGGTTAATCTGGTTAGTTTATGGTTAACCTATCCCCAAATTGCCGAACTTTTCGGGTTAATTGTGATGATTTCTCCAGATACTTGGTGAATTGCTGGAGAGGCCTTGCTGGAGACAACCAGCAAACGATGGGGATTTCAGCAACCAGAAAATGGCAATGGACATCATCAAACATGGCTTTGGCCAACGCGGAGATGGTAACGAGATCTAGATGTCACCTGAGATGATTCCCTTGTGGAGCCCTTCTGTTCCCCAGAAATGTTGTGTGTGAGTAGATTAGAGCCGGATAGTGATTCACTCATGTTTTTTTTGTGTTTATTGAGTTTTTACCCATAGCCATAATATGACTATGACGTATGAATGATGTATTGCCAGCAGTGGTTGTTCAAGACATGGGTTGCCCTCTAAATCCAAGGGCAGAAACCTTCAATTTGTTACATAGCTATGGAAAATGGTTCATTTATAGATGAATTACATATAATATGATACAAAAAATAGTGATGTTCCATAGCTATATTAAAATACCAGAGGGTAATGTATAAACTATACAGCTCACCTGTGAATTTCAGAGGAACAACACGTGCACTTTCTGCAGATTGTGGATGGAGTGGGGGGCCAACGATCGGATTTGGGTTACTATGGTGAAGGTATGTGAAGGTTCCAGACAAAACGGATGATCACATGTGCATTTTGTTGTGAACTTTTGTATGTGGCTATATATATATATATATATTCCCAGTCATTTTTCGGCCAGCTCCGAAACAGGCCAAAGAGCACCCACCGAAAAGTTACCCCGACATCCAGGTTTCAGAAAACAACCATTATTCAGTCCCATTCCAACCTTTATCTATCTATCTATCTATCTATCTATATATATATTATTTATTTGTTTATTTATTTATTTATTTTTTTATTTATCAATTTATTTGTTTATTTATTCATCATTATTATTATTAGCAACTCTACAAATCATTGCGCAAGCATTTTTCCCCAAATTTTATCACCAGGAGATGACTCTGCACAAACTCGCCAGGGAGCTACGTGATTATCGCGGGCTTCACCTTATCCTTCGTGAAGGCATCTTTGGAGAGGTTGATTCCTACACTGCTGACGCTTGGCATCGACGACTCGACGTGATGTGTCATGATGTGTCCGAGAATGGGGGGATTCATCCACCCAAAGATGGTAAGATGTGTTATGTAATTTTCATGGGGAACATGATGATTCACAAGTGGATGTGGGGGGTTTTCTATCAGGTTTTGCCTGGTTTTCCCCTAAATTCTCAGACAAACCCAGATGGCCAAGGATGGAGAAGGTTTCCAGAGCTGGTGACGCATATATAAAAGTCAAAGACCGTCTGCAATAGGTGGCCGACCCATTCCCCTTTTTTAATATGGGAAATGGTCAATTTCATGAGCCGAAATCGTGTTTGTAGCATGACATGTATCACACACACATACCTCATTCTCATAGATCCCAGCTGACCCATTCTTGGACGTATGGTATTGTCTGAAAATAGGGTACCTCTGAATATCCATCAGTATTTTTAAGTATTTTTCCCATTCACATGGAAAAAACATATGGTATACTGTATACTCTAGTTTCAGACATGTCTGACATGGGGTAACCACTTCTACCATCGTTCAATTCTCCGAGGAAGTACGGGCTGACTGGGGTGTACTTCGCCATCAGTAGTGCTCAGGGAAAGGTGCGATGTGGAGCTGGGCCCTGGAGGGGATGCCCAAGAGTGGTAGATAAATCTAACGATGACGCCATTGATCAATGGGAATTTCAGGATCCGAAAATGGAGGTACTGTGCCATATAAGGCCATATTTTGTGGGGATATTCCCTTACATAGGCCTTACATAGGCCTTACATATACTAGGTACCTCCAATTTAGGTTCCTGAAATGATGCCATTGATAATGAACATGACAAGAATGATAGGAGTGACAACTTTTTTGACATGTGGAACGATCATTAGTAACAATAACTAGCAAACATCATGATGACGACGAGGAGGATGATGATGACGAGGAGGATGATGATGACGGTGGTGGTGGTGGTGTTGATGATAATGATGACGACAATACCTATCTATATACATGTAATAAGTACCAGTATATTATTGATATGATATGGGAATACTAATTGCATCATGATGATGACGATGACGACGATGACAATGGTGAGAATATGTGTATATACAACTACAGTTATTTATGCACATATTGATAAGTACACGTATACAAATAAGTTACTGTATAATTTATAATGATGATCGCAGCAACACTATGTGCCATCAATTGTCACAACGTATATGGTTGTCACACTATCAAAATGTATCTACTGTAGTCATTGTCGCTATAAACCAACTTAGCAAACCAAGGCACCATCTGGTATATATACACCCCCTGATTTTCACATATTCCAAACTAGCAATATTCAATAACAACGTAATCTTCCAGACCATTTTCTTAAAGGTTCCATGTTGAATTTGGATGGTGATTCTTCATTTTCCCATTGGGAAATCCACCATAAATCGGGAATCTATATTGACTACACGGACATGACATATTTGACATCACAGTAGACCCACAGCAAACCACCTTAGAGTCTTAGAGATAAATAACATTTGCATCATTTTTCAATTGGCTACTGTATACCATGCTGTTCCTGTTGATGCTTTTTCCGCCCATGTTCTATCTAAGCTCATTCCCCATTCCCATTTTATTCCCATGATATTTCCGATTCTATTCCCGTTATATTTTACATAATCTGGTTGGCGGCTTGGAACATTTTTTATTTTCCATATATTGGGAATGTCATAATCCCCACTGACGAACTCCATCATTTTTCAGAGGGGTAGGTATACTACCAACCAGATGCCATTAAATTCCCATTAGATCCCATTAAACCACCATTAAAAATCCCATTAAACCACCATTAAATGCCATTTATCCCAGAACTTTTGTGGTAAATCCAATAGAAAACGATTCGCAAATGGGTGAAATTTGGTATTACCCCATGTACACCATTTCTTCAGTTGGAGATCATTTCACTTCACTCATGTTTTAAAAAAAATCTGATCTCATTCCCATTCTATTCCCATTATTGTTGCTTATATATATATGATATATATATATATTTACTATATATATATATATATCTATTATATATATATATATCTATTATATATATCTATTATATATATATGTATCATATGTATATATCATACATATATATATATGTATATATCATACATATATATATATATCTATTATATATATATATCTATTATATATATATCTATTATATATATATATATATATGTATCATATGTATATATCATACACATATATATATATATATATGTATATATCATACATATATATATATATCTATTATATATATATATATATCTATTATATATATATCTATTATATATATATATGTATCATATGTATATATCATACACATATATTATATCATACATATATATATATATATATCATATATATGTATATATCATACATATATATATATATATCATATATATATATGTAAATATTATTGCATCCCCATCATATCCCTATCAACTTCTATTCCCACTCTATTTCCCATCTCTAATCATGTGTTAGGAAAACGTGTGGGACTATCACCTGATTCAATTTCCCTATCCCATATTCTATTCCCATCTTTTTCCCACTATTTTCCCGTTGATGGATGCTTTTTCCATTCTATTTCCACTATTTCCATTATATTCTCTTATTCCTGGTGGGTCATCATCAAATCCTATTCCACTTCCCATTCTATTCCCATTCCTTATCCCATATTCTCATAGATTCTCCCTGTTCTTTGGGATGATATTGGTTTGTGTCCCATGGGATGGTTCATCTGAATGTCAATCCATTCTATGTCCCATGTGGAATGGTTGCCATTCTGGGATGGATGACCATACCCCATAGCCTCTGGTTATGTCAAAATAACGAACTGGAAAATCACCATTTTTCATGGGTAAATCCACTATTTCGACTGGGCCATGGCTTCAATAGCTATGTAAACGTTTACCAGAGGGTATAGCCCATATATATATATATATGTGTGTGTGTACAATATGTTATTCCCATTCTATGTCCCATGATCTCCATGATCTCCATGATACTGGTGGTGATAATTACCAGAAGGAAAAATCCGATATCCCATGATATTCCAATAACTATGGTTTATGGTATTTATAACCAACTAGTTACTGGGGTGAACATAAACCAACAAACATATCTTGGGGGCCTCACAATTGTATGGATATGCACCATGATCGAGTTCCATATATAGCTATGTAAACGTATCTTGGGGGCCTCACATTGTATGTTAGTTTACCAGAGGGTAGATCATCTCATCTCCTCCAGATCTCCAGGCGACCAAGATCAACATGATCGCCCGGACGATCACCGGACAGGTCCTCTCTGGCAGCACCGCGGCTGCGCTGACCTCAGGTCCTTTGGCGATGCGAAACGCGAACGGAACGGGACGGCTCGTGGGACGTGGCCGCGGGGATTTTCGAACGTGGGAATCGCATGGGAAACCAACCGAGTTTTTGAGAATAGCCATGATGAACATGATGAACATGGGAACATTTGCCAATCATAGAATCATTTTGGTATGGATCAATACCTATTAATACCATTCTTAGGGGAATGAACATCCATTTACCAGCTATTTTGATGTTCACCAGGGGTACAAGGTTTTGACACACTGCCATTTGAAGAGAAAATCGAAATATGGACACCTCCAGAAATTTCATGGGAAAAACCCATGGGATTTGTTCCATGATGTTCCACGGACGGGATGAAAAAAAAGTCGAAAACTCTGCATCCCCCAAAAAATGGCATGGCAAAAAATGCCATTTCTAGCCGCCAAAAAATGGGAGATGCCCAGAACACCAAGCATGTTTTTCCCAGATCTAGTGGGAATAGTTTTTTTTTTTTGGCGAAGAATATGATTGTGGGATTTGACTTGGGAGATGGGGTCATTATTGGGTTGGAAAGCCATGGAACTCTACAATGAATGGCTTGCATATGCTCGAAAGAATGGACAAGTTGGTTCTGCTTGACATATTTCTGTGAAAATTTATCAAACATATTTGTTGGGAGATACTGAGATACATGATTGATTATGATTGATGAACGCGTGGGAAGTTTTGGACCACAACTGCTTTGGGCATCTACTACCATGATTGGGCATGTCTGATTCAAGAACAGGGTATCCATGTCAACTTTAAAAGAACGTTCACTATTTTGGGTTCCCTCAATTTGAACCGTAGTCAAGTGATATTCGTCAGTGGAAGCAAAGTGGCGTTTGCCGGGATCTCTTCATTTCATGGGATTCATGCTGATTTTGAAAGACGAAACGAGCTGAAACATGCTGAAACTACATCCCCCGTGGAGGTTTCCGATGGTTTCCTAAGTCCTGGGCTAGCCCCAGTTTTTTGTTCCCATTTCAACATATTTCAACTTTGGATCCATGGATTTTCCCATGGAAATATGCACGTTTAGCATCCAGCGATCCCCCAGATCCCCAGAATCGAGCAATGTCAGGCTGCATCTTAACGGCGAAGTGGGCCTCCATTGTGAATGCCATCATCATCTCAAGCAGCGTTGGCTACGGCTTCAGTATCCTTACCCTGGTGATCAATGCGCTGATGGAGGGCAAACCCCCAGAGGTGGGATGGGGGCGAAAAAAAACATGACGTGTTGACGTGTCACGAGAACGAGACGTGTCACTATTATAAAACGTGTCACATAAAAAGCCCGGGGCTTCAGGTTCGGCTTTTTGGAATACATCAATGTGAATCAACGACGTTGTGGTTTCTTTTCATATGGGGTTGGTTATATTGGATCAAACTATACTCAGATGTGGGGTTGGAGTTGGATATGAACTACCTCAGATCTTACACATGTATAGAATACGTGGTTGGAACACGGGGTTGATGAATCAGATTGTCAGATCATAATGGATCACTCTGAGTCCGTTGCAAGTAAAACTGGTCTCCCAGGGCGATTTTTGGTGAACAGTTGGAGGCGCAAGGGCCCCCAATTGCTTTGCTCATGTCCTGTGATTGACACTTGGGCAACTACCCAGAATCCACATCAGCGATCTTTAAAACTGATCACTGGTACTGATCCAGAGATCAACTTGCAGCCAAGCAACACGTTTTACACTCACAGTTTCTAGGTTTTTGGGCAACTGGCAGAATTTTGCACCTCATTTTTTACAACGGATCTGAGTCGGAGGTGGGAGCTCCGCCCAAGAAGAACATGATGCAGCTGGTGATGAAGATTTTCGCATCGGTTTTCACCGGCGGTGGCCTTGGTGTCATGGTGGTCTACGCCGGGGAGACAGGACTCTGGCTGGAAAGCCAGGAAACAGTGCCTTGGTGGCCAAGTGGCCGGAAGTTGGGGAATTCAGCATCAACTTACTGGGAATGATCCACTGGCGAACTATCAAGCAGATCATCCCAGCAACCCCTAGCAACCCATCCAGCAACCCTACGTAAAACGCACCAGTAAGTCAAACATATGGAATCATAAGGATATTAAACGTTTACATAGCTATTGAAGCCATGGCCCAGTCGAAATAGTGAATTTTCCCATTAATAGCATGGTGGATCTTTCCATAGTTGTTTGTTAACGTTTACCAGAGGGTATAGAAAATCACTATTTTTAAGGCAAACCATCTATTTCTATGGGCCATTTTCCATTAGCTATGTGGGTATGGATCAATACCTATACATACAATTTTTAGTGGGATGAACATCCATTTACCAGCTATTTTGATGTTCACCAGGGGTACAAGGTTTTGACACACTGCCATGTAAACGTTTAATATCCTTATTTCTACAATAGCAGATGAATAGTGGATGTAAATGTGGGGATTGATGAGGTCATCCCCTTTGGCCTAGAAACTGAAAACAAAAAAAAGCTCGCCAGCTCTACCGAGAAATCAACGTCGTTTTACGACGATTTAGGGAATGGCACGCTTCACCGAAACGTTCAGTACGCTCTGGTGTCATCAAACATGATTTGCTGGACAATCCCTTATTTATGTGGGAAAAACCATGTCATTTTTACCACCCTTATTTACTGGGAATGGTTTATATTAATGGTAACCATACCGCCTATGATTTTAAATGGCGTTTTACCGCCAGATTTTCCATTTAGCTTCAGCCCGATTTTCACATTTTGCCGAGCCCGTTTTTGCCGAGTTCGGGGATGTCCATGAGATCATTCTCCCGTGGAGGATGGGATGAGCCAGTTTTCACAGATAGTCTCAGATAGACGTACCCTCCTTTGTGTCATCAAACATGGCAACTGGAAAATCCACTAAAATTCTACATGGAGCTTGCTTTGAATGGGAAAATCAACATATAAATTAAGGTGGATTTTCCAGCTTGACACGTTTGATGACACCGGAGAGTACTTTTACTGAAGGGGGACATGCCTGGTGATTCTCATCATCCGTGAATCCGTGCAGAGGCAATCCCGTTCACCCACCGGTACCATGAAAAAGGCTTGGTCCAGTTGGTTTATAAACTCCAACTAGGTGAGTAAACAAACGAACCCGAAGCGGAAGGCAATTGTCTTTGATTGTTGGTTTAGTTGGTTTATAATTAACATAACTATAGATACTTACAATAAACATACATAAACCCTAGTGATGTTAGTTCTAAACCGATTTAGCATGATTTAGCTATATTAGGCACCACCTTGATGTCTCCATGACATATCTCCGTTCTATCCCCATGATTATCCCATTTATATACCAAGAATATCTAACTGGTATGACATATCCCCACTATCTCCATTCTTGTTGGCTAAAAACCCTCTAGTAATCGAACCTGGCTGGCAGGGTATCACACATTCCCTACATATATTTCCCATTCTTAACCATTATTAGCCGGTATTAACCCATCTTAACCTTGTATTTCCCATAGATTTCCCATATCTCCCATGGTGCGCGTTAGTCGTTCAGGATGCCTTTAGCTTCCAAAACAAAGCGGGGAGTCGTTGGACAGCGAGGCCGTGAGTAGAAGCCGCTTCGCTACGCCGAGTTTTGGGATCAGCAAGTTCAGCAAGAGCCAAAACGTCAACCAAACTAAGATCTAAGAATACTAAGCTTAGGATGGTATCTATTATCTATATGAATTTGTTAAAAACTATAGTTTGGTAATGCGAGAATAGGATCTGTATCTATTATCTAAATTAGTAGATTTATAATGATTTATATAATATATAGATTTTTTTATTACTAAATCGAGTAATGCGAGAATTCAAAACACAACACACCTACCATTTGGGGATGCTTGACAAATCCCTTGAAAATGGTGATGACTCCGGGACGGTTTATCGCATTGGGTTTACCACATTGTCTATAAAGTATATAATATCCGATATATAATATGTACATATTATCCATATGATATATGAATATATATATATGTACATCCATATTATATAATATCCATATTATATTATATATACACCAAGATGGACTCATATGTGCCACTGTTAAACAATCCATCGAAAAAATACACCCATATTGGATAATGATCATCAATCCATTGTGAGATGACCTAAATTTAGCCTCAATTTGGTGCATTTTTAAGTGGGAAATGCTAGTAGATATTCATAGATATTCGAAATCCATTGAACCATTTTGTGCGTTTGGGAATCATGAAACCTATTCAAATTAGAGACATTGTTGAATAGCCTAGCAATCATCATTCAACCAACAAGTTTCTTCATGGAAGCTTGCTCCTGGCCGGTCAACACATCCAGGACCAGGGTTTTTTTCAGCTTCGATAAAGAGCTCCATGGAGATTCTAAAGCCATTCTTAGTAGGATGGCACATCTACCGAATTTCAAGATGGCTGAATTTACTTCTATAGTGATATACATATTGTGTATATAGTATAGAAAAAGTCCTGTGTATATACTTGTATACATAGAGGAAGTTTCTATGTATATAATACTATATACATATATAAACACTATATATACACATACGGGTGTATATATATATATAGATATGTATACACAATACACACAGTATCTCCATTTTGAGAGGATCGCACTCCCACATTATCGTCTTGGTCACATTGAAAAAAGGGCTCAGCAGCAACTCTTCCCTGCAGGGACAGTATTGGCCTGACTGCATTGATTATCGTGCTTCAATTTGTGGTCCCTCTGGCTAAATTTGGCGGACATTTGAGGATGGGTCCGTTGAAGGATGGGTCTGTTGGATATTTTTTTTTACTAATGAGAAACACGTCATTTTGGGGCATCCACATTTTTTTTTTTTTGGGGGGGGGCAAAATCTAGCTTGAGCGAAGGGATTCCTTAACATCGAGCGATGTGAAAATCGCTTGTGCTCCATCTGATTCTGGATTTCCCGGAACTGGTCAGCGAGGGAACATGGACGATGACGATGGATGACGACGATGACGACGATGGATGATGACGACGATGACGATGTTTTCTAAGAAGAAGAAGAAGAAGAAGAAGAAACGATGATGATGATGATGATGACTTATTTTTTTACCAGAAAGATGACAGGTATTGTGAATTATCGATATTAAAATGATTAAACTACCATTTGTCAAGGATGTATCATTTTGAACTATGGATGATCAAGACTTGCCATGTCCCTTGGTGAAGATGCCGTTTTTCTTGGCTCAACAACCAGCCTGAATTCCAACACCACCATGAACCCAAGAAATACTGTATGATACCACACTTAGCAGACTCAATACTTTAGAAACATATATATATATACATACATATATATATATATACATACATATATATATATATATACATATATACATATATATATATATACATATATATATACATATACATATATATATATACATATATATATATACATATATATACATGTATGTATGTGTGTGTAAATATACCAATACTTTATGTATATATATATATACACACCCTCCGGTAATCAAACATGGCAACTGGAAATCCACTAAAATTCTACATGGAGCTTGCTTTGAATGGGAAAATAAACATATAAATTCAGGTGGATTTTCCCGCTTGCCACGTTTGATGACACCGGAGAGTATATATATATACACAATGTGAGGCCCCCAAGATAGCTAAGTTGATGAACAGAACTCCCATTTCACTATGGTTTATGGTATTTATAACTATAGCTACTGGGGCGAATCTAAACCAACGTTCACATATCGAACGGGGGCCTCACATTGTAGGGTTCTGGAAGAGGTTCCAAGAGTGGCAGGGATGTTGCAGGTCGATCTGGCCCATTTTTCCTCTGGGAAATCACCTTTTTCAGAGCTAAATTGCAGCGAAATCATCACAGATCATCTATAGATTGGCCATTTCACATAGCCCAGAGGCTCAGCCTCTGGGTACATTTGTTTTACCCTCTGGCAAGATAGCCATGGAACATGGAACATGGATGAACATGGCCGTGTTCAATGGGTAAATCATCCACAAACGAGGCATTCTCCATATCTTAAGTTACCAGAGCATATATTCTTTGACCAAAAGTTATTCTGGTGCATATCGAACCTTACAAGTTTGTCTGAAAATCGAAAACCCCAAAGCCCCAGATCCAATGGTTTGTCATGATCTTCCCCATTCGGTGTGACACCAATTTCGGCATATTTTCCATTTTGCGACAATCGACATATCCCACAATATCACGGGCTAAATTTCAGATGCCAATAGTTGAAAAACGCTTGTCCCAGAATTTATCAAGTCTATCCACATTTTTCTTGGTGAAACCCCATGGTGTGGTTAGGCAAAAATCATGTTAAATCCGCATGTTCCCTGGTTAGGATAAATCTTCATGTTTCACAATGTTTGATCGATGCTAAATTCCAGCATTTTTTCCAGTTCCAGTCCCATTTTTTCTGGTTAATCTGGTAAATTTTCACAGTTCGCTACGGAACATAACAATTTTTAACAGGCAAATCACCGAACTGCGAGGGTCATCTATACAATAGCAAACATTTATAAATTACCAGAGGGTTTTAACCCATACTTGGCGCTCCAATCCAGCAATTATTGGTCGAGTTCCAGTACCAATTGTTACTAGTAAAACAATCTAAAACCCATATTTCAATCCATATTTGATGGTGAAATCATCCTATAATGTCAACCCTGGAGTAATAAGTATCAGATCATCACTTATATACTAGATCATGGTTCATTAATATCTCTAAATAGGTTGACATAAAACAGCTCTAAATCCCACAATTTATACCATTTTTCTTGGCTCCAATCACCATTTTCCTATAGGTTTCCTAGGGTTTAGCCTGTGGTTTCCTATGATTTCCTATGGGTTTCCTATGATTTCCTAGGGTTTAACCCATGATTTCCTATGGGTTTCCCCCTTCCACCACGGTCACCAGGTGCTACGTGTGATCCTGGTGGAGGATCGCCAGCCATTGGACGAGCAACAACTGGACCGACTGCCGCGCTGGAGAAGCAGTCCCACGCTCATCGCGGCCTGGTTGAAGTTAGGGATCTGAATGGACCTGAATGGTGGGATTGTCATGGTATTTTCATGGGATTCTAATGGGATTCTAATGGGATGTCCATGACATATTTAATTGTATTAAAAAAATGGATTTTAATGGGATTCATGATAATTCAAGTGTGAACCATTTCCCTTTCATATCCATTAATGTGGGAAAAACAATGTCATAAAGCAGCCATGACTGGGAATGGTTTATATATACCACCTATAAAAATGGTGATGACTGGGAACAGTTCAACCATCATTTACAGGGGTTTTCATGGTATTTTAACAGGATTCTATTCAAATTGATTTCAAATGGGAATCAATAGGACTTAGTGGGAGATAGTGGGAATTGATGGGATTTAGTGTGAATTAGTGGGAATCAATGATATTTAGTGGGAATTTAGTGAGAATTAATTCCAACTCGCGAGATTTTCAATGGGGGTTCATTGGGATTCTAATGGAATTTCATGGGATTCTAAAGGCGGATTTAAGCTGATTTTAATGGAATTTTACAAGCAACACTTGGAAATACTGGGGAACAAAAATCCGGTTGTCCGGATCCTCTTCATATCTGGGAATATAAACGGAATACTATGTTACATTATCTTGTCAATATGTATTTTATATGCTGTTTGGTGGTTTGGAACATGAATTTTCTTTTTCCATCTATTGGGAATTTCATCATCCCAACCGACGAACTCCATCATTTTTCAGAGGGGTAGGTATACCACCAACCAGATAAGTTAATCACTATTAATCACCATTAATCACCATTCATACGCTATTAATCACTATTTTTCTACACAATTAATCACTACAATGTGAGGCCCCCAAGATATGTGAACGTTGGTTTAGATTCGTCCCAGTAACTAGTTCGTTATTTGCATACCATGAACACCATAGTGAAATGGGAGTTATTAGTTCACCCCAACTGAACGCTATCGTTTTTGGGGGCCTCACGACTTGTACTAATGGTAGGTATACCACCAATGAGTACTGTTTGGTGGAATCGTCAATCTCATCTTAGTCCAAAAAAAATGGGACGCCAACCACTGGACGAGATGTCGGCCCTTTTAAAGGATGGCGGGATGACGTTCCGTCCCGTTGGTTCACTCGACCATAAGATATGACCCCAAGTTAGGAAAAAGTCACAGCTGAAAAACTATGGAAAGATCCACCATGAATTGTTTTACCCACATGAATTGGATATTTATGGGAATGTCATGGATAATTCTGGATGAATTACCCTCTGGTAAACCTTAACCAAAAACGAACTGGAACGATCCACCATTTTTCATGGGAAAATTCACTATTTCGATGGTGATTTGTCCATAGTTATGTAACAAATTACCAGAGGGTACCATAGACTGGGATATAATGCGACGTATAACATTGGAATATGGCGGGGATACACTGGGGACGTTTTTTGGAATATCATGGGATAATGGGCTCATGTACCATTCAGCAAAGTTAGCCACAAGTCCCTGAGGGCCATTTTGAGAGGAAACTGGTCTTCCAACCCTCAAATCATGGCAGGGTCTATATTAGTTTTAGGATGTTATAGGAATGGTACCTTAAGTGAGCGTGTTCAGAAAAATGGGGCGATGTCGTCTAATTGAGATGAACGCCTCAAAGAATAAAAGACGTGCATATCTCTTTCATGGCAGCGATGTGACCAATTGGGTCAAGTATTGAGGATTTCAGCAAAAATGTGGGGCAATCGTCGGCATGGTTCGAAATTGGGAAGTGGTTTTTGAATATTCAAAACAGCCCAAATTTGTTCCTCCTTGCCAAATCCTGTGCCAAACCCAAGAGTTTGCATCCAAGTGGAGTTAAGGATCCAGAGCTAGATGCAAGCATATGACTGGAAGTTGACGTATATGGACCCTGAAAGTGACATGAAAATGGAGGCCACGATAAAGTCTAAACGATAGACCCCAATCTTCAAACCTTTATAGTATAGATTATCGCCAAATGGTAAACACAGGTTGTAATTCATAGAATTACATGATGGGAAAATGTACAGGAAAGCCCTATATTTGATGGTAAACACCATGGTTTCCTGTAGATTTTCCCTTAAACCAATCCAATGAGTAATACAATGTGGCTTATTTTGGCTCTCACCACCCGCTAGCAGTAGAGATATCCGCTGAGGTCCTCCGATCCATACAGTTCTTCCCAGGTGGGGATTCGGGACTGTATTTTTTTTTTGGAAGGTTTTTTTTTGGTTCACCGGCCCTGAACATGTTACCCTCTGGTAAACGTTTACATAACTATGGAAAATCACCATGTTTAATGGGAAAACTCACTATAAATGGTGATTTTCCATAGCTATGTTAGTTTACTACAATGTGAGGCCCCCAAGATATAAGTTGGTTTATAAGGCTCAGTAACTATAGTTATAAGTTATAAGTACAATAAACCATAGTTATTGAAGTTATAAACCAAGTTAGCTATCTAGGGGGCCCCACCTTGTAGAGACTTATAGCAAGGTCGATGTTTGTTTGCTGCTCCTCCCTTCACTTGCAGTCCAAGCAGGCACTGACTGGCGACCAGCGACAATTCAGCATCATCGTCACCATCGTACTGATCATCATTATTGCATATTAATATTATAACAATATGATTATGATAGATAATGATAGTCATATACAAAAACAATGATAGTAATATATATATAGTCATATGTATATATATATGTATCCATAATGAATACTGATAGTATAATAATATATAGTCATATATGTAATTAACCATCACCACATCATGGCCTTCGAGTTCCGCTTCACCTCGACTGATCCAGCCAACCCCCGTGACCGTCCATCGCCGCTGGCAGGTTTTGCGGCCATCCCCACCTGCACCTTGATCTCCACGGTCATGGCCAGTTGGTTGGCTGATCCTCTGGGCTTGTGGCTTGGATGAAAGCTGAGCTGCCTGGGCCGCTTTCAGCTGCGGATTTCAAGAATTTTTCGTGGTGGAGCTGATTTGGAAATCCTCAGCTTGGCTAAGATCATTCTATTTTTCTGTAAAAAAAAGAACACATTGAATATTAAAGCTCATTATGTTAAGGTGGCTTTAAGCCGTTCGCGAGGGATTGTACTCTCCAAATTGACATCCGATTTCACATGGTTGAAGCATCAGAAATGGCAATGTTTTCAAGTGGCAATGTGACCAGCAACACCAAGGATTGTTCAGCCAAATGGATCAAAATGGGATGAACAAAAAAGACTCAGGATTTTCACCCAAAAATGCGATCTATTTTTAGCAGATTTATGATATTTATGGAAGAATTTTCACCAAAAAAACCCACTCTGACATCACTGGTAACGGGAATCATCTGCAAATTGGCCTCACTTCAGATATTTTCAGGTGAGTGAATTTTTGCACTTCAGCCAGATGTAACAGATACATCCAAAATTGCTAGCGAAGCTCGCTACTAGTTACTATAGGTATTATAGTCGGTGGTTTAACATATGTAATTTAGTTGTGTCATCCCAACAACTGAAATGACGATTTTGGCTAATCATTCTGCAATTAAAACCGCCGGACCAAGCATGACCAAACATGACCGGGCCAGGGCTCATAGCCGATATCAATGGATTGGTTTATTTGAGGGAACATTTACAGGACACACCCATATTTCATTGGAAAATCCATGGTTTCCGATTAAGATTTTCCCGCCAATCCATCGGTCCGATAGCTTCAGGACGCCGCTGTATCAACAGATCCTGCTGCTGATTCTGGGCGTCGTCTTGGCGAACATCTCAGCTCTGACCATCCATCGCTTGATGGACAGCTTCCCTCAACTCATGGGCTTCTTCTCGTGCGTCCTATCGGCCTGTGTGCTGCTTAGCAAAAAATGGAAGAGACCATGGCAAAACAGGGTTTCTCAACGGGAAAACTGGAAATTTAACCATCAAAGATTGGAGCAAACACATGAGGGAGCCGTTTTTTTTATCGTTAGTCTTCGGTAGTATTCGTCCAGTCATAACAGGGTGAGTATGTGCGTGTGGCTGCACGCGCGGAAGGGTGTGGAAGCACCGCGGAAGGAAAGTTTCGCGGAAGTGTCGTGGAAGCTTAAAAAAAGCACAATCATACTCCCCAAAGATAGGAAAACATCCTCTACACCTAGGCCGCGGAAGCAAATCACCCAAACCATCCCAAACCTACCAACGGGGAAGCTCATGGAAGCGATGTATAAAGACATGAGCTTGCGGAAGCTACGTTTTCATCCGCGCAAGGTTTGCGGAAGCGTTGGCGGAAGAGGTTTGTTACGTCAGTGGAAACTAAGAAGGAAAAAAAACGCAGCATTCAATGAAAGAAGGATCATTTAATAGGTGTATATCCTACACGGGTTTATCAATCACGCGCTTGACATTACATGACATTACCCATAATTTCTGGTTCAATCCCTTTCTACATAGCCATCCACAATTGCAATTTCCCAATTTATAGAGAGGTACCTGAAATCTCCGAATTTGTTCGTTGAATTACCCTCTGGTAATCAAACATAGCAGTGGAAAATCCACCAGGTATAGATGATTTTCCTGTTCAAGCCTCAATTTCGTTGTGGGATTTCCCGTTGCCATGTTTGATTAACAGAGGGTATCTAACCTAACTTTTTATGGTGGATGGGTTACATGAAAATTCCACAAAGATAGCCTACTTACTAATTGGAACATAGCCACCAAGTTTGGTTGACGGTCTTTCAGCAAACACCCAACCCCTCACCGCTCATTTCCCAAAGATCAGGGCCAATGTGGATTCATGGGAATTACCCCCTGGTAATGAAACATAGGCATTGAATATTGCCATTGAAATCGTTGATGTCCCTATTAAAAATGATGATTGTCCATAGTTTTTTGTATGTTTACCAGAGGGTATAATTGGATGGGCAATCAAGATAACTACTTGGAGGTGCATATAAGCATCAGTAGATAGAATACGGACATGTCCAACAAAAATCACCACTAAAACGGGAATTATATTGGAAACAAAAATCCAGATTTTCAATCTTTTCCAGGATCACTATATAATATAATATAATATAATATAATATAACATAATATAATATAATATAATATAATAATATATAATATAATATAATATAATATAATATAATAATAATATATATATAATACAATATATAATATATAATATATAATATATAATATATAATATATAATATATAATATATAATATATAATATATAACATATAACATATAATATATAATATATAATATATAATATATAATATATAATATATAATGACAATGATAAATACTCATAATAATAATGATGATAATAATGACAAATACTATAATATGTTAATGTTAATCTATATTTTATATTATAATGCATATATATATATATATGATATATGGCTATAGTTGATCCACTTTTGTTGACCGAGGCTCTGCCCTTGGAATTTCCTCTTCGGCGCCTTCACGGCGGTCTGGATCGGCGTGGCGGTGGGGAGCATCTTGGAGGAGGCGGGGTGTTTTCGGCAAAACTCACATCCATCATCATGATTTCATTTTTGATGCTAGCCTAAATATTCTGAACAATGGGGATGGGTCAAAACCCTATCCCCCTGGTGAATAGCTGAAAATAGCTGGGATTTATGGATGTTCATCCCCCTAAAAATGGTATGTATAGGTATTGATCCATAGCCAAATCATTGGCTTTTATTGGCGATTTTTAATGTTTCATTACATCCCTACTGGTACAAGTTTCATTAAACCATGGGTTTATCAGGTTTATCATGTTGATATCCCCAATGTCTTCCACACCAGGTCATCCTGCGCCGGACGTTGCAGCGCGAAATCAAACGTCGCTCCGCGACGGGGGAAGATGACATGGCCTTCTTCGATCATAAGAGGGCAACCCAGCTGATATCAGCTGACTCATGCTGAGTCCACGGGTCAGTTGAGGTACAGTAGCTGGAGCCTCCCAGCCCTCCCAGCTGATTGCTGGCTGAATTGCTGGGAATTTTTGGGAATCATTTTTGAGTTTAGCAGCATTAAAAGATCATGAGCACATGATAGTTTGCATCGGGTTTTTTTTTGAGTTTCCCATTGGGACTTCCATCTGTACCCTATATCCGGATCGATCATCCAAGTATCGAGTTTTCCAAGTCACCCCGCAAATCAGAGCCTAGTACTTCGGTACTTGGAGCGGGATATATTCATCTCATATATCATCTCATGTTCACTATAATTATACATCCATTGGAGATATCTACCACCATTACTTGGGGAATCCCAGCCGCCTTTTTTTTCCCTGAGGGGGGAGGAGGGGACCTCAAACCTAAGGCAGCATCCATGGAAGAATGGCAGGCAAGGGGCTGGGAATCCGGCACTGGGCACTTTTTTCCCCGTACCCTCTGGTAAACGTTTACATAGCTATGGAAAATGGCCCACTGAAATAGTGGACTTACCTATTAAAAATGGTGATTTTCTATAGCTATGTTAAACTACCAGAGGGTATGAGTTACCATAGCTATGGAAAATCACAATTTTTTCAAATCGGCAAATCAACGATTTCAATGGCAATTTTCAATAGCTATGTTTAATTACCAGGGGGTTCCTTTTTGGAGATGAAAGGTGGTGATTTTTTTCTTTTGTGACCAGGTGGTCATGTCTTGAAATACCCTCTGGTAAACTAACATAACTATGGAAAATCACCATTTTTAATGGGAAAACTCACTATTTCTATGGTCATTTTCAATAGCTATTTTGACGTTTACCAGAGGGTACAAAAGTTGCCTGGATCTTGGTCCCAACAGGGATCCCAACAGGGATCCCAACAGGGATCGATGTTTCTTTTTTCCGTGATCTTCCGCAGTGAAGATATGATTGATATCCAAACAGTTCCCAGCGGTTGGTGATACAGTGACCCAAGCTGTAGGGAAAACGAGTTCTACAGAATCTCTACATGATATCATATATTCTATATATAATATCCTATTGATATGTATTGGGAGACGCTTCGCTGATGTTCACATCAATGATGTTTTCTATGGTGGAGGTGTTGATTTTTAGTCACCATTGCAGGAACTTGAAGACGATGAGTCTGAGGAGGAAATCATCCCGGAACCTGACCGTGAAGATGCTTGGATGACCAGCGGACCAGAGAAGTGGGTGCTGAGATCATCGTTCGGTGATGTGAAAAATGGTGGTTTATCCATGAATGATGAGGTTCTTTTGAAAAATCTGCTTCATGGTATTCTGAAGTGCAGAGCTAGCCCTGAACTTACCTGGAACCCAAAAAATCAGCATCTCGCGCCAAGGACAAGTTGCAAACCTATCTGCAACTGGCAGCGGCCGGGCACAGCCCCATCGACTACGTGAGGGAAACCTCGGGGCTGCCGATTGAGGATCGATCCTTTCTACTGGAACCACCCGACTCCGAGAGTGAAACCTTCACACAAGAGGAGATGACCGACCGGAATGGAGATGTGTTTTCAATGGGTATACTTGGTATCGGTATCCCTATATATATTTATATATTGATTATATATAATTATATATATATATATTATATACATATATACATATATGATACTATGTATATATTATACTTATACATACATATGTATATATATATATTGATTATATATAATTATATATATATATATATATGATACTATGTATATATTATACTTATACATACATATGTATATATATATATATTGATTATATATAATTATATATATATGATATTATGTATATATTATACTTATACATACATATGTATATATATATATATATTGATTATATATAATTGTATATATATATATATATGATATTATGTATATATTATACTTATACATACATACGTATATATATATATATATATTGATTATCTATAACTATATATATATGATATTATTTATATATTATACGTACATACGTATATATATATATATATTGATTATATATATATATATATATATAGAGGTGCCTTGCAGTCAATATGTGGACGCCCGCAACATATTCGATGATTGGCATGATTTCACCGGCGTGGAGTCTAAGCTCACATCAAGTTGGAGTCAACGCGGGATGCTTAAAAAAAATCATCCCAAATCCTGATAATAATGGGGATTTATGGTGATTAATGGAGATTTAAGCAACAAACATGGGGATGTTATGATATTAATAGGACATACCCTCTGGTAAACGTTTACATAACTATGGAAAGATCCACCATTTTGTAGCTGGGAAACTCACTATTTCTATGGCCATTTTCAATAGCTATGTTGAATTACCGGAGGGTATATCCTCCATAAATCATCTCTAAAAAAATATATTAAAATATATGAAATATGGTCGTTATCGCCATAATGGACAAACGTGACATGCAAAATTAGTTTCTAATGGTGATAACATTTCCAAAAGAATGGTGAAACATGAACATAACTAAGGTTTAAACCTCGATCTAATCTTGGTGATATATATATATATGTTCAAATGGGTCAAACATCAGAGATGGTTTCTGAAATGGTTTGTCGAAGCATTTTTCCTACCAATGAGTCTTTCAATATTTTCCAACATTATTTCAGACAAAGCCCAATTTTTGACCAGCCAACGATCTAATTTTAGTTCAAATGGGTATGGATCAATACCTATTAATACCATTTTTAGGGGGATGAACATCCATTTTAACCCAGCTATTTTGATGTTCACCAGGGGTACCTATGGTTTTGACACACTGCCAAATGATTCAGCAAACTTTCCATCCAAAGCCACAGAAATCCGATCAACCACTGAATGTTTTTGGGTTGCCCTTCATGGGTTGCTGGGGCTAAAACGCACAAAGGTGACACAAAAGGCCCCCAAAAAATGGTGAGCAAAAATAGCGGAATTGTCTCCATGATTGGTGACCTGGTAGGTTTTCCTTAAGTGTTGCTATTAGTCATATGTATGTAAATATATATATATATACATGTATACATATACACATCCCACGTATCATCATAGATCCCCATGTATCGGCAATACATTTGAACATATCCCTACAATACTGGGTAATATCCTCATACATCCCGATTCTATAATGCCTCAGACCCCACTACTCACTTGTTCTTTCCTATTTGTTCTTGGTGAAATCCCTATTCAAGTAACAATTGGGGCTGAACAATTGGGGAAAACCCCCCGAAATAACTTGGTCAAGCAGAATTTTTTCCCTGTCACCATGGCACTTTGGAGGGATAATCGGATACACCATTCTCAGACAGACCCATTCAATACTGATTTAATTACAACCATCAATCTGGGTAAATTATAACGACCTCACTGTTCTCCCTCACTGGAATCATGGTTAATAAGGGGAATCATCCCCAAATGGCCGAACTATTCAGATTAGTGAACCATTCTAATTTACTCAGATCAATCTATCACTCAAAATCCTGAAGAGTCTCATATCTGGAGCTCCGCCACCGACTTGTTAAGATCTTATAACCAGTTGTAGTGGGGATACACATGATGATCAACTGACATGATGGTTTGTAAGTATAATTACACCTTATAACATATTACCAGTAGTACCGCACAAGGCGGTGGCGGAAGTTTCAGAATAGGAAACCTATAGGAGAGCTTGGTTGTTGTGAATCACGAATCGCAGAGCGAAGCCACTGATGGACTGAAAGGTGGTTGGAGTTGTGTCTTTTGGAGTGGTTACAATGGTTGCAGTGGTCACCTGGTCGGTCACCTCACCCACAACTGCTGGATGTAGTGTGGTGTAGTGCAGCTGTAGTTGTAGTTGTGGTGTAGTGGAGTTGTAGTTGTGGTGGTCTAGTGAGTGTAGCGTAATGTAATGTAGGATATGTAGGGTAGTGTAGTGTAGTGTAATTGAGTGTAGTGTAGTGTTGTGAAGTGGAGTGTGGTGTAGTGTAGTGTGATTGGTGTAGTGTAGTGTAGTTGTAGTTGTAGCTGTAGTTGTAGTTGCAGTGTAGTGGAGTGTAGTGTAGTGTAGTGGTGGTAGTTGAAGCCGCTACAAAGCCATCACTGTTTGCTCAACGGCGTGCACTTTTTCGAAATGTCAACTTCCAAAAGTGGTCTGAGCATGGTGTGTTTTGTACATTTTGACTTGGAAATGTGCTTCGCGCCACAACGGCGTACACTTTTTCGACATCTCAACTTTCAAAAGTTCTCCGAGACTGGTGTGCTTTACATTTTGACTTGGAAATGTGCTTCGCGCCACAACGGCGTGCACTTTTTCAACATCTCAGCTTCGAAAAGTGGTCCGAGACCGTCACTTTTTAACACTTTTGACTTCGAAATGTGCTTCTCTCCATAATTCCATGCACTTTTTCGACATTTTAACTTCCAATAGTGCTCCGAAGGTGAGGTGTTTTTAGCTTTTTCACTTGCAAATGTGATTCGTGCCACAACGGCGTGCAATTTTTCATCTCTCATCTGGCCAGATTGCTCGCACCCGCCGCTTTAGCGAGCCTACTTTTCGACCCTCCGCAGCCACAAATCAGTGGGAAAACACAATGAATCGCGACTTTTCTACCTTTTCGCGCACCTGCATCTTCTTTCTTCTGACTCTTTCTCTTCTCTGATCTTCTCTCTTCTGCTCTTCTCCTCTCTGATTCTTCCCACCTCTGCTTTTCCATCTGTCTTTTCCATCTGTCCATATTGTTGGAAGTTTGACTTCCAAACTTCCTTCGATAACAATTGCAGTAAGTATATAGATATACCGCCCAAAATTCCTAGCTAGATAATGTTTGATATTAGTTTTAAATCGCACTTGTTTCTTCGTAATGTCAGAAATTATATTAAATAACATATCCCATCTATTTCCCAGATAGGTAAAAATCCTCGCATTTGCTTGTAAAAATCCGTTCGCAATCTGTTCGCTTGGTTTCAATGTGGGACAGTAATAAAGCATCCCACAGTCATCACCATTTTTATAGATGGTATATATAAACCATTCCCAGTCATGGCTGGTTTATGACATTGTTTTTCCCACATTAATGGATATGAAAGGGAAATGGTTCACACTTGAATTATCATTAAAATCCCATTAAAATTCCATTAAAATCCAATTAAAATCATTTTTTTAAATACAATTTTTCATATGTCATGGACATCCCATTAGATTAACCGATTAACCATTTTTCCTGCTTTTCTTCGCTCTCCAGGAGGCGTCCGTCGAGGTGGACGCCCTGGGCGATGAAGTGGAGGAGTCGGAACCCGTGGCCCATCCTGGGCATCGAAGTCGTAGCGCCTTGGGAGAAATGGCCGATTTTCATGCGATTTGTTCGTTTTTTTTTCAGTTTTCCCTGGATTTTGGAGGGGAATTTTGGTGATGATTTGTTGAACTTTGATGGGATTTTTCTATTTTGGGAGGATATTTTTAATGGGACTATGATGGGACTGATTGGTTTGTTGTGAGTTCTGTGGAATTTAGTGGGGGTGATCTCCCAGTCTGGCTGTTGGTGTCCGGCTCTTTGGATGTCTGTCTTCACTAAGCAGTGATTGACAGTTCTTGGCAGTTGTGTGTGTGTGTCGCACGTGTGGGGCCAAGCACCAAACACTCCCTAGTCCAAGCTCCAAAGAGCACCCATTAGCATCTTTTAGATGTCCCTTTGAAATGCCCGTGTCAAAACCTGATATTGCTCGGTAAAATTTTCCTCGGTGGGATGAGTATTTCGTGCTTGTCTCTATTCTTTACCCTCCTCTGTAATTTTTTAGTTTCAAAACAAAACCATGTTCCACCATGGCTTTATGCGTGTGACCACTTGTCTCCCAATTGTCTCCTACCGTCCTACCTTGTCTCGCTCTAATTGTCTCAGATACAAACGCCGTTGGCAAAAAATCGAAACAGTGTGGCATGTTGCTTGTGATTCATGTTGTTCTTAATTGACATGGATAAAAAATGCCAGCATCAGGATTTAGTACAACCACAAACATGCACACAGACGATGCAACCTACGGGGGTGTATTTTTTTTCGGGAACACATCATAATACTGTATAAATATATGTATCTGTATATATATATATTGATAGATAGAACACTATGAATCCCATGGTGTTTACTGCGTTTTTTCCCAAGCAACCCATCCACTGCCACAGGTCTTGATCTGATCAAGTCTCACTCGTATCCTTCGTCCTCCTCAATTTTTGACCCACCAGATCTGGCGGACGACAACGACAACAGAGAGGCGCACGACAACGACAGGGACCGACATGCCTGAAGTCGGACCTGAAATCAGATTCGCGATTCAGACAAAAACTAAATTTGTGAAACTTCATGAATTCATTTTCGTTTTGCAGTTTTTTGCCTTTTCCGAATGGATGTTTGTTAGTTTTTTATCACATCGTTTTTGGATGACAGCCTCCGGTGTCACCGGGACAATTTTTTCGATGCTATTCCCAAGCGCCATTTTTTGGCGCATGGATTTCTGAGCCATTAAGATCTACAGATCCTGGACACAGGACGTGGATGAGAACTATGAGAACGCCGATCCATTGTTGCCACTGGCAGATCTGCCGGAGGACCATCGGTCACGATGGAATGGGAATATCTTGGGATTTTCATGGATTTTCCTTCTGATAATAATGGTTAGTATGTGGTCAACATATGGTCAATGTATGGTCATAATTTAGGGATTTACTGGGATATGGGACTTGTTTAACCAACAATGTGATATCGAATTACTCTCTGGTAAAGGTTTACATAGCTATGGAAAATCACCATTTTCAATAGGTAAATCAACTATCAATGGGTATTTTTCAATAGCTACGGTAGTTTACCAGAAGGTACGGGATGGGGATATTGACATTGGGAATCTATGGTCAATATATGGGATAAAACATGAATATATAAAACCAATCATTGGATATAGCGGGACATATAAGCTCTGGTAATTCAAAAGAGGTATGGAACATGGTTGATTTAGTTTGATGATATATCTACTAGTTTTTTTTGGGGTGCTGCGAGCTTTTTACAATTACCAGAGGTTTCTATGGTTGTTATTCACCACGAGAAAGGATTACTGGATCCTCATCTGTGGGTCGTTTGGCATCAACCATTGTGATCATTGTGGGTAGTTGGGAATCATAGGAATTGTTGGTTGGGTGGTCATCTGTAGGGACCAAATGATCAGTGGTTTACCCTCTGGTAATGACTAACATAACTATGGAAAATCACCATTTTCAATGAGAAAATCCACTATAAATGGCGTTTAATTGTGAGAATCCCTTTCCCAACACGAGTTCACCTTGCTGGGATGGAGGACCTATATATGTGGTCATCAGGTGAGAATGCTACATACGCTTTGGTAGTCAACCATGGCAAACATGGTAATCTTCGGGGAGTTTCCAGCCAGCTACGTCTGATGACACCGGAGGGTAACTTCAAAGTTTTAGTTTCATGCCTTCTCAGTTCCCCACAATCCATCGAGCTTCTGCTTATGCAATGGTTCAAAATGGACCGCAGGTAGTAATTTACGAATTGAATCAATGCCTAAGCAAGGAATTGCTTGAACTGAATTCAAACTGGCCACCTTGAAAACTGTGTCATTGACCAACGCGAATGTTTTGACAAGACACCCACAACATCCATATTTTTGCAGTTCACACCCTCATCATTGCTGGCTAATATCACTATTGTTGATGGACTTTGATGGTTAACGACAACATATCCATTAGTTGACTTGCATGGGTTACAGACTGTAATCCCTTGCACCTATCATATTAGAGAACACCCTAATGAACACCTGGTTTAGTATATATTGGATCTATTTAACTATTCATTTTCGCTTCCCTTATTGGGAGATTTTTCATTTGTTGTGGATAGGATTCTCATCACTCGTTTTTTTCTTATGGAAGCAACAAAAACCGGACCCATTTCCCATACCCTCTGGTAATTTAAAAGTTCGCTATGTAAAATCACCATTCTTCAAAATGGCAAATCGACCAAGTAAATGGGCGTTAAGGCTTAACCAGGACGCAAACTGTGTCGCAGAAATCAAATTGCAGAGGAGATCAACTCTTTTTTCCCATATCAATCATATCAAATCATATCCCATAGGATCCATGTATGCTATATATGGTAACATTTACCATCAATATACCCCCAATGTTAGCATATATATCATACATGGATCCTATGGGTATCAAATCATATCAACCTTTTCCCATCCTCCAACTTGGCTCCAAAAATGGGGTACCCAGGACACGCCCAACAGCCACGCTGAGCACCACGGTGAGCTCCGTGCCATTGCGGATGTGGAGGAAGGCGATCCCAAGTTCCATGGATTTACCCTCTGGTTATGTCAAAATAGCTATTGAAAATGGCCATAGAAATAGTGAGTTTTCCCATTAACAATGGTGATTTTCCATAGTTATGTTAGTTTCCCAGATGGTATATATACATATATGGATTTCTATGGTATAGTTCCAATTTAGGTAGCTGAAATGGCCATCAACAGATGTTGGTTGATGATTGTTGGAGGTTATACTATCCAGTTGGGGATCAACACAATCCATGAGCTGAGAATTCCTGTTTTTAACCAGACAATAGGGGTGACAGAGTTTGGGTAAGAAATTCTGGCGAGAAAAACAACAGATTGATGGGAAGGTCGTCACAACCGAACTAGAAATTGGATGAAATTAGAGAAGTTTAAATTGCGGTATCTAAGATATTCTAAGCTCGACAATTGGAGACAGGGTTTATCCTCCGGTAATCATGGCAATGGACAATGAAACCCTATTTATAGATGGACAATCCGCACTTAAACCTCCATGTATAGGGGATTTTCCATTGCCACGTTTGATTACCGGAGGCTATATAGATCTATATAGTATCAATAAAGCTTAATAATCACGTTTTTTTTTGGGGTAAACTATGTATTACACTTAATAAACATACACGTTTAATCGTTTTTAAACCGAAGAACGCCGAATTTTGGGGGGTGAAATCATGTTGGTCTTCATTTCCACAAAAAGATAGAACTCGTTTTTTTTGTCCCAGAAACATTGATCGAAGTCGATTTCAGAGTAGAATTTTCCGGTACCCTCTGGTAATTTAACATAGCTATGGAAAATCACCATTTTTTATGGGAAAACTCACTATTTCAATGGGCCATTTTCACTAGCTATGTAAACGTTTACCAGGCCGGGTAGATGTCCATGAAGTCATGGGGCTTTTGTTAAACGGAACTCCGTGAACTTCCCGTGGATTTTTCTCCGTTTCGAAACTGGGCACTGCTGGCCAGGCACAGACCTGCCGGAGCTGCCGAGTGAAAGTCCGGCGGAAGACAGGCGCGGCGGAGGTGTCTGAAATCTTCGTCATGGTAGCCCCAAATGGATGGTTTCCATAGCGGAGCTGGGTAAATTATAACGACCTCACTGTTCTCCCTCACTGGAATCATGGTTAATAAGGGGAATCATCCCCTTTTATGGCCTTATTTATTTCAGGTTAGTGACTTATTATAATTTAATTACCATGATGGTATCCCGATAGCCCCGATAGCTGGATTGCTTATTTCATGGAAAATCCATCTATAAATGGATGAGAACTGAGGGTACCCCCATTTCAGGAAACCTCCTGATTTCATCCAAGGATGGGAAGACCATCTTTAGATATCTTTAGTATTGAAGCAATGGACAACTTGGAGATCTTGGAGATCTCCCCATTTTTGGAAAGACCATGAAAGACTTATAGCCATTATATAGTCTAATTGTTCATCAATTTGATGCGGTGGATATGTGTCATATAGACATCTATGAATATCTATAACTACCTGGCTAATCTACAGCAAGCCAAATTCAGGCTATGTCGGATTAGCAGCACTGGCAATGGTGAGCAGAAACAAAACATGGCGCTGGTTGACTTTGATCTTTGGAACTGGCATCAACAAGACATCTTTGGAAGACATTTATCAACATTTATCCATTAAACATAGTGGATCTTTATCCATTTAACTATGGAAAAAATCACCATTTATCAACATTTATCCAAAGACTTGAATCTCGCAACTTGGGGTTCACCTCGACGCAGTTTGTTTTTTTTTGAATGTCCGATATGAATGACATTGAATGACAATCCAAGATCATCACGCAGCTGAACTTAGCAACTTGGAGATGGAAAACCAGCAATGTTTATCCACAGAATTTCCGATATGACTCGATGAGAGAATATGAGAGAATCATAAGCCACAATTCTTGGCTTGTAAAAAATGTAACCCAGCAATTTTTGGGTTGTAACTCCCTGTAACCCTTTCAAATCTTGAGAAACATCAGATTGCGAAAAAAGTGACCAGCCTATTTTCATGGTTATAAATTACGATAAATTAGTTGTTACAGCAATTGTCCATGGTTATATAAGTTATAACATGTTATAACACCCATTTTTTTCTGATTTTTTTTTCCATCCTACAGTCATAACACCCCATTTTTTCCAGCCAGATCCAGGCCGCCGGATGCCTTGGTCCTCGCCATCCCGGACACCGCCGCGCACGGCGCGGAGGCGGCACAATTGTGGTTGGATAGGAAGATGGGAGGAGCTGCCAAGCGACATGGGATACCCAGTGATCATCCATTTTGATGTTGGATTTTCAGGGATTTGATGTTGGATTTGATGTTGGATTTTTTTTAAAGATTTTCAGGGATTTTCCATGATGATTTTGATTTGATGTTGGATTTGATGTTGAATTTTCCATGAAAGCCATCATGAAATCAACCAGTTATTGTGGAATCCCCCGTGGCTTTGGACTCCTAAGAGGACCCCCAACTAGCTATTGCAATAAAACCATCAAACATGGTGATTGAATGGGATATCAATGTGGATTTTTCATAGATTTTAATATATGGTTCATAATGGTTCATAACTAAGTCTAACTAACTAATCCGATTAATCCCTTCCCCCGTTCATACATATTTAACACCAAATATAGATATGGTCCCGATTTTTTTGTGGTTTCATTCCCACCATGGTGCCATGGTTTCGTTGGTGTTTAACATGAACCGGAAGGGATCAAGCTGGGATTCCAGGATGAACTGATTTTTTCCGCTGTGATATGATGCAGCCACAATTCGTTAGTTGATCCTATAGTTGATGGTGACTATTATCCAATAGGTGATATGTAGTTGATATAGTTGATATAGGTTATGTTTAACATTGTTTAACTGATTATTATCCACAGTTCATATAGTTGGTACCTTTTGGTAAATTAACATGGCTCGCTGGAAAATCCGCCATTTATATAGATGATTCCAGCATATTCCAGCTATAAACCTGATAAGGCACTGATAAGGCATTTTCCAGCCAGCCACGTTTGATTACCGGAGGATATCTCACTTTTTTCTGCATGGGTTACATTCACTGCAGGGATATAACCTGCCAACAAGATGCCGCAAAGTTGCAGACACCCTGAAATTATGGGGGGAACATCAGCAGTACCATCCTGGAAACACTATTGGGCAACCTTTTTGGGGCTATTTGGATGTTTTGTATGTGTATATATATATATTTGATTTTGTATATATATATATATACATATTATGTATATATATAAATTATTTATGTATATTTATGTCATATCGTAACAACCAAACATTGGGAATGAACTAAATCATGGGACATGGGTGGGTTCTCAACCATGGTGGGTTTCGAGGTAACTTGCTGTTGGTCATAGATTGGTTTAAGAGCAGGTCGTTAATAGCCACAAACCCATCATTTGTACATAGTCCATAGTCCATAGGTGTAGTTTCTGCTTGACCATTTATCAGAATGCGTTCAGGGCGTTGGCGAATGAATGTCATGGCTTGAAGGGAAGACTCATATACAGTCAGAGGAATGAAAAACACGTTTGTATTGTAAACTCCATTGTTTCAATCGAATTCTCTTGTGCGCCGAGAGTGTGGCGATTTTGAGCTCCTTTCAAAACCATGAAAATATCATCCAGCAGCCGCACAGATGTTTGATCTGAATGGATAGATTGATGGATGATAGATTCCAACCAACACAAGCCGTGACCTTCACAGTTTCGCTACTGTTGCCTGCTTTACAATTCAAAAAAATATGCCTAGCTAGATATATCCAGATATATCCAGATATATCCATCATGAAGCCAAAGATTTCTTGGTGTTTCCTAGTGATAAACTCTGATTCCAACTCTCCGTCGTGGTGGCAGCGGTGAGCGGAGCCATGGGTAGCCATATCTTCCATCATTTTCCAAATGGAGCCATGGGTACAATCAGAGTTTTCCAATAGGAATATAGGATACATACCCCCTGGTAAATTAACTTGTTGACCCTGAAAATCACCAATTTTTAATGGTTTCACTAGTCTTCCAACCCCGATGACTGCCAGGGTCTATGTTAATTTACCAGAGGGTACATCATTTCAATGGTCATTTCAGGAACCTAAAATGGAGGTACGTTAGTACCATATTTTTGGCCATATTTTGTGGGTAAATTCCCATTGATCATTGGTTTAATTGGGAAATCATTGCGAACCTCATTGGAGATGACTTATCGCTTTATGGCATCAATCATGGGGATATCAACACTCATAGTAACCATCAATCTGGGTAAATTATAACGACCTCACTGCGACCTCACTGGAATCATAGTTAATAAGGGGATCATCCCCAAATGGCCTTAATTCAGGCTAGTGAACTATTATAATTTACTCAGATACATCATTGGTTTCACTGGGAAATCATTACTAACATCATTGGAGATGACTTATCGCTTTATGGCATCAATCATGGGGATATCAACTATATCGACCATCATAATAACCATCATAGTAACGGTGCCCCATAGGTAACTAAGTTGCTTTGTAACTAGTTTAACTAAAACTGCCGGTGATTATAAAATATTATAACCCTAGTTTAGTTAATTAGATGGTCATCGAGCGGACTTCTAGCTGGGTTGCACCACCTGAATTGGGAAGAAACCAACAATCGGGATATACTGGGATATGATGGGATTTTTGTAACCAGCAAACGGTATAAGTGGTATTTTCTGTGGCACTTATAATCACATATGTGGATGAATGGCATACCACATTATATGATATATATATATATATACATAATATATCAAATGCCAACTTCCTTTACAATGATATCCACTTACCCTCTGGTAAACTAACATAGCTGTGGACACTCACCAAAATTTAATAGGTACTGTAATTATCTGTAATTCAACTGTAAATGGCAAACTTCCCTAGCTTTTCGCATGTCTACCAGAAGGTAAATGACATTACACTTGTGGATGAATGGTATTGGTATATCACATTATATGATTATATCAAGTGCTCATTTACATCCATTTACATCCATTTACATCCATTTACATCCATTTACATCCATTTACACTTTTATATGGCTATGGATCAATATCTATTAAGTACCATTTTTAGTGGAATGAACATCCATTTTAACCCAGCTATTTTGATGTGAACAAAAGGGGTACCTATGGTTTTGACACACTTTTATATGGTGCCATTGAAGTGCCATTGCCATGTAAACTTTATAATGATCTCCACCCACCATGGCACTTCTTCCCGACGCCAGGATGCCGAGCTGCCCACGGGAATGGAGCTGGCGACACGCGACGACGATGCGGACGATGTCGACGCTGTCGACGATCCGGGGAGGAGTCGGAGCGTGTCCCCAGAGAGCCTTGAGCGTCGCAACGGCTGGTTTGGTTGTTGGCAATATATGGGAAATATATGGGAAATATATGGGAAATATATGGGAAATAGGGTTAATAATGGTTAATAATGGCTAATAATTATCATCAACATATGGGATAAACCCAGCAATAATGTGTGGATTTGTCTGATAAGAGGGTTAGTAAGTGATTAACAACCATAGTTAGTTTATCCATGCATAGATTGCTTAATCCTCGAATCGAGGACTTACAATCACCAGGGTAATTTTCTACCATTTACGATTCGTGGGATGATCCTCCCTACATGGGGTTCAGACCTGAACATGTGTCCGAAAACGGGGGATAGCTCCAAACACGGCCGCCTCAATAGGGAAATTGATCAACTAATAGAATTTGAGGGGTATGTGCCCCTCCAGAGAAACCCAAATCGATTTTCCCTAAATCCACCGGTCAATCTTCATTTTGTCTCTATAAAACTTGAATTTTGATGAGTATTCCCCATTTTTTAACAAACCACTATGGACGTCATGAGTGAGTAGCTGGGCCCACACCCCAATATTCACCCAATATTCACAAGTATTCTGGGTAGATGATGTTAGTTTTTGCCTGCCAGTCCCCAGCTCGGAAGCCTTTTGAACATATGAGGACATCATTGGTTACATACACATACGCAGATGATCTGTATATATATATATATCACACATAAAAACTAATTCAAACAACATATGTATATATATATATATTATCATATTTTGATATATTTTAAATCCTTCTATATCCCGAACTTTAGACAATTAACACCAATCTGTTTTCATCATCATCAGTCAAGGCAGTCGCCCACGTCCAGAGAAGCTCACATGCGAGCGGCGGCAGCAACTTGTCGGTTGATCTGTCTGGCCCTGATTCATCCTGATTGTGGGTACCAAATATGGGTGAAACATGGGTTTGTTTTTCCATATGGAAGTTTCCATAAATGGCAACACCCCAAAATGGATTGTTTAAAAGGGAAAATCTGAGAATAAAAAGGATGATAATTAGGGGTATCCCCATGACTTAGGAAACCATCATATAGGCCAATGGTTATCAATTTTCTAAGGGGATTTATATACACAGTGGAATCAGCAGAAAAGCTGATGATGCGGCGATCACCTGAAGCCCGATAAATCTGATGGTGCTGACCTTGGTCAGATCAGAATAGTTGGTCTATAGCTAGATGTCCATGCCAAATGTCAGTATGTTGATGTATTTTTTGGGTGTTTATCATCTGGTTGGTGGTTTGGAACATGAAATTTATGACTTTCCATTCAGTTGGGAATGTCATCATCCCAACTGACTTTCACTCCATCATTTTTCAGAGGGGTAGGGCGAAAAACCACCAACCAGTCATGTTTATCACCCAGTCATGATGGGATCTTGGTACTCAAATACACACCTTTAGCCAGCGATCGGGGGGAAGACTTGGAAGATCTTGGAACACATGGCTGGGTCCGAGTATGTATACGGCCCATGATCGAAGTTTCATTGATAAGCATAACACTGCTACGTTTTTTGCATTTAGATATTTAAGTGTAAGGTGGCAAACCCAAAAACGAAACAACCATTTGGGGATGCAAAAAGCATACGACTTGGTGCAGCTCCGGATGTTGTGGACTCATCTTTTGAGCTTGGATCTATAAAAGGATGGTTGACAGGGGAATCATAGGTATGCTATAGAAAGCTGAAACAATTATATAAGTAGAGGATATTTGAGGCGGTCATGACTTTCTGGAATCTGGATGAACCTGGCTTGGAAACGAAGTCTTTGATAGTCTATTCAATTTGAGCCCTACATTACTGTAAGATCTACCCCAGAGGTAACCTTTAGTATACCATTCATGAATTGCATGTTATCGATGTGCATCCCTGGAATTGTACCAAAGTAACTCCCGAAAAGATTGACCGATGATAACTATGGAAAATCACATATCTTTTCATGGGTTTTTATCAACCATAACTGGCCATGTTCAATAGCTTTTCGTCTGGTAATTTAACATAGCTAGTGAAAATGGTGATTTATAGTGGTTTTTCCATTCAAAATGGTGATTTTCCATAGTTATGTTAGTTTACCAGAGGGTAGTTTACCCGAGGCTACTACCCTTGTGCCCCTGGGCCACGCTGCCGGAAAAACAAAAACCGTTTTTTTGCAGCGTTCAGGTGACGCAGCTGGCGGTGGAGGTGAATCCGATCCTAAAGAGCTTCTGGGCTTTTTTTCAGCCAGGTTTTTTTGGCCTCTGGTAAATTAAAATATATGGGTATGGATCAATACCTATAGATACCATTTTTAGTGGGATGAACATCCATTTACCAGCTATTTTGGGGTTCACTAGGTACCAGGGTTTTGACCCATCCCCAAATATATAAATATTACCAACCAACCAACTAGAGATAGGCTATATAAATATTACCCTCTGGTAAATTCACTTGTTGACCCTGAAAATGACCAATAAAAATAGTGGAAACTCACTAGTCTTCCAAGCCCCAAGTCATGGCAGGGTCGTCATGTGAATTTACTGGAGGGTAGCTCTTCAGGAACTGTCATCAAAGGAAGTGTTAAATGGGGGTTTGAAAAAGGATCAACTCTTCAGTGATTTGCATGATTTGTTTAATGATTTTTTCATGAATCCTGAGCATGGGGGTGAAAAAATGGTCATCAACCATCAACTGTTAAATTAAGTGTCATCAACTGTCATCTACTGGTGAAAACCAATCAAATAAAAGGTTGATTCAACCAGTAGAAACCAGTTGTGGATGGCATCACATCTGGTAAAAGTCTCGGTTGCATGGGACCCCAGTACGGCTATGGTAGGTTGATGCTTGTTTTAGGTGGTGTTTTCGGTATAGATTCTGGTAAACTAACATAACAATGGAAAATCACCATTTTTAATGGGAAAATCCATTATAAATAACAATTTTCAATAGCTATGTTAGTTTACCAGAGGGTAGATTCTTTTTTCAGAAAGCAGCTCACTCCAGTTTGCCCGGAAATGGAGCACATTGGAAAAATGCAGACAATTCATGGGAATTGGGGTTGCAGGTTACCCAACTTTCAGACAAACCCAACTGAAGAAAGCAGGTTGGATTAGGGGGCCGTGGATCTCAGGAAATTCCAAGGAAATTCCAAGGAGCCAAGATAAAAGGTTATTGTGAATCTGATGATAATATAAATTAATATGATATATCCATACAATTCAATATATATATATATATATATTATATTAATATAACGTATATATGCATATATATATATATATTATATTCATATAACATATATATATATATATATATGTTATATGCATTTATATATATATACATGCACGGTATAGATACACTTGATACACCACGTACGAATTTATGTATATATACATGTTTTTTTTTATGCATATATTCAATATGTTACATGTTATGATCCAGACAAGAAGTGCAATCTGACAGATGCAACCCCCCATGTATTGCCCCCCCAACAAGCTGCCTGTTTCTCGGTTAAGTGCCCTGCGCCCAGTGAAACACAGTTTACCACCCTTGACGTTTTTTGAACCCCGTGATTGGCTTGCTGGAAGCAACTCATTTACAACCAAAGTGGATTCTTGTCGCCCGATAATTAAACTGCTGCCAAAAACCTTAGAGGAATAGAAAAATATAAAGTGTCGAATAATAAGCGGTAGTCTTTTCATTGTTCATCACAGTATTTCATCCGGGTCTTCATGACCCTTGAAAATGTACTGTAACTGGTTGCCAAAGCCCGTTCCTACGGCGGCCTTTCTATGAAATCTTGTGTAGGGTTAAGGGAAGATTTATGTACAGGAAACCATGGTTTTCACAATCACATGTAGGCCTTTTCTGCAGATTTTCCCTTCATCCCATTCAGAAAAATGATGACCACGTGATTTGTGATGATTGATGGTTAGTCCTGTAGTCCCGTACCGATACAAAAAAACCATCGAGACGCCCTGGTTGAGTTAGTATAGCTGTATTCATCCCTGGACTCCCAGGTCTGCAGCCCAAGAATAAGCAAGACATGTGGTCCAAAATCCATGGCGGTCGTCAGCCGCGCGCGGTTCCCTCTCTGTCACTTGACTTTGGCGGAAAAGCATGATGAATTCATGGGAATCTCAAGGATTGGATTAGGAAACGGGAGAATTTAAATAAGGGAGTCCAGAATCTCTTTGGATGATAATGATAGATGATGTTTGGATATGTTTGGCACATTTGTTGGTTGTTTCACATCTTTGAAAACCCATACTTTTTGGAACATGATCACTCAATGCACTAATTGCGCCTTCAGGCGGCCCCCTGGCTCCCAGAGGGGTCAAGCCAGCTCATCAAGGCGAGGGAACCAGGGAACAACAAATGCCAAGAAATCCATTGGGATTTCATCATTTTGGGTGATCTCTTGGTGACTTGTTTGATGATTGGGAGATAACCATCAAAAATGCATTATAAATATTTATAAATGGGAATAGCCATGGGAACATCACAAAATCATTTGGGTAAATAAGAGCCACGTTGGATAACGATCCCAAGACTTCCGGCAACGAAGAAACCATCCATCGATCGACCAAAACAAAGGACTTAATCAAAGGGATGGGTTTGTCACACTGCAACATGCAATGAAGATTACCTACATATGTATATATATATATATATACAGTATATACACGTATATATATATATATATATACGTACATATATATATATACAATGTGAGGCCCCCAAGATATAAGTTGGTTTATAAGCCCCAGTAACTATAGTTATAAGTACCATAAACCATAGTTATTGAAGTTATAAACCAAGTTAGCTATCTAGGGGGCCCCACCTTGTAGATATGTATACACCTACACATCCATGGTGAATCTTTAGCAATGACTCAATGGGTCGGTTTTTTTCATCGATGACGCAGCTGCCGCGCGTCATGGCCAGGAGCCCAAAGTGACGTGGTCATCGCCTTTGGGTCGTAGATCGGAAGCGAACCGTTCGCCACTCGGTGGTTGGGGACCTCATGGGCAGGCCTTAGCACATCCCCAATATGGCCTTCCCAAATCATGTTCAACACCCCCCAGAAACCATGGTATAGTAGGAAACAACAGCGCAGACATTTTATTGAAGGGACCCTTTTTTGAGGCTGTTTGATATAGGGGGGATGGGAGTTATCATAAATCCAGATTGATGGTTCAAAGGCGGGGGGTTCCAACAAAACGGGTCCATTTCACCATGAGGATCAAACCGTTGCGGAGATGAGTCAGGATTGACCACGGCCAACATGAGCCTTTCATCCCAGAACCATACGATTCATATACAGTACCCTCTGGTAAACTAACATAGCGAACTGGAAAATCACCATCTTTAATAAGTAAATCAATCATCAATGACCACTTTCAATACATAGATGTCCTTTTCCCGTTGGTTGGTTGATGAATAGAGGGGTTTGAACAAACCGCTTTAACATCCTTTAACAGGTAAATGATATATGATAGATGGTAAAATAGCCCCGCTATTTTCACCAAAAGGACATGGCATTGTTTCAATACCTAATTCTGTTAGTTTACCAGAGGGGAATTGACTACATTGACTACATCATACAGCAACCTTCCCCAAAAACTATGCCCAAGAGTTGAACGCCAATGGAGGAAAACATCATCCTGGAAGCATACTGGAAAATACTGAAATCGGCAGTTTTTTGGGGGATCTATGGGGGAGCCCATAAAATCATCTAAAATCAGAATCCCAAAGAATTGAAACTGGGATTGATGCTTAGTAAAGGCACCCTGTGCCAACAACCCTGGGACTGCCTTCAGAGGTCTTTTGCAGCAACCCAGATGATGTTCCCCACAATTTCAGACTCGCAGTTGTATCATGCTGTATCTATCAATAGGGTACCCTCTGGTAAACTAACATAACTATGGAAAATCACCATTTTTAACGGGAAAATCCACTTTAAATGGCCATTTTCAATAGCTATGTTAGTTCACCAGAGGGTAATCCAACAGATCTACCGGGTAGAAGGCCCTACAGAGGAACCAGGGTTTCACCATTCAGATGGTGGATGGAATGTAACCCCCGAACTTCAGCGATATAAAAAAGTCATTCCCCGGGGAAGCAAAATGAACTTCAGAACCGGTTCAATTCCCACTGATGTGCTAAATTTTAAATCCAGGTATCCACTTCTGACCCTGAAAAAAGAATAAAAAAGATGGTTTACAAAAAGTGAGTACTCTAATCTGTGGTCCTCTGGGGTTTACTAAGCGTATGTCCCGCAACACGTGAAGAAGAATTGACTGCTGGTTGTTTACTGTTGGTTCTTTCAGTAAGCATAGGTCACCCATGAGGTCGGAGTTGATCCAATCTCTCAGATATCAACTGGAAAAAAAAGGCTTCAGACAGTCATTCTTGTCGACACGGTAAGTTCTGACACTTTTCTGGACTTTTTTCAGGCTCAGTCAGCAATATATATATATATATATATATGGTGAGACGGATCCTTTTCAGTTTCTGCCACTGAATCGAGGCTTTCCTTAGATTTTTTCGCATGGTGGAGTGATGCGAGCACCTACCATTGGTGCTCGCACAGTGTACAGTTCACAGCCCCGCTCTACGTCCTTTGAAAGGAGTGAAGCAGATGCAGAGTTCAGCAGCAAATGTAGGTAGACCCACAGCGTCAAGCCCTTGGAGCCAGCTAGACATATTTACATATATCATACATTCATATTAGTGAGTACTGTATAAATATATACATATTTATTTGTACATATACATATATGTATGTATACAGTATATATATGTAAATATGTAGATATGCATTTATGTATATATATATATATGCAAATATGTATATATGTTTATATGTATATGTACATATGTATATATGTATATATGTATATATGTAAATATGTACAGTAAATATGTATATATGTATATATGTATATAAGTATATATGTATATATGTATATATGTATATATGTATATATGTATATATGTATGTAAGTATATATATATATATGTATATATGTACATATGTATATATGTATATATGTATATATGTATATAAGTATATATATATGTATATATGTACATATGTATATATGTATATATGTATATATGTATATATGTATATATATATATGTATATGTATATATATATATGTATATATGTATATATGAATATATATGTAAATATGTAGATATGCATTTATGTATATATATATGCAAATATGTATATATGTTTATATGTATATGTACATATGTATATATGTATATATGTATATATGTATATATGTATATATGTATATATGTATATATGTATATATGTATATATGTATATATGGATATATGTATATATGTATATATGTATATATGTATATATGTATATATGTATATGTATATATGTATATATGTAAATATGTGTATATGTATATATTTATATATGTATATGTGTATATGTGTATATGTGTATATATGTAAATATGTATACATGTATACGTATATATATATATACATACATATATATATATATATGTAAATATGTGTATATGTATATTTTTTTTTATATGTTTATATGTACATATTGTCTATCTATCTATCTATATATCTACCTACCTATCTATCTATCTATCTATCTATCTATCTATCTATCTATCTATCTATCTATCTATCTATCTATCTATCTATCTATCTATCTAATCTATCTATCTAATCTATCTATCTATCTATCTATCTTATCTTATCTTATCTTATCTTATCTTATCTTATCCTATCTATCTATCTATCTATCTATCTATCTATCTATCTATCTATATATCTATCTCTCTATCTATAGATATATACATATCTACATAAATATATATACAGGTATATGTTTATGTATATATATACCATTGCATACAATTATATGTTTAAAGATGGTTCTCTCCACCTCCCGTTTTGTGGTGGTTTGTCGGTCAGTATGCTCAGCTTTATGCGGTTTGGAGGTCTTTCGCAGTGGGTCGGTAAGTCAAGCCTGACCCAAGGACCGTCTTGGATCTCAGATATTTTTGGCGAGCCGCCGTGCATGATTCGATCAGACGACCCAGACCAAAGTTTGCCCTTGCTCTTAGAGCAAGTGACGGCAAGTCTCACAGGCAAGTCGAAACAACCCCTGCTGCTTTTGCCGGGAGGCAAGTGGTCCAGAGAGTCATGCTGAAGACTCAAAAGGTGAAACTATCAGATACCTACATATATATATAGATACACATGTAGATATGTATCAATGAACAATGATATATTATACTATTGTTATGATAACACATTGTTTATAAATACTCATATATATATATATATATATGTCAGGGTTTTGTCTATTCACTTTCTTGGAGTTGACATGGACTTGATTGTGGGATGGTGAACGAATTGATTATGACCGTGGCAATCTACGAGCCACAGACTGCTGTATTTTGTTTTGCTCTTGTTACCACACCTTCACAATTCTCATCTGTTCCCCATGTGCTCTGCGGTGCTGGTATATTTCTAGATATATTACTTATGACCAACATTTGCTCATTCCATTCATGTTGTGGATATATTACTTATATTATATAGATATACTACTTATATTTCTATAGATATACTACTTTTACACGTTGCCCATTCATGTTGGTAAACGTACACCAGCTCGCTCGATGGAACACGCCGCGCTTGAACGCCTTGCTTCTCTCGCTGCCTCCGAGCATCCAGGTTCTGAGGCGATGAAGAAACAGTCAATCCTTGGAAGTCGGAATCATAACATTTGAAACAGAAGGAACACCTTAGAAACCACCACATCGGAATCTATTTCATGGGTTACATGTTCCAATTGTGAAACAACTTAACTGTTTTTTTTCCGTTGGATTGAAGTTAAGAGTACTTTTTGCAGCTGGGTCAGACTGGGGCATCCCAAGCCAGGCTGCCACTTTAAAGGATCATCCCACTTAGTGGCCGCAACCGCGTCATCATGAGAATCATAGTCTATGAATGTCGATCTATCATTTTTTGGACACAGCAATTCTGATTCATCTGAGAATTCCCAAATTTCATCACATTTCCCCATGTTCTGAACAATGAATTGTGTTCTTTTTTTCTAAACTATTCCCCAATTTTCTATGAATCAATACTAAACCACCATTCTGAGTTTTGGTCAGTTTTGCTGACTCCATGTTG